TGGAAAGCATTTAAATTTGCTCATTTGGCATATCTGCGGAATGTAGAGATTGTTCTAAACACAATAGTGTTCGTCCTGTGTCCAAATTCAACAATCTAGGGCCATTCCATATTTAGTAAGTTTTGAGCTTATCCCAGAGACTAACTCCTGATACTAAGGGAGGCTTGGGGTGAAAGCCCAAAGCGTGTGTTCCTCAAGGGGGGGGGGGCCTATGGGGGGTTCCAAATGTATAGTAAGGATTGTGGACAGGTTGGGCATGGTTGACCAACCTGAGGCATAGTCTAACTCCCGCTTGCGTGTTTATCTTTGTTCTGCGTCTGGCTTGGATCCAAGCCCAAGTTCCATTCCATGCTAGCTAATGGAGTACCCATGTCCTTGCATTAGGCCACCGGTATGCCGAAATAACGCTAGACTCTATTTAACTCTGTTTTACATGTTAGTCCTAACATTGGGATGCTGATTATTCTAGGACTGTTCCAAGTCGCTTCAGGCTCCTATCCCTTCGTTCCTTGGGCTGTATGCTCGGGAGTTGCTCTGTGGTCTAGTTCCGTCACTCCTTGGCTCCATGCTTGGGAGTTTGGCACTATTCCTTCGTTCATTGGCCCAAGGCCCTGAACCTCGGGTTCCACACCATGTTCCTTTGGACACATGGCATCTATCACGTGGCACAAAGAGGGTTTAGGTTCAATTTCATAGTGTTATCCTATAGTAAATCACCATAGGATAAAGGGTAAAAACCACATGCTACATGTGCTATATGTTGTGAATTATGTTGCCTATCAACTCGAATCAAACAATACACTTGTGGACCAAGCTAAGCATCCAATCTATCAAGGAAGTAAACCAGCTACATGACATTGATCCCTAAGTCAAAGAAACTTCACCAACACCAAATCACCTAATTGGTACTATAGTGGTGTGTTATGTTATGTATTATATGAATGCCTCTAATACTCTTATGTTCGTGCTAAAGACTCCAAAGATTAGACATATAGTATAGGTAGAATATGATCCAAATACTCCAACCATGCATTCCCCTCTAGATAGCATGGCGTTATTGGCATCAATCCAACTGTAAGAGGCAAAACAAGTTCTCTCCCAAATACTGCACAAAATGGCAATATCTCTATAGACTTTGTGGCACTGAAACATATGCAAATTAAAGATATGGCAACCACCTATTCCAATTTAAATGTTGCAGATTTACATATTTTACAAACATTCCTTTGAATGTCTGATTGAGCCATTCCAACCATACATTTGTCTCAGGATGATAAGTTGATGTAAATGATTGTTTAATGTTGAGCCCCAACATCAGCACTTTGAGGACTTCAGAAGCTAGGCCACAACCTTGATCCAAAAGGATATGCTTAGGACAATCATGTCCATTTGCACAAGGAATTGTGCAATGGAATTTGTTGTTGCATCTAGTAGTGCACACACTTCAACCCACCAAATAAGGTAATTAAATGCAGTGATAACATACTAATATCCCGTAGAAGACTTTAGAAATGGCCCATCAAGTCATACACAACCAATTCAAATGGTTGTAAAACTTGAATTGGTTCTAACAACCCCCTAGGTGGCATTGTGGATATGTTGAAATATTAATAAGTCTTGATATACTCTGAGACATCTTGTTGTAACTGAGGCCAATACAACTAATGAAAAATGTTTTCCAATATTTTGTGATATCCCAAATGCCCAAACATAAGACTAACATAGAAAAACTATAATCATGAGTTGATGTAAATATTTAGTGCAACAAAGTGATATTTAGCACTATCACCAATATACACCAGCATATCTTAACAATTTTAAACTTTTTGGCATATATACCAAAACGTTTTGATCATCACATGGCTCATTGCCATCCAACACATTTGCAACTAACAAATCCAAGGCTCCTCCTTTTAAGCAGTCACTACCTACTCATGGCTGGGCAACGCATTTTCTGGAAGTGGAGGAGGCAAACCCTCCATTGGTGCCACCACCAATGGTGCACGAGATAGAGCATCCACAACAACCATATTATACTCAAGAAAATGCACCACTGTAAATCTATAGTCTTGAAGTGTTAATGCCCATCTTACTAACCAACCTTATAGATTCTTACACTTAAAAATTGATGTTACAGCCATATAATTAGTCTCAAGCAATGTATCAAATCCATAAAGATATGCTTGGAACTTTGAAAATGCCCATGTAACGGCCAAAGGTTTTGAAAGTTTAAAAACAAAATAAAATCTTATAATTTATATATATTCTGATACAAATTTCAAGAAGTTCTGTTGTGGAAGAAAATCAAAACCATTGCTTTTCATTTATTTTCTTACCTTTAAAATATTATCTAGTGTGTTATTAGCAATTCATGTAAACTTTTCCACAATCTCTATCTTGTTTATTAAGTAGAAGTGATGATCTCTAATTAACACCTCAAATAAATACTTATTTAAACATTTATAGACCAGTTTACAACATTTCTATTTAAAACTAATCACATTAATGTTGAGGTATTAGTGATAAAGTTTCACAAAAGCATGTCTAATTACTATAACTCAAACTTTTATATGGAAAATGAGGCAACAACCCATCCTTATGGCCAAAAGTATAGCACCTTAAGCAATTGCAATAATGTGTAAGCCACCTACTAGGCAAGAAAGTGTGTGGTTCATATCACGACTTTTGCTGCTATGGAGAGTTTGGATTTTTAATGTAATTTTGTTTTACAATGTATTAAGAATAAAATAAATATTAAATATAGGAATAAAAATATATAACTATTAAATCTACTTAAACATGTGTGGTTCATAATCTACTCAAAGTTGCATTTAATATGAAGCTCAAAACTATTGAGGTTATCTAGTGATATTGTCTCATATTAAGCTAATCAGAAAGAAAGCTAGAAAGATATTATAGTAATAATGAAACAGAATTAATATTTAAATTTTTAGGAGCATACTTTTGTATATTCAAAAAACATAATATTAGTTTTTAATGATGGTATATACTATAATTGGTATAGTAAATTTTGTGAGATTGGACTCATATATAAGGTTTTGGGCTAATGGTGGGAATGAGGGGCAATAATCTCCTTCATGGATTTGTTTTCAGAACTACTAGAAGTTGTTATAATTTTCAAGAGCATGGTGGTGAGAGAAGGAGATGATGAGGTAAAAGACAAGATTAAAGATAAAATACAAAAAGAATTTGTTTTGAGTACAAATTCCTAGAAACCCTACTTTTATAAAATCCATGGAAGTTAATCTATTCAACCCTTTAGTTCTAAGAAACTAATTTCGGCATATAATGCTCATGCATATATATATATATATATAGATAGATATGCATAGCAGTTCTTGGGTTCAAATCAGGTTTAGGGTTTGAATGTCACAACAAGCATAGTACCTCCAATAAATATATAAATATTTGATAATTATTATTCTGTTGCTTCAAATGGAGTCTATAAGTGGATGAATATATACCATTTTGTATTTTATAGTAATAGTAGACATAGGTCTATCTTCACAATTACAAGAAGTTGCTAATGTCAAGTTTTGGAATTAATATTTAACAAGTGTTTTTTTGTGTGGTTTAATAGAGTCTACAAAGTAGATAATTCAGTATTAGTTATTTTCCTAAGCTTACAATATGTAATTTGGCTACTCAATGGAAAAGACCATATTGAGTGATTTTGTAAGTAAAAGTGTTTTAACAACTTTAACAGATTTTTAATTATGAGTTGTCTTTTTTTCATTTTTAATGATAGATAAATAAAAAACATAGGTTATATATGTTTTATACAAAAATTGGTGTTAGCATATTTTATATTCAATATATATCAAATATTTATATTTTTTTATTGACTATATATATACCTTTGACTGAATTTTTAAAGAAACTATATACGATATGCGCGATACTATATATAAACTTCTGAAAAAATCTAAATATGTGCATACTATATACATTATAAAAAAAATTAAACTAATATTAAATTTTAATAATATATCATTCAAGATATCTCAACAATAATAGAAAATATAGATTACAATTATGATTACAAAGAATCAAAAGGATTAAAAGTACCATATATTAGTATATTGAACAGAGAAAAACATACTTTTATTTATATATAAAAAATATGAAAAAATTATGCAAAAATTTACAAAATTTATAAATGTGAATTCTAGAAATATATAATTAATTTAAATGTGTTTGATGTGAGTGACAATGGCCATTATAGCCAGCAAGAACATAACAAGAGCAAACCAAGAAGCATTTAAAAAGATATTAATACTTATGCTGGTGATGGATGATGTCGTTGGAGGTGAAAGCCAAACAACATCAGTTCCCAAGTTATAGTCAAAGGGTAATGCAACATTAAAGTTATAATCGACGACAGGCCTCGGTTGCTTGGTTCTTGATGAAGGAGGTGTCACTCAACCTTCATTCTAAGGAAGCATAATGCTGGTATAAGGTCACAATAGCTTAAGGAACAGGGCCATATAAGTGGATGCTCCAATAGCTGGTGAGGTATGTATTACTGCTTGTAGACAATATCAACTGACCATGCAAAGACCATTCTTTCTGGGAAAGATTCTTTTATATAAGTTTAATGACAATGAGCGATAGATTTTTGTTATTTTCATTCATTTCTACACTTTCATTCAAAGAGTTCATGAGATTTTTCCCAGAAATAATGGACCTAAACTATGGAGGATGGCAGACAAGGACAATTAAGTGTTTCCTATGATCGCAAACGGCAAGCCCTGGTCATTGGTCAGTGAGAAACACGTTTTTGATCATAGCCGCGAAGGGAAACACATAATTGTCCCCGTCAAGGGGAAAGATCGCAAAATTCTATAGCTAATTGCTGTAAACTTATATGAAAGCCACACTAATTCTCATTTATTTCATTTGGGATGATCTACTGATTTCATACATCCATAGCTCATTGCCATGATACAAAAAAAACTACTACTTCTCATTACTCTTGACAAAAATCATAGAACAGTTAAAGAGATCATCACCGCATTTTATTTCATGAGGCCTAAATTGTTACTACACAACCAGCCTCTAATCACCGCATACATGAGATATGCGATTCTCAGCAACACTGGAGGTTGCCATTGCTGTTTCGGACGCAACTGTTGAGGTCGCGCGAAGAGAAGATGGGCTGGTTGGAGACGCTGGGGCACGTCGCACTGACGGTGGTGCCCGAGTACTGGATACCGGCGCACGACTGGAAGTAGCCGCTCGAGCAGTCGAGCTGCCCATTGTTGTTGCCCACGCAGGTGTTTAGATCAATCTGCGAGCGCACCGTGGCACCGGCTTGGTTCACGCAGTTTGCAATCAGGGTGCTGCCGCCATAAGTTATGCCGCTGCAGGATCGGGAGAAATCGCACTGGGCCTGCACAACAAACAGACACTCACGTAAGAAAAGATTGGATCAAACTTGAAACATCTGGATCAAGATTGAGATAAACACGTGATCGAGATATCTTTCTATCAATCCAACAGTGAGATATTGCGAAATTGAGATCTAAACGTGAGATATATCTCGCATGGAAAGTGAGATGGAATATATCTAGCATGGAATAAACATTGAGATGTCTATCTAAAATGGAAGATTGTAGATCAAAACGTGAGATATCTATCTATCAGAGCTATTGTGGCGAACAAGGATCGAGAGCACTCACTTCAATCACTCCCAGAGTCACCACCACCAAGATCAAAAGTGTGAGGAGACGAGGAGCCATTTGCGGAGAGCGGAGAGCGTAGAGAATATGTGTAATGTGAAGAAGCGAGAGCTTCTACTTTATACGCGGGACCTCCAACTCGGCCACGGCTCTCGTGGGCCCAAATTTCCTTGACGAAGCGATCATCCACTACACAAAATTCGTAGTCAAGAAGGGTTCCTCGACTTGAGTTCGTGTTTGTAGTGTTCCTCGACTCAGAGCTCACGGACTTCCCATGGATTGATCCTTCATTTCGCTCTAATCCCAGCTTCTGGAATGTGACACGAAAGCTCTCCGTCAATCCAGCGAAGAAATGCAGCTCACCACGCACTGCTCCAGCTCCGCGTCCGAGATGACCAGCGGCGGCGCTAACCTCATTGCGTCGAAGGGCCGCACGTGAGTGGCTTTTCGCACTGGCACCATGTTCGATCCGCAAACAAGAAAAGGAGGCGGCGAGCCAGCCCTCCTTGGCCTCCAGCTAGTATTGTGTCTTGCCTTGTGGAAGAAGCACTTGAAGGTGGCGGCGCTCTAGCAGCTCCATGGCAACGAGGAGAGCTTGTTGGTGCTGCTTTGTGGGCTTCGCGGTACCGTCTTTGGTGGATGGCGGCGGCGCTGGGGGCCAACTTACCTCTCCTCTCCTCCCGCTCTAGCTTCCTTGACACCGCTCAATGCCGCTTAAATCAAAGTCGATCGACTGCTGGCTATTTTGATGATCCAGTTTTTAAGCGGCATTGAGCGGTGTCAAGGAAGCTAGAGCGGTGCCAGAAAAGTTACCACGGATAACTGGCTTGTTGGCACCGTGTTCGATCCTGAGATGTCGAAGCAGCAGCAGCAGCAAAGTAGCGGGCTGAGATGGAGAAGCGGACGACATCATGGAGAATGGCTGTATTACTGGAGACCGAGTTAACGGGCTTGTCGATGGACTGACGGGAACTTGGTATGTTTTCTTTTTCGTTGAAATAAAAAAGATTGACGCCATCGTTTTTCTTTCCTTTTCATGCACAGGTACACTAAATTTGATACTTTTACACCGGCCGCGGAGAATGGGCTACCTGTAACCCGTGTCATCAGTAGAATGAAGCTTCAAGAGATCTTAGCTCGAGCTTCAAGAGATCTTGAGGGAACACCGTCATACAAAGTTTGATCTTTTGGAATAGCAAGCCTCTTTTATTTCTTTGGGAGTGTGAACTTTAGATATAGATCTTCTCCACTGCTCGCCCGCATTCATGGCGAGTGATGCGATCAAGGATCTCGCTCTCGTCGCGCGATCCTCGCCACGATGCCTTCCATTCTTTTGTAGAGGCCCTCCAGGCCTGCTCCACCTCCAAGAACGTGGAGGAGCTAGAAAGGGTCCGGGAATCCATTCGCCGCAGCGAATTTCGCGACAACACGCTGCTGGGGAACCAGATCCTGAGGGCGTATAGCAGGTGTGGGCGATTGAAAGATGCGCGCTGTGTGTTTGATTCGCTGGCTCGCCCGGACATGCACTCTTGGAACTCGCTAGTTGCAGCATATGCCCAAAATGGGCATCTTGATCATGCCAAGAACGTGTTCTTCCAGATGCCGCGCAGGGATCTGGTGTCGTGGAACACCATCATACAAATCTTTTTGCAAGACAGGAAGATTTATTACGCAGTGAAAGTTTTGGATCTGATGCCCCAGCAAAGCGTTTGCTCGTGGAACACGCTCATATCCGGGTATGCCCAGCTCGGGCATCACCACCTTGCAAAGCATCTGTTTGATTCCATGCCGGAGCGGGACCGGCTTTCCTGGTACGCGCTCCTGGTGGCCATTTCCAACACAGGTAACATAAATCCAGCTCAGGAAATCTTCTCAAAGTTTCCAATGCAGGAGAAGTTCTCGTGGAATGTGATGCTTGCAGCACTGGCCAAGACGACGGATCAAACCAGCGCTGCAAAGATCATATTTGATGACATCCCCGAGAGAGACATCGTGTCGTGGAACACTCTACTCCAGGCCTTCGTCCAGATTGAGTCCACCCACAGTGCTTGCAAGATTCTCGAGCGAATGCCAAGCTTGGACGTTGTTTCGTGCACGTCGATGCTGGCAGCGTATGCCCAGAAAGGAAACGTTTCAGATGCAAAGCACTTGTTTGATTGCATCCCCGAGCCAAACGTTTACTCCTGGAACGCACTGCTCGTAGCTTACATCCAGGTCTTTAATCTCGAGGAAGCGATCAATCTCTTTCGGCAGATTCCCGAGAAGGACGTGATCTCGTGGAACACGATGATCACGGGCTATGCAAACTCCGGCTTCACGCACGAGGCAGCCATGGCTTTTCACTCGATGGAGAGAAGAGATTCGACGTCGTGGAGCGCTCTAATCTCTGCGCTGGCACAGAATGGCGAGCTCGACGATGGAGATATCGCCTTCCATCGCATGCCGCAGTGGAATCTCGCGGCATGGAACAGCCTTCTCTCCGCGCGAGCCGAGCAGGGAAAGATGGTCGAGGCGGAGCGGATGTTCGCTCGAGCTCCAGCTGCGAACCTTGTCTCGTGGACGGCGATGGTGGCGGGATTCGGACACAATGGTCGAGTGGAGATGGCTCGAGCAGCGTTTGAGAGGATGCCAGAGTGGGATATCGTGTCATGGAATGCGGTGGTCTCGGCGTTCGTCCAGTGTGGCTGTCTCGAAGAAGCTATCGAGACGTTTTGGAGGATGCCCGCGCGAGATCTCGAGTCGTGGAACACGATGATCCGAATTCTCTGTGAAGCAGGAGCTCTCGTCCAGGCCGAGAAGATCTTCGATGGAATGGCGCTGCGAAACGTTGTGTCCTGGACGACGCTACTCACCGGACAAGCTCAGAGAGGCCACACGAAGGAAGCGCGAGAGAGATTCGCGAGAATGCCACAGCACAGCTTTGTCACCTGGAACTCCATGCTCGTCGCTTACTCGAGCTCCAACCAGATCGATCTCGCCGAAGAGGTGTTTTGCTCGATGCCAAAGCACGACACCGTCTCGTGGAACACCATGATCGCGGGATACTCGAGCAGGGACCGCATGGATCGAGCTCTGGCTTTGCTCGATCTCATCCCACACCAGAGTTCTCGATCGTGGAACACCGTGCTCAATGGATACGTCACAAACGCCCATATCCGAGAGGCTGGAATACTCTTCGAGAGAATGCCGCACAAGGACGTGGTTTCGTGGACAATAATGGTGGTGGGCTTCTCTCAAAGCGGCCAAGTTGGCCATGCAAAGAAAGTGTTTGATCAAAGCGTAGAGAGGGACGTGGTATCTTGGGCAGCTATGGTGAGCGTATATGCCCAGAATGGGTATCTTGAGGAAGCCAGAGAGATGTTTATAAACATGACCAAGTGTAACGTTTCAATGGACTCTCCCTACCATGGAAGTGAGCACGTCGAGAAAGCCTGTAACTCTTTGCTCGCAGCATTCGCCCACAACGGCCATGCAAAGCTCGCCATCACTTTCTTTCACGAGATGAACTTGGAAGGAGCAAAGCCGGACGAAGTCTCGTTCGTGATCGTTCTCGCCGCTTGCACCCACATTGGCCTGCTCGAGAGCAGTCGGAGTTTCTTCGTCTCTCTCCACCAGGATTTTGGAGTGGAGCCTCAAAAGGAGCACTACTGCTGCATGCTGGATGCATTTTGCCGGGCCGGGCAGCTCGAGAATGCCGAGAAACTCATCGAGAGCATGCCATTTCTTCCGGATAAGGTAGCCTGGGGGACGCTCCTGGCAGCTTGCCAGAACCACCGAGACATGGAGCGAGCATCGAAAGCAGCGGCTGTGCTAAGCGTCATGGAGATGGATGCCTCACCGTATGTGATCCTGTCCAACGTTTACGTTCTCGGCAATAGCAAAAAGATTTAAAAACCTTGATAGACATTGCTCCTTCTTGGAGCTAGAGAAAAGCGGCTAGAGCTTCTACAACTTTCTCGGGCCTGCGACAAAACCATTCAGCGAACTGGAGAACAAAGCAAGGATTTACCAGTCTTCTTGGGGCATGTGGCCAGCGCCTTCCATGAGAACCGTGCGTATAACATCTGGATTGAGCTTCTCGAACTCCATAGCTTGGGTTTTTGGCAAGTACTTATCTTCCTGTCCCCATGCCACCAGAGTGGGTTTGCTCCAACTGAAAAGCCGAAGTTAAATCCACAACCTTGAGCCACTGTTTGAAACTTACCTCTTGAAACCTGCCGAAATAGTTGACATCAAGCTTGGAAACGAAACCTTGCGAGCAGCTTCCAGAAGCGCTGCACAGATTCAACCACACACATTTGTAAGTTCAACGATAATTGTCGAAAGATGAAATATTTACCGAATCCAGGTCCACTGCTTCCCAAGTAAGGGAGCCTATACACATCCGCCTTTTCCACCTTGAGCACATACCTACATGTACACATATACAATTAAAACGAGAACACTCACTTGGAGAACTGATACGTACGCACTTCCTTTCTCTATAAACTTTTCGGCCATCATGGCGTCCTGAGATATGAATTCTCCAAGGAACGGAAGCCTGAGTGGGTAGCATTATAGTATCATTTCCAAACTTCGAGGAGAAAGAAGAAGTACCTCAGCTGATTGAACAGACCAGGCAGTGGAGCCGATGGTGTCAGCGGGGTGTTTAAGATCACCAGCTTGGAAACTCTTTCCGTGTTCTTAAGGGCCCACGTTAGTCCAAAAGATCCAACAAGAAATCCCTGCTTGTTTGTTTCAAACATATAAGTCACGAAAATCTAGATTTGCTTGCCTGAGTGACGAGAATAAATGGTGATTCTACTTCGACTTGTGCGAGCACCTTGTTCAGCTCCTCGTGATATGCTTCCTCTGCATGATCCCATCATGATTCCTGAGAGTTCTCAAAATTGGGGGGGTTACAACACATAGCTCTAGGAAGAAAACCTGTGTAGGAAAACCTGAAAACAGGCTGCGGTGCTTGGCTGAGTCCGAAACCAAGCCAGTCGGGAGCAATGCAGCGATAGCCAGCATCAGCCATCTGCAAAACCATTACTACTCTCTAGCTCGGAAAAGGAGAAAAGAATCGCAATACCTGGGTCATAACATTTCGATAGCTGTAGGATTGAGAAGGTGCTCCGTGAAGGAACACGATTGTTCCCTTTTTTGCACTCTTTGATCCTGCTTGGTTTCGGAAAACATGCGTACCAGTCTCAAGCGATATAGATGAAAGTCGAACCTGTTTCTCGAACGAACCAGCTAAATTCTCCAACATCCATGAACGATCCAAAGTCTCTTCCTTTGTCCTTGATTTGCTGTCGAGAGAGACACAGCACGAAAAATTTCTTTGCAACCAAATTGCCAAAGAAAAAGCTTACCGACATCATGACACCAACGTTTCCATCTTGCCACGGCTCATTGGGCATCTGGAGTGAGCCCCGGCTAGACGCATTATCGGTGACGAACGAAAAAGGCCCAGAGCGGAGCCTCTCATCGCTGTCGCAATTGGGCTCGGCGTCCATCGGCTGTTGATCGTCGAAATTCCTCCCGGCCGCCGCGCGGACATGGTGAAATCGAGCTGGAGGACGATTCTCAAGCTGCTGCGATCGCCATGGTGGCGGCGCCAAGGATCGCCCAGGCGCACACCACGCCATGGCCGCCATGCCCTAGAAGCTCCCCCACACAAATTTGTAAGATTTTAAACTTTTGAAATTCAACGTCTCCGATGGCTTTGGAATGTGGCGACGGTGGAGATTGCTTTGCTGGGTGCGCACGTCAATGTGACGGGCTGGCTATGGCGGGACGAAGAGTTGGAATATAAAAGAGCTCCAATGTCCATGTTATGCACATGATACACTATAACACTGCCATTTCTTTTGCGGCAGCATTCTCAACACACCCATTTCGCTTTGCTCGCTGCTACTCTCTCCTGTCCTTGCGCTCTGTGTTGCTGCTGCTCTGCCCAAATCTTCACCAAAGAATCCCACTTTTTTTTTCTCCCGCTCTCCAATTCGTGCGCTCTCTGCGTGCGCACCAGATTCTCCTCCACCATAGCCTAGCCTAGTGTAGAGCTCAACTGATCAGATTCCCAACGAGAAAAAAGAAAAGAATGAGTTCCATTCCATCCATAGTTCTTCTCTAGCTCGCTAGCGAGAGAGAGAGAGTGTGTGTGTGTGTGTGTGTTTGTTTAGTTCCTTTCACTCAAAATCTTTGATCCATCGGAAAAGGAGAATGTGTCAGATCATCCTGATAATGGGTAGGCAGATTAGATCCAAGCGGCAGAGGCGGCTGTCGCAAGTGATGGACGAATTCTCGATCACCCATGATCACGACCTCGAGGAAGATCAAGCAGCAGTCGCAAACAACGCCGCCGCTACCAACAATGCTCTCGCTCTTGATCAAGCTGCCGACCTCGCAAACAACGCTAACGATCTTGCGCAGCAGCCACAGCAGCCACAGCAGCCACAGCAACATCATCACCATCGCTCCGCCAAATCGCTGTGGAAGATAGTCAAGGTTCCAGTGCTTCTCCTGGGGAGCTTGTTTGGGCTGGGCGAGCATTACATGTCGGACTACTTCGATAGCATGGGGACGGGCGATGCGCTCCGCGATGCGAGGCTGCGCGTGTGGTTGAGACAAGATCCATCGCTCGCCGATCGACACTACATGATGGTCCAGAGCGGCATGAGGTACTCCTTCTTCCTCTACTAGCTCGAGCGCTAGCCAGCCATGGATGGAGATTAAGTCATGTTATATCTTCTCTTCCACTTCGAATTCCACTTCCACACAAGTATGTATCTTTTTAAATCGATCGGCCGCCTCTCCTCCGAGCTTTTGGGATCGAGAGCTATAGCTCGCTTCGTCCTGGAGGAACTTTTCTTGAAAAGAAGAACGCCTGGCAGCTACCGGCAAGATCACAAGTTTTTGGTTTCCTCTTCTTAAATCCAGGTACTATCGCGGCTCGCGATCGGTGGCTTTTGGATCGGTGGCTTTTGGCTTTAGCTCGATCGATTGGATTGTGGACTCAACTCTCAAGGATTCCCTGCCGCGGCTGCAGCAACTGTTTCTCCCCTGCTAAAGATCAGAAAGAAAACGAAAAAGAAAAAGGCAAAGAGTTTGGGCTTAAAAAGTGGTGTGGGATTCCAGGAGCACGATCGAGCCATGAGGCAGCCAGCGTGGATGGATGAGATTGTGTTGCTCTCAGCCAAGAAACAATCCATCTCTTGTTTCCTTTGGTTTTGGGCTTGAATGGATCCATAGGATAAGCAGAGCTTTCTTCCAGGAGGAGGAGGCAGCGAGCAGACACAGACATGAATGCAACAGCTGGGCTTGTTTGTTTGCGAGTTTCTGGTTGCATAGAGGTCACCCGATTATACTAAACAAATGCTCCAGGATCCACTCCACAACAACTTGATCGATCTTTTGGGTCTTTCAAGGTGGTGCCTTTCCAAATTTCCAAAAAAAAAAATCAAAGCTTTTGAGCTCTCCATGTCGCATTCCAAATGCTTCCCCCCATTTCCTGACCCTCCTGACCACACTGTCGTCCTGCCCGTTCACATTCATGAGAACATCAATTCCATGTCCATAATGATCGTCCAAGTTTTCCGCTGATCGATCTCTCTCTCTCTCTCTCGCTCTGGTCGATCGATCAATCAATCAATCAATCAATCAGGCAAGGATCATGTATCGAGTCGAGCAGAGATCATGGAATGGATCAAATCGTCTATAGCTCCCGGCATGAGTTTTGCATGATCGACCCACCGTAAAGAGTCTCTCTCTCTTTTCTTTTCGTTCTCTCTTTGCGAGCAAGCGTTGTACACACACGCCCATGGTACCCGAGGCATATTCCCGGCATTGCTTTGCCCAAAGGCGGTTCTTTCCCGCTTGCGTTCCTGGCACGGAAATCAATGAAATCTATCATTCCAATCCAAATCCGTGCATCAATGTGCTGAGCACACAGGAGAAAGAGAATAATGGTTCTAAAAAAGAAAATAGCTCGCCACCTTTGCCAGCACTGTACTTTGCGAGGTTAGCAAATGCCGTGGCTGGGCATTTTGGTAAGAGCCAAATTCTAATCACGAGAAAAGAGAGGCCACTCAGGGAAAAAGGGGACCCTCAATCAAGAGCGCGTTGGAGTCCTTGATTGATTGATGGATTCTTTCATCGATCGCTTGCTTTGGTTGGACACGCCAGTGATCTTATCTCTTTCTCGCAAAAATTCTCGACTGTAGTATTGATCTCTGGTTTGAAACAAAACCGAGGAATCGCGGTGATGGGCGATATGAATCGGTGATAAACAATGATCGCGAGGGAGAATGTACACAAGGAAACGCACCCCGGCACTAGAAAAATCATTGCTTTTGGATCTGATCCATGGAAAGCTTTACAAGTGTAAGTTACTGTCGCTTCACATTCCACTCGAACTTGACTTCCAAAATTCGAGCAAAAAGGAGAGCGCGTGGACCTGACAAAAGGAGAACTTGCTCATCACGAATATGATACAAATCCAGAATCGATGGATCGAGACGGGAGCTTTCATGAGTCGGAAAAAATTTTCGCGAGTGGATTGAGGGATCCACACTACAATATCTCTCTCTCCAATCCGTGAGTAGCAATCCACGAGACACTTTCATTTCCACTATTCTTCGATCGCGAGCTCGCGTGATCACGTCTGCCAGCTTTTCTTAAGCTGGATTGATAATCTCGGCCTTTTTATCTCGCTGCGTAGATGTTGGATAGCATAACGTGCGCGGCATCGCTCGCGGGATCCAGCTTGAACACATTCTCCGCGACTCGGGCTCCACGACCGGCGTCGTGCTGCGTCCTACAAGCACTCAGCAAAGAACCCCACACCTTATCGTCAGCCTCGAAAGGCATGGTTTCTACAAGCTCCTCCGCGAACTGGAGCTGCCCGGCTCGAGCTAGAGCTCCCACCAGGCAGCCATAGTGCTCCAGCAGCGGCGCCAGGCCGTGATCAAACCGGATGGACTGGAAGCCCGTGACGCTGCGGTGGAGAACTCCGATGTGGTTGCAAGCCACCAGCAAGCTCGTGAGTGAGATCTCGTCGGCTCGTTCGCCGTGGAGAAGCATCCGGTAGAAGAAGTCGAGCGATTCTCTGCCGCGGCCAGCGGTCGCGTAGGCCGCGCTCATGGCGCTCCACACCACCATCTCCAGGCTCGGTAGCATCTCGAAGAGATCTCTGGCTTGCTCCAGATCGCCATACTGGATGAACGCTTGGAGGATGACGATCCAGGAGACAAAGTCGCGCTCGGGACACAGTCGATCAAACATGAACTTCGCAGCGGCGAGGTTGCCGTTTTGAGCGTAAGCCTGGAGCATGCTCGTGCACGACACGGAGTTTTGCTCCGGGATCACGTCAAAGAGAGCCTTGGCCTCGTCGACATGGCCTTCTTGCGCGTAAGCTTGCAGCATCGTCGTCCACGACACGAGGTTTCTCTGCGGCATTGAATCGAAGACGCTCCTCGCGAACTCCAGATCACCGGCGCGAGCGTATGCTTGCAGCATCGTCGTCCAGCTTACAACGTTTCGCTCTGGCATCCGATCGAAGGTGGCCTTGGTGGCTTCCAGATCCCCGTTCTCGGCACACGCCGAGAGGAAGGCCGTCCAGGAAACCATGTTCTTCTCGGGCATGGTTTGGAAGAGCTTCTTGGCCGATTCCAAGCTTCCCTTTTGTGCGTAGGCTTGGAGCATGATCACCCACGACACCGAGTCCCTCTCGGGCATGCCATCAAACATCGTTTTTGCTCCCTCCAGTTGACCGTTTTGCGCATACGCTTGCAGCATTGCCGTCCACGAGATGGTGTTCCTTTCTTTCATGCTATCAAACGTTGCTTTTGCGGTCTCTAAGTTGCCGCTTTGTCCATAGGCCGAGATGAGCGAGTTCCAAGCGACCAAGTTCCTCTCGGGCATGGATTTGTACATGGTGGACGCGCCTTGGAAGTGGCCGCTGGAAGCGTAGAGTTGAAGCATGGACGTCCAAGACACGACGTTCCTCTCGGGCATGGCGTCAAACATCTGCTTGGCTTGCTCGAGTTGCCCGTTCCGGGCGTAAGCTTGGATCATCGCATTCCAGGCCACCATGTCTCTCGTTGGCATCCTGTCAAACAAAAACTTTGCTTCCTCGTGCTTCCCATGGTCCGCGTACGCCACCACCATTGTTGTCCAGGACACGACGTTCCTCTCGGGGATCAAGTCAAAGATCCTCTTTGCTCCTTCAAGATGCCCGTTTTGGGCATATGCTTGAAGTAGAGTGGTCCAAGACACAACGTTGGGCTTATTGATCTTCTCAAACATGGATTGAGCTTCTTCCAGATACCCCTTTTCTCCATAAGCCTGGAGCATTGCGGTGTAGGAGATTCCATTCTTTTCTGGCATCTTTTGAAAGAGTTGCTCGGCCTTATCAAGCTGCCCTCTTTGGGCATATGCTGTAAGCATAGCGTTCCACGAGACAACGTTCTTGGTGGGCATCAAGCAAAAGACGTTCCAAGCTCCATCTAGATTCCCGTTTTGCGAGAACGCAGTAAGAATTGCATTCCAAGAAACAACGTCCTTCTCAGGCATTTTGTCAAACGCCATCTTTGCCTCGTATAGATACCCATTTTGGGCATACGCGGTGACGATGATATTCCACGAGAAGAGATCCGGCTGCTCGAGGTTGTCAAACACACTGCGTGCATCGCCCATGCTACCGCACTTCCCGTACATCTGGATGACCAGATTTGCGAGATACTTGTCGCTGCGGAAGCTCGTTGCCTGGATCTGCGAGTGGACGTTTCTTCCCCTGGCAAGGTCCTTGGAAGTGTTGCACGATCTGAGAAGTGCCGCAAACAGCGATTGAGTGCCTCTTGTTTCGCGCGGAGATGATGGCTGTTTGGCAATTGTTTGCTGCTGCTGCATGATCATAGCTAACCATCATCGAGCAAAACATCTAAAATTGGTGTTCGTCCCTTAAATTATGGGAGGAGTTTGCGGGAAGTATTGTGGTATTGAGCTTCCGCCGCCACCCCGTATCCGTGGCAGCAAATGGCTTGAGGAAAGGGAGCTCGAGTCCCTGGCCAAGAGCAAAGGCGAGGTGAGCTTAGTTCCAACTTCTAGTGCCTCAGACCGCCCCAAGCGAGTGGATTGGACTAAAATCGTGCAAGACTGTGTCGCACAAGGAGATTGGAACGCCCGAAGTGGAAGCAGCTGGGCGGATTCCCTGGCGATATGTGCTTCAGCCATGGCTAAGATTGGCGCGCCCAAGCTTGCAACTCAGCCTGGAGGAGACATGGTAGTGGTATACCTCGAGGGAAGCAGGCCGGTGTTAAAGATGAAGAAGGTTCCCGATGACTTGCTGGCGGCACTCGTAGCTAGGCATCCTGTGGTGACCAGCCTCCGCTGTACCCAGGGGCGTGTGATCGATCCGGGCTTCACTTCATATGAACTCAATCTGTATCCATTCTACAACGGAGATTACAATCTTAAGTGCCTCCCACGCTGCTCGGTGTTGGTGGGTTACGACCGCTTGTTTTGGACCATCTTTGACACCGAATTCAACGTAGTTTACAATGCTTGTAAGAACCGGAACGATGTACACACTGGAGTGGGGGAGATCGTACTCGTGCCTCTGTAATGTAAAGTGGTTGTCCACCAAAGCACCAAGTGTTTTCATGGTTTTCTTGGAACATTTAAACTCGTCCAGCAGCATTTCTAAGGAGGTGGCGGAGGCTAGGAAGCTCCGCCAGCATCTCAGCCTTACAGATCATGAAAAACGAATGAACTAAGAAAACCGAATGCTTTCTCATTCATTCTTTTATATCTATCTTGTTCTTAACCGTAAGTTCTGCTAGTCTCCTTCGGCCTTGATTAGCTCTCTTATAAGCTTGTCATCCACTAAGTTCCTGGAAAGGGTTTGGGACTAATCAGCACGAGGCCGATATGATATAGCGATGGCAAACCAGTGCTGAGGTGAGGATTATCCCAGGCCAACACAACCGAGCTGCTTGCTGAGCATCTCCTGCTCTTGCTCCTGCTCCCCTTCCAACTCCTGGGCAGAACACAGTAAATAGTAAGCATGTTTTCAAAACAGAATTTCAAACAAACCAGCATCTTGTGAAGGAGAGGCCCCAGCTCACACTTCCCAGTCACCACGGCAACCACCTTTCTAAGGTCGTCGCTTGCTGCATCCTTGCACACAGCAACGTCTCTCTCGCTCAAGCTGGTATTGCTTGCTCCGCGGATTTGGGAGCAGCACACCAAGCTCTGCAACGCCTTGTCGTCCAAGTCGGCACTTGGTTTACTGGCACCCGCCTGGCCACGCTTGTGCTGCTGCCATGCGGCCAGCAGCCGGAGCACTGGCTGCGTCACGTCTCGGCACAGTGCAATGGTCGGCTCGAACAAATGGTGCTCCACAATCTCCCGCGAAGCACCTGCACATACACATGTGAATGCTGTGAACACATATCTCTCTCTAGAGATCTGTACCTGGCAGCTTGAAGTCTCGCGTGAGATCAGCCCTGGAGTACGTCGGAAGTGTAAAGTCGTACCCCTCATCGGTGCCGTATGGGCAGACAGCCCCTCCCGATACCTCCATGCGCTTCCAGAAGCGCAGCTCCTGCCATGCACACGTAAGTCTTCGTGCAGAAAAATCAAGCAAGATCATACCTCCACAAGGTAGTAAATGACTTCGTTGACACCCCCTTCGTCTCCGTTCTCCACGACCGGCAGCCGCGGCTTGAGCATCTGATAGCCTCCAGCGGCTGCCCGGGAGCGGATCTCGTCCAGGAGCATCCAGCTGAACTCTTCCTCCTCCTCCGCCTCCCCTTGCAAGCTCACCGCGGCCAACAAGTTGACAAAGCTCCTTTCCAGCCTCAGGCTTTGCATCCTCCTGGGCAGGCTTTGCATCCATATGTCGCACTTGGCCGCAACACGGTCATTGTCGTCGTCGGCCAGACCCGACTTCACCTCTTGCAGCAGCGACGAGTTTGTACACGGCGGCCATCCCAGCCGGTTATAAGCCATGTTGATGTGCTCCACCATGGCTCTGTGCTTCGACTGCCCCCCCTGGCAGCGGAGCCACGAATGGAAGAGGCGAGCCACGGTGTTGCTTGCAAAGTCGAGCTCCACAACGGACGTGTGGAGCTCCACTAAGGCGACCATGTGGGAGCATCTGTCACCCCAGAGGCTGGAGGAGCAGTCTGCGGCAGCCTGGGCCAAATCCACACACGAGTCCTTGATAGCCTGCACAGTAGCCGATTTAAGACCTCTCCAAGTGTTATGTATACGTACCTCGATCATCTTTTCGACAAAAGTTACTGGGATGCATGCTACGGGAGTGAAAGGGTTGTCCCCTTGCTGCATCATCCCACCTCGGAAACGAACCCAAGCCTCCAGCTGCTCAACGTCGCTCGAGGAGAGCGGCACCGCCTGCGAGCTGGAGGTGACGTTGAACACAAAGGAGAGTGCCAGCTGAAGCATGCACAGGATGCCAGTCCCCGCCAGCTCCGGCGGCAGCGTCAGCCCTTGGCTCCGATCGCCCACTTCCTTGCTGGGAGCAATGAAATGCTTGTCCAGGTGGTGCTTGACGAATTGCACAAGGTAAAAGTGCTTGGCCACCAGGAGCCAGGTATAGAAGAGCCGGCACACCATCTCGGTTACATCGAAGGCGTCGCAAGGCTGCGGCAGCTCGACCATCGTCTCGGCCTGGGTCTCGACCGCAGCAATGGTTGACGGCTTGACATGGCAAAGCATGGCATACATCTCTGCCGGTCGAGAGGGAGTTATATACATCGGCCGATGAAACATGAAACACACTTCGGCATACCTTCAAGGATGTGATCAGAGTGAGGAGCGTACGGAACATCTCTGGACGTATACTAGGAAGACACAAGAAACACAGGTGAGAAAAATCCATGGAGTTACTTGCTTACAGCTACGAGCAGCGACATGATCGCCTTGAACGCTGGCCTGTTGGAGAAGCAAGCCGTTGGACACCAATCGTGGGCAACGCCAGTGCCAGGATCCGCGTAGCGGCAAAGGCTGAGAGCCAGGCGCACGAAAGCCGCTCCAAAGAAAGGAAAGTTCTCCGACGCGGCCAGCTCCCAGATGTCGTGGCGCACCTTGTCGATGCTGATGCTGGGCATGGACGCGAAGTGGTGCAGCTCCTCCAGGAAGCTCGGGTACAGGGGTGCAATCCCACACCGCCGGTACAGGTCGTGGATGATGTGCTCGAACCTCTTGCCGGCGGGGCCGTGCAGCCACAAGTAGAAGAGCGCAACGGCATTGTCATCCACCCAGAAGAGCTTGCGCCGTTGCGACTCCCGCGCTACCTCCATAGCCAAAGCTCGCGCCCTAGAGGGCGTCCGTACCCCTTTACCTCGTCTTTGCCGTTGGATGAAGAAGAACCAACGGTCAAAGATTAAAGTTATGATTTTGATATAAGTAGAAAAAAATTGCTTGTAACTTGTTGCGCATCTTCCCTTGACACTTTAGATCTGCTTGTTGATTTTTCTATTGATACATCTAAACTAACCAAGGACTCATACTACTAATTTGCCCAACAATCATCACTTTTATTATGTTTCTAGTTGCCTGAAGTAAGCTTTGGATCTGGATTATCCTTCCCACAGATTTTGCCAACCTTTTTGTGAGTGGGAAAGTTAGCATCACGATTTCACGGAATGTAGTGTCAATGGTTATTGCGAATGCCCAGCCCAGATCACCCAAGTCATTCCTATTGCCATGCCTTCATTCTTTCTTTTTTCTCAAGCAATCGTTTCTAGTAAATTTCTCTCAAATGGTTAAGAAAACAACAAATAACAATAACATTGTTTCCTTGCCCCACAGTCATGGCTGTAGATTGATTTCAAGGCTGGAGAATGTTGAGAACACCACTGAAATAAAATTATTTTGCTGAGAGAAAGAGTGTGTCCTTGCTAGCATTGTCAGAACCAAGATATGCTAGGCTCTGGCAGAACAAGATGAACTCAATTCGGCATCTTAGTGCATTTGCACAAAACCCACAACTGATGATCTAGAGGAATCAAGAGAGGCATAAATTTGGAGGGTGGGGTCTAACTTAACTCTCCCTTAAGTGAAAGAAAATGAAAATTTTCTTAAAAAGGGTAAAAAAAATTTGAAACAATGAATGCAAGAAATTTTAAAATGGAAAAGCTTAAAATTTTTGACAATTCTTCTCTTGTCCTTGATCTTTTTGCTAAGCAATGGGGATGGTTGCAGCAGTTCTAAGATTTCTCAACTATGTTAAATAGGTAATGATTTTGCCCTTAGGTTATCCTCTAAAACAAAACCAATATGAAAGATCAGTAAGTAGGTGTTAAAAGAGCAAGATGGAAGCTTTATTTTGTTCTCTGTAAAAATGTACTATAAATAAAGCAGTAGCATATCATGGTCTTTTTCAAAATGCCCTTAAATGTTACGTTGAAATTACCCAAATTCTATACAATAGAATATTCTTGAAGAATATTCTTTCTCTCCCTAAAGGATGAATGAATATATTGGCACGGCACTTTTCTACAATTATGGGGCGTGTGTTGGTGCTGCATGAAAAGAAACATTTTCTTATTGGTTCAGAAAGAATATTTTATGCATGAAATTGAATATTCTCCAAGTGAAATGCATATTTGGCATGTGAAATTTATAGATTCTTAAAGGATATTCCTCATAATTATGGTGACCATGGCTATATAAATAGTACCTTCACATTCATCGTATTTGAAATTTTTCATAACCCCAAAATTTCTCAAATTCATTCTTATACCATATAGCCCCTCTTCTAATTCAAACTGATAAAAGCTTGTTAGCATTATTCAAGTTTAGCAAGGTAGAAAGAGTGATTTCAGATTGTTAGTGACATGGATAGGGTGACATGGATGACACACATGAATAGCAAGTGAATCCACTATTAAAAGTATATCAAAATGCAATTATAATAAATATCATGTATCATTCACAACATATGAAACCACTAATATTAATGAAATCTTACAAATTCAATAACTATTCATAGGGAATTGATAGAGTATAAGATTTTTTTTTTGGTTTGCCTAAGCAAATCTATAGAGGACTGAGATGGTAGTGGATATACCTAAGATATGTTTGAATATTCTAGGATATTCTACCATCTTATTCATTTAGATTAATTTTGTATTTATAATTTATAAACTTTTTAAAACCCTTTCTAGTATATTCTTTTTTATTCTATCATCTAATGGTTGATATGCAATAAGACTAATCTTGTGTTTATAAATTACTAACATGCTTATAATTTAAAAAATTATTTAATCAATTAAATTGATAAGTAAACCAAGTGTTATTACATGCAACATATTTATTTTAGTGTACCTGAACAAGCATTTCAATGCTTGTCCAGCATTTCATTTCATGGCAGCAGCACAAGCGTGGGCAGCCAGGTGCGAGTAGACTAAGTGCTGACTTGGACAACAAGGTGTATCCACCGAGCAAGCAATACCAGCTTGAGCACAAGGGACGTTGTGGTGTGCAAGGAGGCAGCAAGTGACGACCTTAGCATGCTCTGGTGACTGGGAAATGTGAGCTGGGGCCTCTCCTTCACAAGATGCTACAGGCGGGGAAATTCTAGTTTGAACACAGACTTGTGTTCTTCCCAGGAGTTTGAGAGGCAAGTACGAGAAGGAGCACAACTCGGCTGTGTTGGCCTGGGATAATCCTCACTGCTGTCCTGGTTTTCCATTGCAATAACCTATTAGCCTCGTCCTGACCAGTGCCAAATCCTTTCTGTCCAGGAACCTAAATGGATGGACAAAAACTACAAGCTAGTAATAGTAAGACCTGGAGTGAATCAAAGGCCTTGGAAACCAGCGACAATAGTCGTCCAGGTCCTGCGTGCACAGACCATGACAACATTAGCTCCAGAGCAACATCTTTATGTAGTAACGGGTCCACTTAGTCTTATTGATATTCCAAAGAATGTAGAAACTAGGAATGCTCCAAATGCCCATGCATGAGATTTGTCATAGAAAAGTGAAGACATACATCGTACTTTAGAACAAAACGCACTCAATATACATTCATACGTACTAGTATTTTAGAACCCTGGATCAACTCCTCGAGACCGCCTTCTTCTGCATCCGCTTGGAGAGGGCTACCATCAGCTGAAGCACTTTGTCTTGGTTCCCATCTTCCCACCCGCAGAATGTGTTGTACAGATCGACAGCGTTCCCAGCGAGCCAGCTGAGGTTGTCCCTGCCAATGCGGCGCCCTGCGCAGTTGTTTCGGCATTCCCGTACATGAAACTCAGCCAAACCATCATGGATCAAACAGGGTACGGTGGCCACATTGCGGCTGGCGGCGACCCTGCGGCTGGTGGCGATGCTGGGGCTGGCGGTGATGGCGGCGACGCTGGGGTTGGAGGCGACCCTGCGGCTGGTGGCGACGCTGGGGCTGGCGGCGATGGCGGCGACGCTGTGGCTGGCAGCAGCGCTGCCGCTGGTGGCAATGCTGGGGCTGGCGGCGACCCTGCGGCTGAAGCTGGCAGCGCCAAGTGCTGTGGGAGCAAGATTTGCAGGTCCTGCTTGTCGTCCCGCCAGCCACTCCTGGAAGATGTCAGCGCACCAGTCAGGAAGGGGAGGATACGGGCCTGGTTCCATTTCGGAGAGAAGCTGGAGGATGCAGCCCTGCAAACCTTGGTCGCTCTCGCCGCCCCGTTCGTCCATCGCGGCTCGGGTGACCTAGATTTTCGTTCTATAAAGTCCTATTCAGACATACAACTTTTATCTCCCGTTATAGCAAATACAATTTAAAGGCAGTACCTTTGATTAATCAATGGTTAAGAGCACAATTAAGTAGGTTTAGTTCTTAGTAAACAAGTACTTCCTCCTGGAAAAAAATAGAATTACATATTAAAATAAGTTTAAATCACGCTTTTGTTGAATGCTTAATGCTCCAAATGAAGGAAAAGCTGGGTTAAGAAAATTTAGCTATTCTTATGGAAATAATTTCTTTAAAGGATTTCATCCCCAACAAAGAAAATTATTTGGATTTTTTTTTAAATTAAAAGGAACTATCAATATTATTAAGTATAATTATTAAAATAATTATATAGTTAAAACATTATAAAACATGAAAAATATTTTAAATGATAAAATCTTGCACAACACTTGATTTTCTTATCCATTTCTAATTTAATCTAATATTTGTATTAATTTTATTATTAAGAATAATTATAATAATTAATAATCTTGTATTTATAATTTAAAAACATGTTGGTCAACATGGCAACATGTTTGCCAATGGTAAACATAGCAACTTAAATACTTTTCATTTGTTTCCTAACCACATACACCACCTTTACCCCTTAAATTCATTAAGTATTTTAATGGTTTAAAACTTAGCCCTTCTTTAATCTTAAGGGTTTCGCTTAAAGTACTTTTAATTCACATTCATAAAATAAATAAAGCCCTTAAATAAAGCCTTGTTGATTTAGAACCTTCTACTCACCTCAAGTACTGCGAGGGGACGGATCCACTCACGCAGCCACCTCCCACCCGCACAAGGCATGGGGATGGCCATGCTACCACCAGATCAAAGGTATGCCGATGATGCCAGGACCAATGCACGACACAGCCAGCGGCGATGCTGCGGACCACTCAGACGAGCACATGCTCGCCCCAGGCGGAATGTCTCTCGGAAGGCCTCGATCTTGGGAGCCCCAGAGGGAGGAAGATCCGGCAAGATCACCCCGGGACCTCCACAGCATGTCTTCTAGTCCAAGTCTCGGTTTCTAGTCTCATAGCTATTGTCTCAATCTCTCACAATCCTATGGATGCAAAGTGTCCAAGTATAGATGGAGGTTTGTTTCTTTTTATTTCCGTGGTGATCTACTCACTGTATAACAGGTTTGGTGCAAAACCATCAAAGAGGTGATGCAAGTCTATAGTGCGTTGGACAATGGATAGAGGACAATCACAATCTCTACTGCAGTATTTGTTCAGAAGTACGTTCGACTGCCATAAAAGGATCAACACCAACACAAAATTATGGTTTGGCAAGAAACGAAATTTCTCTTTATGCAAGACGACTGTAGAGACTTTGGCTATGAAGAATTGTCGCTTGGCACTCCAGTCTGTGACAAGTGCATTGGCACAATCTGACTGGAATGCAAACTACGCACCCCCATAATGCGGTCTATGATCCGGTTGCAATGATGAAAGGCTAAGATGGTTGATACTGCTATAATGCAAAGTCTAGATCTCTATCAGCCTCCAAAAAAGGATGCAAACATCAAGGCTATGGTACAGTTAATTCTTGGGTATGTCTCTCTAGGTTGTTGCAATTGTGGTCAAAGGAGTCGTCAAGTTCCTTGGCTTGATCTCTCCTTCATGGTTTGGTCGTGTCCAGCTTGACTACCAATCAAGCGCTGCTCTACTTGTTGCACATCGCTTATTTCCAGTCTCTATTGTCCAGGTGGGAATTCATATGATGTCTCTTAAATTGATCCTTAACTTTCAAATGTCTCCTCTGGCAGATCAATTTTTCCACTGGCTTCATCCACAAATCCCTCTTTGAGTCTCATGGCATTGGTCTTATTTCCACTGGTGACATATGGAAGGTGATTCATATCCCATCAAGATCGTGGGAGCTGGGAGGGTGCAAGTGCTTTGCAACTGGAAATGAAGTTTTTCATGAAAGAATAGTGAAAATCAATGCTAAACAAAATTCTCCCCATGCACAAAGTTTCTACTTTAATCAGGATGTTCCATTCCTTTTACCAATATTTAATGTAAAATATTTAATGAAATGGAAGAGGTGAAGAATACTTTTATGAATTTTTTATATTTTCAAGTTTAAAAGGAACATGAGTACGATGTTAACCTTTTTTTCAACTTTTTTGATAATCCTTTTTGTGAAGTTGATGAAATGTTTTATTTATTAACATTCAGTAAACTCTTTGGGATAAAATTTCTGTGTGATAAAACAATATATCCCAAAACTTATATTTATAAAAGTATTTTATAATATAACTATATTCAAAAACTATAGGCTTACAATAATATAGGCTTACAATAATCCTATAAAATATAATAACTTATATTTTTAAAACAATTATATAATATAACTATATTCAAAAACTATAGGCTTACAATACTATAGGCTTACAATAATAACACCTATATAACTTCAAAGAAAAACTATCAACATTTTCATAGATCATTATAATATTTTCTGTAATTTTTCATTAGCTAAAAGTAATATATTTTTATAAATATAGTTTTTGTGATATATTAATTTATCACATAAAACTTTATCATAAAATCTTCTATCTTAAAATACAAACTAAACTTTTTAGAACATGATCTGGAGTGTTATCAATCATTTTTCAAGAAAAATATTATTATTTATTATTTTTAATTAATTAATTATATTATTAATTTAAATATTTAAAATAGCATTGAAACATTATTAGATATTTTACTATATTTTCTAAAATTATTTAAATATAGTTTAAATATATTATTATTATACTCTTTGATTAAATTTTTAAGATTTTTAATTTTAAAATTATGAAGGGTAAGGCTAGTTTTTCATGATTCACCAGTACTATAATACATATTTATTTTTCAAAGTTTTTTAAAAAGTAAATTGGGAATGAATATACTATATTTGAGTCATTGTAAAGCTTATATACATATATACACACACACACACACACACACACACACACACATATATATATATATATATATGATATTTTAATATCATTTTAATATTTTCAAATGCTTAAAAGGAATATGACTATCATGTTTAACTTGTTCTTCAATGTATTTGGTAATATGACTTCTTTTATAATATTTAAAAAATATTTTTATTATTAAGATTTAATAATTTTTTTGAGCTATATTATTTCATCACACATCATTATAATAATGTTTCTTTTTTAAGATTTACACTATTTTGGAAGGGTAGCACCCAATTTTATTTGGTGAATTTCTATTAACACCTTTTTAAAAAACTTTTTAATTTACTTTTTAATGCAATTTATAATAAAATATCTTTTATTATTTAGTTTTTTTTTTGTTTAAAATTTTTCTAACATTTTGAAGTTGCATTCACTTTTTTTTTTGAGTCTTTGGACAATATAAAAATGTTAAGTGTGACATTTTAAAATAATTCTTCTATATATAAATTTAAAATTCAATGAAATTAACATTCATTAGTTTACAGTGATAAATGATCTAGTAGATGTTTTTCTAGTTTGAAGCTCTCATTTTCTCATTCCATCTTTGATGTTGTATTAGGCTTTGAAGGAAGTTCAAAGAGATAAAGTTCGTTGCAATGAAGAAAAAGCTGAGGTGGTTGACATTGTTGTAATGCACAGTCTGGATCATCTGGGAGTTGATTTCATTGACGTGCTTCTCTATCAGCAAAAAGGATGCAAACATCAAGGCTATGGTAAAGCAGATTCTTGGGGTATGTCTCTCTAGGTTGTTGCAATTGCAAAACTTGTGGTGAGAGGAGGAGTCGTCAAGTTCCTTGGCTTGATCTCTCCTTCGGTCTAGAAAATAGTGAGTGTGCATAGCTTATTTCCAGTCTCTATCATCCAGGTGGGAATTCATACAATGTCTCTCAACTTGATCCTTAACTTTCAAATGTCTCCTCTGGCAGATCAATCTTTCCACTGGCTTCATGCCGCAAATTCCTCTTCGAGTCTCATGGCATTGGTCTTATTTCCAGTGGTGGCATATGGAAGGTAAACACACTTGATTCGTATCCCATCAAGATCGTGGGAGCTGGGAGTGCTTTGCAACTGGAAACGAAGTTTTTCATGAAAGAACAGCGAAAATCTTTGCTAAAGAAGATTCTCCCCATGCACAAAGTTTCTACTTTAATCAGGATGCTCCATTCTTTTAACGTAAAAAAAATCGAGGAAAGAAATGGAAGAGAGGAAAAGAAGAGGAAGCCAGCCTTCCATTGCCGCGTCTTTCAACATCCCCTCGCCATTCCGCGCTGACCGACGGCTGGCAGTCACTGTGGTTGGAATCCTAGGGCACGCCACATTCCGTCTAGCTTTGAAATAGCTCCAATAGAAACATGTCCTCTTCGCCCAGCAGAGTAGCCGCGCTTGGAAGATTTGGGGCCGCCAGCGCCGCGACAACAATGAAGAAAATCTCCCCCGCTATGCCGCCATCGCCCAAGAAGTGGAGATGGGGAGGACCATCGCTCTCGTCGCCCAGGATTGGATCGTTTCTTCTCGTCTTCTTGGTGCTCTCCCTCCTCGCCCTCAATCTGGAGACCATCTTCCCCTTCTACTATCAATCAGGTGGGTCGATCGATCGCTCTTCCTCTCTGTGTTGCGCTGACCATGGGCGATGCTAGCAGATGATGATGTCAGCTCGAGAGTGGAGCTCCACCGCGATTTGCAATGGCCCAGCGCCAGCTACTTCACAATGGAGCACCACCCGCGCGATCGTGGCAGTCGCCACAACCATCACCGTCGCGAGCTCAAGAATCCATACCAGGAAGAGGAGCGAAGCAGCGGGCACAGCGTGCTCTTGCCCGGGAGGTTGGGGGGCACTGGCGATGAGATCTTCCTGTGCGATCGCTCCCATCCTCGCTCGGATGTGTGCTACCTCAAGGGCGATGTCCGGATGGACTCGCGCTCCTCGTCCTTCGTGCTCGTGGCCAAGAACGCGAGCACGCGGCTGGGCGAGGAGAGAATCAAGCCATACACGAGGAAGTGGGAGCAGAGCTGTATGGACATCGTTCACGAGGTGAGAGTCCGCGCGGTTCCATCGCCATCGCCCCAAGAAGACGATCAACACGAAGGAGAACACAGACAAGGCGAAGAACACGAGGGGGCCGAGCGGAGATGCGATGTCTACCACTCTGTTCCAGCGGTGGTGTTCACCACCGGCGGCTACACCGGCAATGTGTACCACGAATTCCACGATGGATTGATCCCGCTCTACATCACATCCCAGCACCTCAATCGCGAGGTGGTGTTCGTGGGAGTGGAGCTCCACAACTGGTGGCTCACCAAGTATGGCGACGTGATCGCCCAGATGAGCAATCACCCCGTCATCGATTTCGATCGCGACGAGCGCATCCACTGCTTCCCGGAGGTGACAGTCGGCCTCCACATCCACGACGAGATGGCCATCGAGCCATCGCTCATGCCGGGCAACCAGACCATCGTGGATTTCCGCAACCTCCTCGACGCCGCGTATCAGGAGGAGCTGGCTCAAGCTCCGGAGCCACCGCCACCATCGCCAGCGTCTTCGATCGGCCAGCCCAGGCTGACAATCATCGCCAGGAACGACACGCGCGTCATCCTCAACCTGGACGAGATCGTGGGCATGGCTCGGGAGCTGGGCTTCTGGGTGGAGATTCGCAAGCCCGATCGGACGAGCGAGCTCAAGAGGATCTACCGCGCACTGAATTCCAGCGACGTTCTGCTGGGCGTCCACGGCGCCGCCATGACCCACTTCCTCTTCATGCGCCCTGGATCGGTGTTCATCCAGGTGGTGCCGCTGGGAACCAAGTGGGCCGCCGCCGCCTACTACGGCCAGCCCGCGCAGAAGCTCGGCCTCGACTACATCGGCTACGAGATCGAGGCCAGCGAGAGCTCGCTGAGCGACAGGTATGACGAGAACGACACGGTTCTCACCGATCCGGCCAAGATCAGCACGCAGGGATGGGCCGTCGTCAAGGAGATCTACTTGGAGGGCCAGAATGTGAGGCTCTCTTTGCCGCGATTCAAGAGGACTTTGCTGGATGCCCGGAGGAAAGCCATGGCCTTTCGGCTGCGACAAAGGTGGTGAGCAAAGCAGCGAGAGTGAGTGAGTGAGATTCTTTCCCATACTTTTTTTTCTCTTCCCGAGGAGTATGAATCGCGTTTCGCGTGGTGTACAGTATAGGCAGTCATGAATTTTTTTTCCGTGATCTCTCTTGCAAAGACGAGAGAGCTCACACCACACTTCACACCAATCAAGCCAATTGCTAGAACAGGAACGAACGCCTGTTCGAGTTTGGTTGTTCTTGCGTGTTGGACGAATCTCTCGTTTCGTTTTCGTTGTCCAGAACAGAAGCGATGGAGAGAAACACGGCTTTGCTTCACTGTATCCGCCTGGATTCCTCTTTCTCGCTCACATGCTACGAATCCTCGATTACGCATGAGAAATCAAGGCTTGCGGTACAATCCAAACCGAACAGCTCTGGCCAGACTTTGCAGCACCTCCAACAACGAATGAAAAAGGTCAAAGAAAACAAACAAAAACCAGTAACTTACAGAACTGAGGATAGGAAATTCCCGGGAGCAACAAGCCGACAAGGAGAGATGGCTCCCCACCACTGGCTCGGCTTCGTTCGTTGCTGCCAGAGCCTTGGGCTCTTCCTCGTTCTGTCTCCTTGTCCGAGTGCCACATCTCCGCGGTAATCTCGCTGCTTTGACCTTCACCGCTCGCTCCACGTAAAGCAAGAGCTGTTTGTTTAGCTGATGCATCCTGTGATGGACTGCTGCTGCACGACCGATGCATTGATTGAGTGGTCCGTTTAAACTGGATCCGAGAAGTCATCTGGGCACACATGAGCACATTAAACTAGCAGCCTTTTAAAAGGAGGATAAGTTCTCGCAAAAGGAAAGGAGGGAGGGAGCTTACTTTTTTTACTTTGCAGCGCGGAGCATCCGAGAAGAAAAGCAGCGGCTGAATGGACGAATGACCCGAAACTCTGGCGAGAGCCATGTTCTATCGTCTCGTGGGGCTGCTGTAAAGTTCAGTCGGAAAGAGATATGAAAATCTCGAGGAATTAATTTCAGAAGTTGCTTACTTGAAGCACGTTGTCAACGTGCTAACCAGAAAAACGCGGCCTCGGAGGAAGAATCACACGCACAAGTGGTCAACCTTCGTGCAAAAGCAACGTCGTTCTTCTTCTCATTACAAACAGATTGAAGAACATCTGCAAGAGCGACAAGGAAATAGCTTATGTAACCTGCTGAAGATCGGAAAGCCGGTCTAACTCGGAGACCACCGAGCTTCCAATGTGGTCTACAAGAGTTCCAATCCGGTCGCCACTAAGAGCCTTGGAGATGTTTCCAGGCTTGTTCAGATCGAAAACCACCACTGCACAGAATCAACATCTGGTCAGACAAGACGAGAGAACAAAACAGAAAAGCGCAAAACAAAGAAAAGGACATTCCGACCTGGTATGCTGTTCTCTTGGCAGAGTGTTATAGCAGTGAGATCCATGACGTTGAGGCCCATGGCTGCCACTTGACGGTAAGAGACATGATCCAAGAGCCTGGCGCAGGAGTTCTTCCTGGGATCACAGTCGTAGACACCCTCCACATTCGTTGCTTTGAGCACAACTTGAGCATTTACTGCCAAGGACAAGCCAAGGGAATCAGTGAGGCATGCTGTTCGTCTGTGGGATCACGAGCCTACTTACTCTCGGCGGCTCGAAGCGCTGCAGCGGTATCAGTTGTGAAAAATGGATTGCCCGTGCCAGCACCAAAAATGACGACTCTGCCTTTCTCCAAATGCCTCATTGCCCTCCTCCTTATGTAAGGTTCGGCCACCTCTGCCATTCGATACGCGGTCTGGACACGAGTAGGCACTCCAACACTCTCGAGCGACGCTTGCAAGAAAATCGCATTCATGACTGTGGCCATCATCCTGCATGCAAGAAAAGAAAAATATCTGTTTTCATTATAAACATGAAGAAGAATTCATACCCGATATGATCTGCCGAGGCACGATCGAGTCCACTGGCACCGGCCCAGTTTGCTCCCCGGAAAAAATTCCCACCGCCTACAACCATGGCAATCTGGATGCAAACAAAGAGGATTAAAGAATTCCTTGGGAACTGGAATCGAGAAAACCAAGTAACGGCAGTTACCTCAATGCCAAGACGAGACATTGAAGCAATCTCTCTTGCAATCGACATGGTCAGCTAAAGAGGAAAAAAAAAAAAACGGTCATTCCAAGCCAGCATTAGCTACATTTTCTTGCAATACCTTTGGATCGATGTTCTGCGTGCCATCTCCCGCCAAAGCCTCACCGCTAACCTTAAGAAGCACTCTTTGCCATCGAGGCTTGGTCTTGCCGACCATCACCATATCGTAAATCCCCGGAAGCCTAGAACCGAGCAAAATCCCCGCCAAGATTGTCGATTTCCATTCCAAGAACGCACAAAATGGACATACCTGTCATCTCCGGGCGACGCGCCGCTGCTCACCGCGTCGGTCGAGACCCTGGCATCGATCGACCTCATCAGCATCATTCTTGGACGCCTTCCTCCCGGGAGCGAAATCCGGCTCCTGGAAACGAATGTAGCAGCGGAAGACGAAGATGAAGAGAGAGGAATGGAGGAAGCGATGGCGCCTAGAGCATTTTCCATCCCTACAAAGGCATCGAAATGCCCTAAAACCCTAAACCCGTGAGAGAGAAGAAGATATTTTAATCTAGAACCCTAGGAGCGTCTATGTCGAATCACATTGGAGAGAAGAACATAGGGGGCGGAATTCGCAGGATCTAGCGCTACTGCTATGGAGGCCGATTGCTCGGCAATGCCTCGATCCGAGTGGGTTGTGGAGGCGCTGAGCAAGCTCGTCCAATCCATGGAATCCGGCACGAATGGCATGGTGTTCATGAGCTCCTCTGCCTGTCGGAGCCTCCCACACCGCCCGAGAAGATCGATCACGCAGCCATAGTGCTCGCTGGTGGCCGCGATCTGGAATTCGCCCACCATGTCCACGAAGCAATCGCGAGATCGAGCCAGGAGCCCCGAGTGGGTCAAGGAATTGAGCAAGCAAACAAACGTCGTCCCGTCGGGATCCACTCCCAGCTGTGCCATCTCCGTGAAGAACAGCAGTGCTTGGTTGTGGCGATGGCGATCATGCCCGGTCTGGGCGTATGCTCCAAGCATGGAATTCCACGCTGCGAGGCTCACGCCCTTCTTCGCCATGGAATCAAACACGGCTCGAGCATCGCTCAGGCACCCGGCCTTGGCGAACATATGGATCATCGCCACTCCAATCCATTCGTAGCAATCCATTTCTTCCATGTAGCAGCTAGAGATGAATCTGTGGAGTTTGTGAGCGTGAGTGGAGCTCTGGCACGATCCGGCAATCGTAGCCATCACGGTCTCGTTGGGCCGCATTCCCTCGATCTCCATGCACCGCACAAGCCCAATCGATTCCTCCAAATGCCCGTGCTGGGCAAATCCAGCAACAATGGCGTTCCAGGCGACAAGATCTCTTTCTCGAATCCCCTGAAACACTTCCAGTGCTTTCTCCACTGCGCCCAATCTGGAGTACATGCTAACTATCGCGGTGGCGACGACGATATCGCGATCGAAGCCACAAGCCACAGCTCGATCGTGGAGCTGGGTGCCCGTTTGTAGATCCTCGCAAGCTCCCAGCAAGCTGATGAAGCTCACCTCGTCAGCTCTCACTCCTTGGCAATCCATCCTCGGGAGAATTCCCATGGCTTCCCGGGGGCAATCGTTCTGTGCCAGTGCTCCAGCCATGGCATTCCAAGCGCTCACCTCCTCTGTTCTTCCGACGAGCTTGATCTTCGCAAAGCTGGATCGCGCATCGTCGGTGCTGCCACAGCTGCCATACATGTTCACGAGAAGAGTTCCAACCACGAGATCGCTTTCTAGCTCGAGAGCTGCGATCCAGCGATGGATTTCTCGACCATCTTCCAAGTTCTCGAGCTCGCTACACGCTTCCACCAGATTGATCAGCGTCACCTTGTTGGGTTTCATCGCGCTGCGTTTCATCCTCTTGAAGAGATCCAGCGCTTCCATCGCCCGACCATGCTGGACGTACTGCGTGAGCATCGCATTGTAAGTCGCCAGTCCCGGATCACCCAAGCGTTCGAAAACCTCCACGGCACGATCGAGCTCTCCAGATCGCCCATGCATGCTTAGCAGCGCGCTTCCAACGACTGGATTGTCCTGGTAGCCGGAATCCATCACTCGATCGTGGAGAAGCTCTCTGTCTCTGGGCGATTCATCGTTTAACCCGCAAGCGCCCAGCACGAGAACGAAGGTCACGCCCACGAATCTCACGCCCTCGAGATCCATGACCCGCGAGAGCTCCATCGCTCGCTGGAACTCCCCACACTGAGAGAAAGACCCGATCATCGCATTCCACGATATCACATCCTTGATATCCATGGAGGAGAAGATCGCCCAGGATCTCTCGCTGCTACCACAGTTCCCATACATGGTTATCAGCGAGTTCATGGTGGCGAGATCAGTGTCGAGACCGATGCCTCGAGCTCGCTCGTGGATGTTCTTGGCGACGTCGAGATCCATGCACACGGCCGCAAAGCCAAGGAGGGTGGCGGAGGTCTCTCGGACGCCTTCCAGCTGCATCATCCGGAAGAATCCCAGCGCCAGAAAGAAATCCCCGTGCTGCGCTGCCGCCGAGATCATGGCATTGAAGCAAACGCTGTCTCGAGCTCGCAATCTCTGGAACACTCGCGTCGCGGCCTCGAGGCTCCCACACTTGGAGTACGTGTTGACGAGCGCGGTGCCCAGCACCACCTCGGTTTCCAGCGCCATCTCCGAGCACGAGTCGACGATCCTCTGGTGCACGGCCTCCAGCTCCGCGAGATCTCCCAGACCGGCACAAGCGGTGAGAACGTTGATGAAAGTTATCCTCGAGGGTGGACAACGCATCTCCCAGAAGAGAACAATGGCCTCCTTGTAATGCCCATTCTGGGCATACGCAGCGATCATGATGTTCCACGAGAAAACATTTGTTCTTTCCATAGCATCAAATGTGGACTTTGCGTCGGCGATGCTCCCACACTTGCCATACATCTGGAGCACCAAATTCATGAGAAATATGTCTTGACAAGTGTGTTGAGCGAGCATGATCTTTTGGTGAATGGATCTACCTTGCGGAAGTGACCCCGCATCTCGACACTGGCGCAGGGTCGTAGCGTAAGAGCTCCTCACGGCCTCCATATACTCCTATAGCAATCCATAGATTTCCCAAAACATTTGCAAATGTGATCCAAGAAGAACGGACCCAAAGAAGCTTTGATTTGACAAACAGTAGATGCTAGTGGAGCAGCAGCGGCAGCCCCTCAGATCATGCAACACTTCGAAAGACCCCTGCCGCCAAGGGGAAGCACAAATCCGCCATAGCTGGGTTGAAGAAGCCGGAATTTTCACTACTTCAGCTGACATCAACCGTGGCCCATTCTGTGCGGGAATGGCGACGCGATGCTGGAAGACGCGGCGCTTTCTCTTCCATTACGTTAGCGTTAGCTAAATGTCGTTTAAAAAAAGTAAAAAACTTTCCTTTGCGAGCTAGGGTTTTAGAAAGGGAAGCGATGGAGGCGACGAATCTAGAGTCTCGATCGATCGAGGATGGCGCGAACAAGGCCGCGGAGAGCGGCGAGGTAATCTCCGATTTAGAGGTTTCCGGTCCCAAGAAAGGGAGCGGGAATGTGGACGACGGCGTTGATTCCCAGGCGGGAAAAACCGATGTAGCTTCCAACGAGGACGACGCGATTGGAAATTCGAGCTTGCCGGTGGTCGACAAGGACGAGAATTTGGAGGAAACAAAAGAAGAGCAAGAAGAAGCTCCAGTGGTGGAGGGAAAAGCACCGGAGGTCGAGAAGAAAGCCGTCTTACCATGGGAGGAGGAAGAACAAGTACCGCCGGAGCAGGAACCAGCGATCGAGAAAGGAGGACAGGAAGAACAAGTTGTGAACTTAGAGGAACCAGCGATCCAGGAAAAACAAGTGCCAGCGAAGAAGGCCAACTTACGACGAGAACAGGAAGAACAAGTGCCAGAGGAAAAAGCCAAGTTACCACGAGAACAGGAAGAACAAGTGTCCCCAATCGAGGAGATACCACGAGAACAGGAAGAACAACTGCCAGTGACCGAGGAGAAGGCCCAACAGGAGGACCAAGTGCCAGTGATCGAGGAGAAGGCCAAGCTACCACGAGAGAAGGAAGAGCAAGTGCCAGTGACCGAGAAGGGATCGAATTTACTGCGAGAACTGGAGGAGGAGGAAGATAATTCACGCGAAGAGGAGGTAAAGGAAGAAGAAAAGCTGCCCGTGGAGGACACGACCCAGGAAATCAAAGAACAGCATTTCATCGCGGGGGAGGATCCAAAAGCAGAACTGGGAGGTTTCGCCAAAGTCTACGAGGAACGCAGCGATGAGATTGCGCTGGATCATCACGAAGCTCCTCCGCCGCCACCTCCTCTCGTGGACGTCGCTCATCCCCCGGTGGAATCCATAGCAACGAATGGAGGCGATTACCATGGTAGCGGTGGTGGCGGAACTGGAACCATCGCGAAGACCAAGTCCATGATCAAAGGTTTCCTGTCGCGGTGTCTTCCAGAGTTCGAGAGATTTGACGCTCACTCGTGGGCATCCGGTCTCGCTCTGGGGATCATCGTGACGTGCTCCGCGGTCGTCATCTCCAAGAAGCTCGACAACATCAAAGGTAAATAAATAAACACATATAAAAGCTTTGCCTTATCGTTTGGTAGTATAGTTTAGATAACCTTATCAAATGCGAAGAAAAATCAAGAAATAGGTCTTCCACGTGGCGCAATCTCATTTGTACCTTTTTATTACGGCGAGTGGCTCCAGAGTGTTTTATATTGCCCATTGCTTGCGAAATAGGCTTTTTCTTTTCCCTTCCCCGCGGCCTTGTGGTGTTCTTGAGCGCTAGAGGAGGGCGGCGGCACGGCGCGGGTTGCGTGGAGGGGCATCGGGCGGCGCGCAGGGCGCGGGCCTGCGATCCAGGTGTCGGAGCTGGAAATCTGGGGGCTAGGGTTGATTCTGTAGCTCAAGGGTCTCGTTGGATGCCCCAGCGATGTCTGATTGCCGCCACGGATCGCCGCTGCCGCCTCTTCCTCTAGGCCGATTGAAATCCCGCAGCGGCGGCTCACGCCGCTGGAGCTCGTGTCCTCCCTTTTTGTAACAGCGTAGATGTGCTGCGTCATGGAGGTGGAATCAGGGGCCAACGCCGCCGATGCCGATGATTCCGAGTTTGTCGAGGTCGATCCCACTGGGCGCTATGGCCGGGTAAATTTTTTTCTTTTCGACTTGTGGCAAGATGGAAGAGCTCATGGTGGTTTTTCTCTCAGTATAACGAAGTCCTGGGTCGTGGAGCCTTCAAGACAGTGTAAGTCCTTTTTGTCGAGGAGATGGTTTTCGTTCCTAATGGGTTTTGATCTGTGTGTAGTTACAAGGCTTTCGACGAGGTGGATGGTATCGAGGTTGCCTGGAACCAGGTGAATGTCCAGGATGTTTTGGGAAGACCCGAGGACCTTGAGCGGCTCTACTCGGAGGTTCACTTGCTGAGGGGCTTGAAACACAAGAACGTGATCAAGTTCTTCACGTCATGGGTGGATCCACGGACGAAGAATGTGAACTTCATCACCGAGATTTTCACCTCCGGCACACTGCGACAGTGAGTTCCCTTCACATCCTTTAGTTTGAGCTTTAGCGTGTGTTTGTTTTTTGGTTTCGTCTCTTAGGTACCGCAAGAAGCACAAGAATGTTGACATGAAAGCGGTCAAGAATTGGGCTAGGCAAATCCTTCGTGGGCTGCTGTACTTGCACAGCCACGATCCTCCCATTATTCACCGCGATCTAAAGTGTGACAATATCTTTGTAAATGGGAACCAGGGAGAAGTCAAGATTGGAGACCTCGGCCTGGCGACAATTCTTCGTCAGGCTCATGCTGCGCACAGTGTGATTGGTGTGCATTTTATTCTCTCTCTCTCTCTCTCTGTCCTTTATTCTCTTTTCTGATCAAAGCGGTGCATTTTCCAGGTACTCCGGAGTTCATGGCACCGGAGCTTTACGAGGAGGACTACAATGAACTTGTTGACATCTACGCTTTTGGCATGTGCGTGCTGGAGCTCGTTACTTTCGATTACCCTTACAGCGAGTGTACAAATGCGGCACAGATTTACAAAAAAGTGTCGTCGGTGAGAGTTCTTGCACGATACGATTGAAACTTGGCAGCTCATTCTCGAATTTGTTTATGCAGGGAATAAAGCCTGCCGCCCTTGACAAGGTCAAGGATCCAGAGGTCAGAAGCTTCATTCAAAAGTGCCTCGCCACAGCATCCAAAAGGCTACCTGCACGGGAGCTACTGAAGGATCCATTCCTTCAGTGTGAAAGCGATCGGGACGGCGTAGCAGATTCCTTGCCAAGTCTTAACAAAGATCGGGTCAACGACATGGAAGAGCTAGTGAAGCCGAATGAAAAGATTAAGGCACACGGCAGCTTCGACAGTTGCCACTCACAGGAAACAGATAATGACGACATATCTAGAAAGCCTTCTAGGAACCCGTACTCGGAATTCAAGGATGATACGCAGAAAAGCAAGGACTTCAAGGTGAAGGGAAAGTTGAGACAGGACAACATATTCTTGCGGCTACGAATATCAGAGCAAGGTAATACTTTACGTAATCATTCTTGTGAGGTGACAACTGACTTTCTCGGTCTCCACAGGTCATGTGCGAAACATCCATTTTGCTTTCGACTTGGAAGCTGATACCGCTTTCAGCGTTGCCAGTGAAATGGTAACCGAGTTGGACCTGTCAGACCAAGACGTAGCCACAATCGCAGAGATGATTGACGCGGAGATATTGTCCCTGGTTCCGGACTGGAAGCCTGGCGGCGCATTTGATGCGGACGACGAGAAGGGTGTTGAAGATACAGGTCCAGTTGCCGAGGCGGAAGAGCTAAACGCCACAGAGATGCATAGCACTGACTCGACGCATGGGGAAGGGATGATGTTTGGACGCTTTGAGGAGGTTTCGGTGGGCTGCCTATCGACCGATACCGATTCGGAGCCCGAGCCCACCACCGGGCTCGACAACAACGGCCATTTCAGCCCCGCAGAAGAAGAGTATCCGGAGTTGGTTTCTTCGTCGACTAGCAAGCAGGACATGGTGGCACAGTGGATCAACAGCACGTCGGGTACGTTTCACGAGGGCCTGAAGCACGGTGAGGTGGTAAACCCGGAGCAACGGGAGCAGCAACACCAGGTTTTGGCGAGCGAGGAGCAGCAGCAGGAGCAGCAGCAGGAGCAACTGCTCAAGGCGGAGAGAGAGGACGATGGGATAAACACAAGCGTGACTGACATGCACACGAGCTCGGTTGGGGATTCGGTGTCGGAGGCTACGGTGTCCGAGGTGTCGGGGGCGAAGCTGGAGGATGGCTTCGACAACACGTCCGTTGTAGGTGGTCCGCGAGAGCGAGAGTGTGTCCCGGGCGAGCTATGCGAGATATCGGTGAATCGCATGGACTGCGCGGTGGTGGAAGCGGCGACGCCGCAGCCGGGCACAGGTTTGTACAGGTATTCGCCCAAAGCGCCGGAAACTGATAACGACATTCTCAAGAAGGAGAAGCTGCAGAGGTCGATTGCGGAATTGGAAGCAAGGACGCTCGAGGGGCTCTCGAAGAAGAATGGATACTTTGCTGGCCTGGTGAAGAAGGCGGGAGTGTAGGCTCTCCCTCGGTGGTTCGTTTTTTCCCTCTAGAACTAATATCTCTTTGCCAGGCCGAGGCAGGAAAGAAGAGTTTTTATAATTTTTTTTTTTTTGTTTTTGTTTTTGTTTTTGCTCGCGTGTTTGAGTAAGTTGCCCATGAGTGCTAAGATGTAAATAGCCAAGCGTGGTGCAAGGGAGAGATCTCGATTGATTTCATGAATAAGTTGTAGGACTGAAGGTGGTGGAAATTGGACACAAGGGTTCATTGATTCTGAGTTACGAACTGATTTAAAGTCTTGTAGCTTGAGCTAAAATCTCAAGTTGACAGGTTTGTCGCATTTGAACATGGGATTTGAAATTTGCATGGTGTGTCTTTGTCAAGGATTTTTGTTCGTTTCTTGCGGGGACTTTGCTAAATTTGTGGTGACTTTGGGTAAGACTAGAACCCAAAGACTGCCTTGGTTTCACCAGCTGAGTCTCGACACCCGTCTCCCGGGTTGAAATTTGTTCTTTGCATTTTGTAACAAGTATCTGATCTATCTGCGATGTTTGGCGCCAAATTGGATAGACTAGCATGTTCTAGAATTTACAGAAATCCATTCTTGGCGTAGAACTAGTCCTGTGTAATGAAATATGGTCGAATCCATTTATTTGGTTCCATGTAAACTATGAGGAGTTCCCAACCCTGACTTCTAACTTTCATAAGTTAGGTAAATCCCCAAGCTCCGGAGCACACAACAACATTTGGAACACCAAACTCAGAAGCAGCATGCATGGTCTGCCGTCCAAGCCACAATGAAGCGGGAGTCTTCAAGCGGATGCCTAACCTGCCATGAACCATAACAAGTCGCTGCCTGGTATATGGGACGTGAAGCTACCTTTTGCCACCCTTCTTCACCAACCTGTCTTCAAGAGGTTGAAGTAGAAGCTGCGAGGATAAACATTATATGGGATGGCATGTACGTATTTCCAACTCCCTCACCTCGTGAGCATCCATTAACTCAAGCTCCACATCTGCTTCCTCTTCAACATCTAACAGAGGCTGCCAGCTGCCGGTGGAGGAAAAGTAGGGAAAAAGAGCGTCGATTGCTCTGTCCACAACGTAGAGCTGTCGAGCACCAGAGACAATGGACCCATTGGGTGGCAGAAGCCAGGGGCCAAGCGTAGGCTATGGCTTTTTTCGGGATCATGAGACGTTCTCCATCGTGCGCACACGGCGTGGGTAATGGCGAGTGGGAGATTGTCTATGGATGGGCTAAAGGTTCAGGGGTTAAAGTAGCAGACATGTTTATGTCGCGGTAACAATGGCTTGCACCATCTTGCTTGAGTTGTTCTGATCTATTGCTGAATTTCTTCTACATTATAAGCAGTAGCCAGTCCTGATCGGGATACTTGGATTCATAGAACAACACAAATGTGTTTGGCAGCTACTTAGCGAATGGCCAGTGGTGGTGGTGATGTCCTTGTTGCGATCCTTGCAATCGTTCTAATCTTTCTATGATCGTGGGGAAAGATGGTCGCAGCGCTGGTGAGTCCTGCCAGCAATTTTCAATCAACCTGGCAGCACAAGCACAGGAGTTTTTGCGTGAGCAACAGTGAAGAACTTCTGTAGTGATTAATGTGCTCACTCTTTCATCTCTGCCGTGTATCCTTTGGCTTTGAAGCTGGGTCTTTCTCCGTCTGCTACAGTCGAAGCGGCAGAGTACGGTTCCATATGGAAGAATGGGGCATTTCCCTCAAACATCTACCAATTCAATTCATTAAGGACGTGAAGTCGTTTTGCACCAGGAGAAAGAGTTACCTCGTAAAGGATCATGCCAAAGGAGAAAACATCCACGCTCTTGTCATACTTGTCGTGCTTGAAGACCTCTGGTGCCATGTATCTATCTGCAACCACAATCAGCTTTAGTAGTATGAACTATAACAGAGTCTTAGACACGCACAACTCCCTGTTTCTCCGGTTAACTTATAAAAGTCGTGGGGATTCTGTCCCCGTATAAGCTTGCTCAGGCCGAAATCACCCACCTTGAGCTCGCTTCCTTCGTCCATGATAATGTTGCTGCAAAGCATCCATTTTAATTCCACAAGCCAGGATCAATAACAAACATACCGAGGCTTAAGATCTCTATGTATGATAACGTTGGGGCCTCGATGCAAGTAAGCCATCCCGCTGGAGACAAAAGGCACAAGAGTTAAAATAGGTGGAGCATCATAGCTAGATACCGTGCAATATCCAGCGCGAAGTTGATGGCAACGGAAGAATGTAAGCCCCTCTTCTCTCTCAAAACTCTGTGCAAATCACCCTGCACCGTGACTACGTGTTAGAGAACGTTACGACTGTGACCGAACGAGAAGAACAATTACCGGACCTTTGGGAGGAACTCTGTAATGAGCATGAGAGGTGGTTTCTTTGTGACGGCTCCCAGGAACTGGACAATGTTTGGATGTCGTAACTTCACCAAGAGCTGGACCTCGTACCGAAAGTCCTCGCTGGACAGAGCACAAAAAACAAATCATCGTCAGTCAAGAGATGGAACTCTAGTAGAAAACTTACACCACCATTCTGTCGTTGCAAAGAGAGGGTAGAATTGTCTTGGCCGCTACAGGAGTTCCTCTCCATACGACTTTGCGAATCTCTCCAAAGGATCCCTGGAAAGAAAAAAAATCCCACCGCTCAAAAAGAAGAAGAAGAAAAAAAAGAGGAGATCTTCCTACCTTTCCAATTAAAGTGCTGTGTCGCAAGTCAATCTCGCTTGGATCAATCTCCCAATCCCTGTTTCGTGGAGTGGGAGGAGTAACACCACTATTCCCTGTCTGCCAAGATCTATCAAAACAAGAAAAATGCCGAGAGCAATCCCAGAGCTCTTACCAGGAGTTGTCCCCCGTAATCCTGGATCAGCCTCACCAAATTCCCAAACCCAGCAGCCTCGGCATCCGTCAAGGGCTAAGAAGAAGGCGAAACAACGCGTCAAACAAGCAACACTGGGATGGGATCCCGAGAATGCAAGCCTTGGATCGCGAGCGAGGGAGGAGATAATCCAATACATACCGAGTTTCCCCAGCGATCCGTGGCATTCACGTTGGCGCCAGCGGCGAGGAGCAGCCGGGCGGCATCGGCGCCGCCGTGGAGCGCGGCGATGTGGAGCGCGGTGCGGCCATCGTAATCCTTGGCGTGGACGAGCGCTGGATCTGCGCGGAGGAGGCGCCCTAGCTGCGCTGCGTCATTGTTTCGCGCACACGAGAGGAGCTGGACCAATAGCTGCTGCCCCTTCTTCTCCTCTAACTCATCCATGGGATGAATTTGGAGAGAAGAATGTTATGGGAATAACGCCAAAGGTAAACCTATATTTTTAAAGGCCTCCACCTCCTTGGCATTGCGGCCTACGCAAGGACAAAGATATGAAAATCATTCGCGCCGCGTGAGAGCTTTGTCCATGGAGATATGGATTTAAATCTCCTCTCCAGAGTTTCATCACCTGTCAAATTATCTCCAGCTTCTCTTCTCCTCCTTCCTCCTTCCTCTAAGATCATCGTCGCTAGCTCTTCTTCTTGCAATGACAAGACCATCGCTGCTACCATCGCTAACTCTTCCTCTTGCGATGACAGGATCATCGCTGCTAGTATTGCTCTTCGCAGCAGCATTGCTCGTCGCTGGTAGCTCTCCCCCGACCGTCTCTACCTGGGAAGGCTGCCTCGTCTCCCAGAACGCTTCCTACATTCCCTCTGGCATCCCCGAGGCGGACGCCGAGGGGCTCCAGCTCGCGCTCAACGTCGAGTACCTGGAAGCCGAGTTCTTCCTGTGGAGTGCTTTCGGACACGGCCTCGACGTTATCATCCCCGGCCTCTCCGGCGGAGGATCACCTCCCGTAGGAGCTCAGCTCGCAAACTTGGATGAGTTTACCAGAGACTTGTCCGCTCAGTTTGGCTACCAGGAGATCGGCCACCTCAGGTAGTTCTCGGGTCGTGTCGAGCAGTAGCCGGGGTTTCGAGCTAGCTCTTCTCACTTGTTTTCCCACGTAACCATGCAGGGCCATCAAGGACACTCTAGGCTCGGCCGCGTTCCGCCGTCCTGTCCTGGACCTCAGCCGTGCAAACTGGGCGGCCTTCTTCGACAGAGCCCTGGGTGGCAGCCTCAATCCTCCTTTCGACGTCTACGCCAACAGCCTAAACTTCCTGCTCGCTTCTTACATGATCCCTTACATCGGCCTCACTGGTTATGTCGGAGGAAACACCAATCTCCAGAGCTCCACGGCCAAGCGGGTAAAGTGATGTATACATCCGGAGCTGGCTGACTTCCAAAACCTTTGTCACCAGCTTGTTGCAGGCCTGCTGGGTGTCGAGTCGGGGCAGGACGCAGTGATCCGAGCCTATCTCACTGAGCATGCCGAGCGCATAGTTTCACCGTACAGCTTCACTGTTGCAGAGGTGACCGCAAGGCTTTCCAACTTCCGTAGCACCATAGACCATTCCTACGGCGTGAATGACGAGGGAATTCACGTTCCGCTGTGTCTTGGAGCCGAAGGCAGGACCACCCAAAACACCCTCGTCGGTGACGACTACTCTGTTTCGTACTCTCGCACCCCGGCGCAAGTCCTGTCCATTGTCTACCGGACTGGGAATCCTTCGTGTCCTGGCGGCTTCTTTCCAGTAGGAGCTCTAGGAATTATAGCTACAAGCTTCTTGTCAGAAGGTTGCGGCCAAGCATGAAATGCATCCCTCGTACCTTTACTTTGAAAACAAGTTCTTCTTCAGCCTGTGCGGTTGCAAGTCTGGAATCGGTGTCAGCAGCTGCCCGGATTCGGAAAGGTAGTAGTTGTTGTAGTTAATTCGGGTGATGAGTTCCGTTAGATGAGGGAAATGTCCGACGTTCAACTTAAACGACAAAACCTGAAGACAGGAGGAAAGCATTAGAACGTGGTAAGAATTATAGCTAGCGTACCCTCAAAAGAAACGCAATGCACTCGTCAAACTGCTTGGCAACGTTGTCAATTTCCAGCTGAGATCGAGGGGCAGTGCCTGCTGATCCGACAACCCCACGCTGGACAGCATAAAATTCCAGTGCCAACCCCAGTATCGACTTCACACGGCTCGAAATCAGCGTCCACTGAATGGAGTAGCGTCAGGTGAGAGGGATACAGTGCCTTGTATACTTACCAGTTTGTCTGGTGCAACAAAGCACTGCCTCTGAATAGAGATCAAGTACATATCATGGCACGAGATAACTTCATCGAGTGACCTTGCCGAAGACATTCCTTCACAAAGCTCCAGCCACGAACTGTATAGTACCTGTCACGAAACTTCTTAGATCGTGCAATTCGAAGATAGAAATGATCTTACCTGATCCATGACGTAGTGATGCAAGGTGTTTACGAAGTGCATGAGCTTCATTTGTAGAAGTAGTTGTGGTTTGTGGCTATCAGAGTCTCCCTGCCAAAAGCGTTTCAAGTGAATTGCGTCCCTCAAACAAGTAAATGCAAACCTTCCACGTCCATCGGCATGCTTTGTCCAGAGCTTGCTTTGCTCTCTTCACTTTTAGCAGGAAGCACATCACCTGTTTTACTTGAATTGAATGATTATTAAGCTCAGAAAATTTACATCGCACCTGGTTGTATCTTTTGATTGCATCACTGTCAATGATGAGCTCCAAAGGCCATGCCACCTGCCAAAGCCACAATGAAATATGCTAGAGAGGAAAGCGAAGCACACCTTATACTCAAAACGGAGGTCTTGTAAAGTATCTATGCCAAAAACTGGGCTACGTCCAGTAAACTGCACACGATGAACTGGAGACCTTTCCGCCGTTCCGCGCGATTCCATTTTTACAACCAAAGAATCTAGAGTGGAATACATGGCAGCATCCGCAGAGCTTCGAACTGATTCCTGAGCGCGAAATGAATCTATGAGAGAAAGAGAGAGGGAAAAACTACTCATTCACCTGTAGCATGGTGTTCAACTCGTAAAAATCATCCCATGGTTCCCCACGATCAAGTTTATTGAAAAGCACAAACGAGAACTGCTGCAGCAGGTCTCCTGAAAGAAAGAAAAAAAAAGAGAGAAAGAAACACATTTCCATCAACATTCTTAAGAAGAGAGATTAGACACCGTACCAGAGCCCATCAGGTAAAGAGAACGCAGAAGCGATAGTTCTTCCATCAGACGCCATTCTCCCATTAGCTTTTCAAGCAACTGTGCACCTATGGCATTAACCTGTATGAAAGCTTAGCCAAGCTACAAACTTGTGGAGGCTACGTATACCTGCTTGGTTATCAAGCTGATGAGGCATTCTTGAACTATCACTGTTGATGAAGGTGTTACCGGAAAGTCAACACGTTGTAGCCATTCTAACATTGAGATAGCCGCTCCGCACTCGGTACTTTCCTGTGCACTCACCACGATCCTTGAAATGAGTTTCAGTCTAATTTCGATCAAACTTCTTACCTCTTCTGAAGATATCTCCGCAAGAGTTGCGAACACCAGCTTCAACTCTTTTTCATCCACCAGCATTTGACGGTGCAAAATACTCCCGCATCCGCTACCATGAAGATAACTCGTACGATCAACGTGGCCCTTATCATTCGAAAACACTGCATTCCGAAGTCCATGGTCGTCCAATGAAGGCAGAATGATTGTACTGGATATATGACCTTCAGTCCCTGCGGCTATCTTAGTCAGGGATGACAGCTCGGTGGGAGGAAGGTTGTCTTGTACGAGGAGTTTCTTCAACGAAAGGCAGAAGTTCTCGAACAGAGATGTCTCTGGGGCTTGAATCAGTTGTACAGTAGATGCCTTTGCCACGCCTTCCTTCTGAAAATGCCGTAAAAGCTGCAACGATTTTCCCGCGGAAAGAATCGGCATTGCAATTGGTTGCAGAAATGAAGCACAGCTAAGACTCTGCCGCTCCTCCCCGGTTTGGTCTGTATAACGTACTAAGTATCCCGTTTGCCAAAATGCAGTGTCTTGGATTGAAGCCGAAGCATTGGCATAAAAGAACAGCTGCCCGAAATATGTTAGCCGTTAGTATGCTCGCTTGGAGCAGAATGTACCTCGCCAAAAGGATCCGACAAGCTTCCTTCCTGAAGCCAAGTATCGAGGAGTTGTACATGAGGCCACAGGCTCACGACGAACAACAGCAACAGCGTACGATATGCTTCTTCCTACAGGCAGCAAAGTTAGAACCAATGCAGAGAAGAATCGGAGGCCTACCTCCCCATCCTTCAACAAGGAGAACTTATTCAAAGCGTCAAACAGGAAAGTTAGGATGTGAGTAGACAAGTTGGCAGCATCATACGTAAAGAAGTTATTCGGAACAGCGTTGTTCACGACGTGGTCAAGGAACTTGAAAGCGGAACTGACCCTGCAGATGAAGCAAAATAGTAAAGGGTCATCAGAAAACTGTCTGCGATGCATACCAGGACAAACTCTCGGAAAGATTTAATAGAGTGACAGACGATGGCTCTTGCACCGCCTCAGTCTCTTTCTCCAGGACAGCACGCCTTATGTGCTGCAAAGAGAACAGATTATTACAGGAATGCCTCGAAATCAAAAGCAAACTCCACCTCAAGCCGCAGAGAAACTGCTTTAGCGAAAGCCTCCAACGTCGGGAACTTATGAGAAAGCGACATGGAGGCCTTGGAGACGAACTTTTGGACTCTTCTCGAGCTCGTCGCCGCAGAAAGAAATGGCCGTAGCATTACCAGCAAGCTGGATGGCGAGAGATGGGAGACGTGTGTTCCAAGTTTGAAATAGAACTGGAGCTTGGCTTTGTCCCATAAGATCGTCTCGCCAGGTGATCCTTGCAGTGCGTGAAGCACATCCTTCACCTTTGATGGAAGAAGTTACAAGACGATCGGAAAAACAAAGAAATGAGACTTACAATCTGAGCTTCGGTGACCCGGAAGAGCTGCTTTGGCACAGCAAACGGTAGCTCCACGGTTCGTACACTGCTGAGGAGATCGATGAGCTCTCCGTGACACCCAATCGATCCATTCTCCAGAGCTGCGAAAAAAACTAGAGTGTAAGAGCCTCCAAAAAACTCCGAACTCTTACCGAGCGGCACGGGCACGCCCATGGCAGCGAAGCGCGCGCTCTCCTCCTCCACGGCGATAGGGTTAGGGCGCGGGCGTCACAGCACAGCTAACCTCAAGTGACTCATACGAGATCTCGCTCAGCGATGCCTTGGAGAGGTCGGCCAGCCATGGCCGCGCACTGCCCTTGTCCGTCACAAGATTGTAGGCGAAGGACGATTCGCAAGAGTGTGGCGCATCGAGAGTCCTCTGGAGCACCACCAAGCTGGAGAAAGTGGAGAAGCTGTTGCCCACGAACACTGTGGCTCGGCGGCAGATCTCATAGTCTATGGCGGCCTGGATCAAGTAAGGATGCCTGGCGTAGCGATCCAAAACCCCCAGCTTCTTCTTCTCCACCGGCACTAGATCCTCTCCCCAGCCGCGGAGAAGAGAGCTCTCGCCCTCCTCGAGAAGAACATCCGCCACTGCCAGATATACCAATGCCGGCCGCTTCAAACTCTCGATCCTCCTCACGCGATCGATGATCTCCTCCTTGCTGCTACAGATGGAGAGTTTCTTCCCTTCCTTCTCCAGCGCTCGCTTCTCGGTGTTCCGGCAATGGATCATCCAATCCCTCTCGATGCGCATGTGAACCGCGACATAGGATGGATTTCGAGAGCTCGATGCCAGCTCCAATCTCGATGCTACATACTCCACATCCGATATTATGCTGCTCGTCAGCTCCAGGCACTGGAAGATCGTCACGTATTCCCTTACCGCCCAGTGATCCGGCCACAAGAAGGGATTCTTGCCAAGAATCTCCAATACCTCGTGATCTTGCCTCCTACATTCTTCCAGATGCTCTAGATCCCTAGCTGCCGTCCATCTCCGCCCGCTTCCCTTGATCACTTCCACCGCCGGCGCTCCATCCGGCACATCTGCCTCGCGCGCGATCCTCACAAACCCGGAGCACCTCGAGTTGAAAGAATCGAGCGAGAAGACCGCGTCGAAGGGGATCGTCTGCGCTGGAGAGGAGGAATTATGGGAGAGCGAGGCACTGAGAGTGGGCATCAAGAGGCTCCTGTTGAGATACCTAGCGGTGAGAGCAGCCCGGGCGAGCGCGATCTTCTGGTTGTTGAGACCCCAGATAATCTGTGGAACGCGAAGAAATCGCTCGCGCTCGATGCCATGGCGAGCACCACCGCCAATGCGATCCCCGCGATCCTTTCCTTGGAACCCTAGCAAATAGCACCCGGACAGCGCCATGATGAGAACAAGGACTCCAACGCCTCTCTTCTTTGCCATTGACTAGAAAAGAATCTAGGTGTTTCATTGGCATGTTAATCTTCAATTGGCATATTCGCTAGAAAAAAATCTAGCTTTTCATATTCGCCCTTCTACGTTTGATAGCAGTTAGTAGTATGAAGATCCCTGGCAATGTGGTTGGCAACATATTCCCCTCTTTTTTGACATTTCCATGTTTACTTTGGGCTTTAAGATTTTAGAGTGTAATGCATGTGGTTTTTACTTTCTACCTTATAATGATTTATTATAAGATAATTATGAAGAATTTAATCTTTGGATACATATGCTAAAGGTGATGATAGACTATTGAATGAAGGAATATAACTAAACTTAAAAGTAAAAGAACCAAAATATAGAACAAAAGAAAGTGATAATGAAATAGTCATAAAGCATTTAGTATCCCAATGCATGCAAAATAGAGTCAAATGGAATTTAGTGTTATTTTAACATACTGATGTCTAACTTAGGACATAAATACTCCACAACTAATATAATATAAAGTTGCAAAAATGACTTCTAAAACCTTTGTCACCAACTTGTTGCAAACCTGCTAGGAGTCAAGTCAGGGTAGAACACAGTTTCTCATTAAGCATGTAGAGCACACATTTTCACTACTATAAAGGTGATTACAAGGCTTTTATAGTAATGGCCTTATATTCAAATCTAACTTTACTTTCCTAAACAGCTTGGATTAAACACATGGCAAAAAAGGCTGAGTTAGTTTTTCATGAATTTTGAGACACAAACAAGGCAATGCAATGTTGCTTTCATTTTCTTTCCCCTCAGAAGAAATGATTAAATCTCTGAAGAAGACTTACAATTTGCGCTTTGGTAACCATGAAGATTCTCCATTCTCTAGAGCTGCAAGGAAATAAATAAACAAACACTCTAACTCTAGCAAATAGAATCTAAATAGCACAAGGACTTTGGCACCACTCCTCTTGCCATTAAAAAATGCTACTAGAAAGAATCTAGCATATTCTCTCCTGAAAAAAGAATCTTCTATTAGCATATTCTCTAGAAAAGAATCTAGGTTTTCCATCACCTCTTGCTGGATCTTTGCTTGTAAGCGTTTGATAGCAGCTGGTAGCACGAAGATCTCGCGGGCTGGAGCTTGACAATCTGATCGGCAGCATACTCCCCTCTCTCGACATCCCCGTGCATTCTACACGCACCCAGCACGATCGTCCACGCCACACCGTCGGGAAGAAAGGGCATGCTCTCGAGGAGCTCCTGGGCCTCTCTCACGCGGCCGCTCCTCCCAAACGCGTCCACAATGCAGCAGTAGTGATCCACCAATGGCGCAATCCAGTGATCCGTGCACATCGATACAAAGTGGTGCTTTCCAATCTCGACGAGGCCGCCATGGCTGCAAGCGCCGAGAATCCCGATGAAGGCCACATCGTCAACAGGAATTCCTCCAAGGTTCATCAAATGGTAGAGCTCCAGAGCCTCGTTGCAATGCCCATTTTGGGCATAGGATGCTATCATACACGACCAGGTGACCAAGCTCTGTCCAGGCATTCTCTCAAAGAGTTCTTTTGCTCGATCGACGCTCCCGCTAACAGCATAGGCTCCTGCGAGAGCGGTCCATGCGACAACATCCCACTGCGGCATCCGATCAAAAATCTCCTTTACAAGCACCAGATGCCCGTTTTGCGCATGTATATCGAGCAGAGCCGTCCACGACACAACGTTCCTCTGCGGCATAGCCTCAAACAGCGATTTTGCTTCCTCCAAGTGCTTCTTTTGCGCGTATACGATCATCAAATTCCATGACACAAGGTTTCTCTTCGGCATTCTTGCAAAGACGCTGCCTGCTTGATCCAAGCAGCCATTGTGGGCATACGCCTCCACCATGGTGCTCCAGGCAACAACGTTGTGAAGGGGCATAGAATCAAACACGCTCTTGGCGCTGTTGACAAGCCCACAATCGCCATAAGCAGCCGCCATTGTTGTCCACGAAACTTGATCCTGCTCGGGCATCTCGTCAAAGTATCCCTTTGCATTCTGTAGATACCCCTTATGGGCATATCCCGCGATCATCCCATTCCAAGTGATGGAGCTCCACTGGGGAATCTTCGCAAACATAGCCTTAGCGTCTTCCAGATACCCATCCTGGGCATACGAGGTGACCATGGCTGTCCAGGAGACAACGTTGTGCTCCGGCATCTCGTGAAAGAGCTTGCCTGCATCGGCAATCCGGCCACTCTCTGCATAGGCTTGGATGATCGCATTCATCGTCACCACATTCCACTGCGGCATCCGATCGAAAACATGCTTCGATTCCTCCACGCTGCCTTCCTCCGCGTACATGGCAACGAGCGACGTCCACGAGATCACGTCCCGAATGGGCATCCCATGAAAAAACTCCCTAGCGCCTTTGTGATCCCCACACTGGGCATATGCCGCCACCATTGCGTTCCCAGTAACGAGATTCTTCGTAGGCATCACATCGAAAATCTCTCTTGCCTCTCGGAGATAGGCGTACTGATTGTAGGCAGTGATCATTGCGGTGGCCGAGACAACATTTGCGGCGGGCATCAAGTCGAACACTCTGCGTGATTCTGATAGATACCCATTCTGGGCATATGCGGTGATCATGATTGTCCACGAGAATTCGTTGCGTGGAGCTGTGCCATCGAACACCATTTGCGCGTCCTTGATGCTCCCGCACTTGCCGTACATCTCCACCAGAAGATTTGATAGAAAAACGTTCTTCTGGCAATACGGCCATTGCAAGATCTGGGAGTGGATGTGTCTTCCCTGCTTTAGATCCTTGAAGTTGCCGCAGGATTTCACTAAGCTCGCGAACACCGAGACCTCGGCTTGTTGCATCGACTCCTCTCTTCCGCCATAAGCCTAGCGATCCATTTCCGCAGAGTTTTGGTCGCTCTCAATCGCAATCAAGAGTGACGTGCTGCTTGGTCCGGAGCATACTCGCGAAGAGCACGTAATGCGCGGGATCGCTTTCCCCGATTCCAACGGCATGACGCGCTGCTCGAGTCGCCCTCTCGCGGTCGCTGTGAATTTTGCAAGCCGCGAGCAAGCAGTGCCAGTCCACATCATCCGGCATGAAGGGCATGCTCGCAATCAGGTCCTCCGCGTCTTCCAAGTGCCCAGATCGTCCCAATGCATCCACCAAGCAGCTGTAGTGAAGCTTAATGGGCGGTATGCCGTGGTCGCGAACCATGTCCAGGAACACGCACCGCGCGGTAGCCACGGTACCGCCGTGGTTGCAGCCGAGCAGCAAGCACAGGAACGTCACGTCGTCGGGCCGTACACCATGGTGCGCCATGAGCTGGAAGGCCTGGAGGGCGAGGGAGAAATGGCCACTATCTCCGTACGCCCCCAGGAGGGTATTCCACGCCAGAATGTCCTGCGCGGGCATTCCCGCAAAGAAGCCGCCGGCGGCGCCAACATCCCCTTCGCGGGCATGGGCTGCCAGCATGGTATTCCACGTAAGCACGTCCCACATGGGCATGCGCTGGAACATGGAGAGCGCGCCACGTGTATCCCTTGCCTGGGCATACGCCGCAAAGAGCGCATTCCACGCTACCACGTCGCGCCGCGGCATGCCGCAGTCAAACATGGCCTTCGCCTGCGGCACCTGCCCGTTCTGGGCATATGCCACGAGCATCGCGTTGACCGTGTACTCGTCCTGCGACGGCATATCCAGGAAGAGGTCGCGGGCAGCGTTGACCAACCCGTGCCGGCCGTACGACACGAGCATGGCGGCCCACACGGCCATGTCGCGCATGGGTATTCGATCAAACAGGGCTTTTGCGTGGCGGAGGTGAGCGGCGTGGGCGGAGGCGGCGAGGAGCGCGGTCCACGCCACCACGTCTCGGCCCGGCATCTCGTCAAACATGGTTTTGGCCTGGTCGAGATCGCCGGATTGTGCGATGGAGACGAGCATGCTCGTCCAAGACTGTGGGCTTCTCTCGGGAACTGAGTCAAACATCGCCTTGGCAGTGGCTGCGAGGCCGAGCTGGTTGTAGGCGGCGATCATGGTGGCCCAGGTGACCCCGTCGTGCATCGGCATTCTCTCCGCCAGGATCTCCATCTCCTCCAGATGCCTTCTCTGGGCATACACCGCGACGAGAGTGTTCCACGACACGACGTTCTTGGGCACTCGATCGAATGTGCGTTTGGCCTCGTCGGCCATTCCCCGGCGCGAGAAGACCCCGATCATCACCGCCCCCGAGACAGTGTCCGGGTCGGGCATTTTCCGGAAGATGAGCGTCGCCTCCACGAAGCGCTGGTTGTGGACGCAAGCGGCGAGCATCATCGTCCACGAGTGGCTGTTCTTGAGGGCGATGGAGTCGAACACCTGGATCGCGTCGTCGACGCTGTCGTAGCGGCCATACATCTGGATGAGCACATTGGAGAGATATATCCCGGCGTTCCCCTTGAAGAGAGTGTGGCGAGCGGTGATGAGAGCGTGGACGCTCCGGAGCTGCGAGACGCTCTTGCAAGATCGAACGAGACCCGCCCATTCCTCCACGCTCAGCAGCTTCCTAACGACCATTCCATGGATTGAACCATTCAAACCCTAGAAACCGCCCCGGGAATATTCTCTTTGAATTTGGGTTCTTCTTCTTCTTCTTTGCCCCGCCGGGATCGAGCGCATCGGTCGCGGTCGTCGGCTTTCTTTTTTGTTTAGATTTTTTTTTGCTGCTCACCACGCGCATGGTGTCCCCTGTTTCACCTTGCCCACCCAAAATCGCGCTTTGATCGAAGAACAGGGCGGAAAATTGTCGAGGCGATCTATAGGTAGATCGATCGATCATGGCAGTAGCCAGCGGCAGCGTTGCATTCCAATCGGTACAAGCATGGGATTTTTCTGGGGCGACCCCTAATTCTTGTGGTTTGGCAGGGATACATCAAGAGCGCGAGAGGGGTGAAGCTCTTCACTTGTAGCTGGCTTCCTGCCAACCAGGAAGTGAAAGCTCTCGTTTTCCTCTGCCATGGTGAGTCCGTTCTTAAATCTTTTGATTTCTTTTTTCTGAGTGGAGTGAATCGTGGCTAGGCTATGGAGTCGAGTGTAGCATCTTCATGCGAGGCACGGGGACGAGATTGGCACAGGCAGGCTACGCGGTCTTTGGGATCGACTATGAAGGCCACGGCAAATCGGAGGGAGCTGTGTGCCTTGTGGAGAGATTCTCGGACGTGGTGGACGATTGCAGCTCCTACTTTCGATCCATTCGAGGTAACTATAACGCTCTTGGATCGATTTCTCATGATCGAACGCCTGTAGAGATGCCCGATTACAAGAACAAGGCGAGGTTTCTGTATGGCGAATCCATGGGTGGAGCGGTGGCGCTCTTGATCCACAGGAAGGAGCCAATGGATTGGAACGGAGCCGTTCTTGTCGCTCCGATGTGCAAGGTCAACTCTTCCCCTCTCTCCATCGCTCCGCTCGAATCGTTTCACTGTTTCTTTATCGTTCCTGTTTCTTCGGCAACGATTTCTCGCGAACTGTTCCTCGTTTCTGACTTTTTGGCATTCGTTTCTTGTGCTTTGTTTTTCTCACAGATCTCCGAGAAACTCAAGCCACACCCAGTGATCGTGAGCATCCTCACGCGACTGTCTCCACTGATCAAGTCGTGGAAGATTGTTCCCAGCAAAAACATCATTGACCACGCCTTCAAGGACCCCATCAAGAGAGACGAGGTATGATATCGATGGGTGATCCTTTTTCTCTCACGACTAAACGTCCATGAACAGATAAGAGCAAATCCGTACGTATACCAAGACAAGCCGCGGGTCCAGACGGCGCTACAGATGATGGTGGCGAGCACAGACCTGGAACAGAGATTGGACGAGGTACGTACGCATAACTGCGCTTCACTCTCCTCGACTTGGATTGCTTTCCCTGTATGCTGGAGTAGCAGATTGATGGAAACTGTTTGGAATTGATGGACTAGCGCTGGATTGCGAATTGATGACTAGCGAGCTGACGCCGTTGGTTTGGCTGCGTGTCTGTTTCACGCAGGTCACATTTCCATTCCTCGTCGTTCATGGGAAAGAAGACACGGTCACGGACCCCGCGTGTAGCGTGGAGCTACACAAGCGCGCGCGGAGCACTGACAAGACGCTCAATCTCTACCCGGAGATGTGGCATGGCCTCACCGTGGGTGAATCCGACGAGAACATCGAGCGCGTCTTCGCGGACATCGTGGCGTGGTTGAATCTTCGCAGCCCGGCCGGGGCGTTGACCGCCAAGACCTTACAGCAATCCGACCTCAAGATGGTCATCGACGACCACAAGTTGACCGCGTCCAATGGTGTTTGTAATAATAACCATTCTTTCAATTAACAGAAAACTCCACTTGACTATATTCGAACGCCGGACCTCATAAAACTCTGCCGCCCTAATCTAGATTGCTTGTCGCCGTTGGATCTAGGTCAGCATTTTGGTGTTCAGGTTTAGGGTTCTTCAGTGTTTTGCGAGGCGGCGACGATGGGCAAGGGCGAGCCGATCAGGTGCGATGCTTGCGATCTTTACCTGCGGCTGTGTGGATTGATTTGGATCTTTCAGGCTTTACGTTCCGGCGACGATTCTGGGATACAAGCGGTGAGTGTTTTGGTTGTCGCGCATTCGCGGCTGGAATTCACGGTGCTTTCTCTGTTGCTAGATCCAAGTCGAACCAGTATCCCAACACCTCGCTCCTCCAGATCCAGGGAGTGAACACCAAGGAGGAAGTGGCGTGGTACCAAGGCAAGAGGCTCGCCTACATCTACAAGGCCAAGACCAAGAAGAATGGCTCGCTCTACCGATGCATGTGGGGACGTGTGACGAGGCCTCACGGGACCAGCGGCGTCGTGCGCGCCAAGTTCCGCAGGAATCTCCCTCCAAAGTCTCTGGTAAGTTTCTCGCGGGGATTTTTCTGCGTTTCTTTTGTGGATCTTGGTTCTTACATTGCAATCGCAGGGTGGAAGAGTCCGGGTCTTCATGTACCCCAGCCGGATCTAAGCTTGTTTTGACTTATCCAACTAAGGATTGCTGTTTTTCCCAAACCCGGATAAGATAAGTTCGTTCGTTCCTAGATTCTCGTTGTGGTTTCTGGGATGTTTGTATTCTTTTGGAATCGCGGGAGAGGTCTCCAACCTCTCGGAAACACAAATTTCATGGTCTGGCAGGTCGGCAGCTCTTACAGAAAAAAATTTGCGCGTGAGTGCACCAATCCACTAAAAGCAAGCTTGGTGTGTCTATCTACTAAACAGTACCTCCCAGTCGAGAGCCATATATAAAGTGGTGAGTTCACAGGCTTTCTTGACTTGAGTCACTCACTGAAACGCTCGCTGCTCCTTTCTTTCAGGAGAGACGATGACACTGCTCGTAAGAACACTGGCTCTGCTCTTGATGCTGCTCTCGTTGCTGCTCGTCCAAGCGTTTGGGAACGACGTAGGCTCCAAGCCGCGCGGTGGCCGCCGTGAGCTCATGTTTCGGAGGCCGGGTTATGGCTACGGCCCCGGGTATGGAGCTGGAGCGGGGATGGGAGGGCCCGGCTATGGTGGGGGATACGGCAGCGGTGGTGGCGGCGCCTACAATGGTGGTGGTGGCTATGGAGGCTACAATGGTGGTGGTGGAGGCTATGGAGGAAGTAGGCCTGGTTATGGGACTGGAAGATCCGGTGCACCTCCGTCGCTTCCTCGACTCCAGCCACCCCCTCCTGGCCTCCCTGGAGCTTTCCCCGGTCCGGCGATAGCGGTAGAACCCAACGAGATCGGCGACAAGAAGTTCGTGGTGTCGTCATCTAGGCTCGTTGCTCCAGCTCCAGCTCCAGTCCCAGCTTTGCGGAGAGAAGTATCGTCCAGCCGAGGGTAATCGGCCTATTAAGTTTGCGGGGCCTGTGGTTTCGTTTTAGCCGAGACGAGCCAGGAAACAAAGGCTGTGTTGATCTAAGTAAGAATAAACTTCCAAAGCTTTAAACGAGGCAAGCTCGCATAGATGGAAAGGTATGGTTTGTTTTTCCTCGAGCGTTGCTCCTCGTGTTTTATTTCCAATGGCGGCGAGTTGCGTGGGATACAGGTGTAAAACATGCATGTTTCCGGGAGGAACACATTTTCCTTCGATTCTAAATATAACTGTGAATCCAGATTAAAAGCTGGGAGATTTCGCTGACACTGTCAAACCCACCACCTTTCTTAAGCGAACTGACTGATTGGTAGAATTCCTGTTCGTTTCTTCTTGGGTAAAAGCCAGGGGATCAAGCTGGAGAGGATTGATCGTCCATGTTTTTGATTGGCTTCTCGTCAGCCAGTCTTGATTCCATGGTGGTGGTGGTGCTGCTTACAGTGCAAGCTCTCGGGATGTTGCTGAGGGCCTCGATCTTTTGCATCTCCAGATCGTCGGTGGCATCCGTCGCTGCCGCCTTCTTCTGCTTCTTGCTCGCGTTTCTGTAGAAGAGATAGAGCAAGACCTGGGCGATGGCGAGGAGCGATCCAAGCGCGCTAGGAATCTACATTCATGCCGAAACTTAGCAGACAAGAAGCAAGAGAGGCGATGAGATTACCCCGATGAAGATGTCGCGAGAGAAGAAGGAATAGGCCGACCAGAGCGAAGCATTGACGGCGAGAAAGGCCGAGAGCGTGATGGGCATAAACTCCACATTCTTGGTGCGAATCACCATCCTCTGGCAAGAACAAAGAAAGGTCACATCATGTACTAGTCCAAGATCTTTGGTTCTTTCATCTTGGGCTTACCATGACTGAGAGTGGAGCAGCGTACATTGAGATGGCCACGGCGGAACACATCGATCCCACCAGCATCACCCGGAGCTTGCCATGCGAGAGGAACATAGTGAGAAGCACCGCCACGCCAAACACCGCCAGATCGAGCAGCACTAGCTTCACCGTCTTGATCTGGATTCAAGAAAATTTACGGGATAGATAGAATGAGAGATAGATCTCACCCGGCTAAACTTGGTAGCGTACGTGATGAAGATGGCGAGGTAGGTGGCCTCGAAGGTGATGCCAACGATGTTGATGGTGATGATAAGCATGCCGTTTGGGCGGATGCAACCATAGTAGAGGCCCAAGAGCACCGTCAGGAGCGTGCAAACGTAAGGGAGAGCCGAGAAGTACTCGGTGGATTTCTTCTTGAAGATGTACCAGAATGTAGGCCTGGAGGAATGAAAGTGGTCAGGATAAGAAGATGAGGATATGGAGCAATGGATTTAGAGTCTTGGTCCCTTCTCAAGTCCACTGGAAGAATCAGAGCATTCACTTACACTGGCGATGCGTACGCCATGATCGAGGTAATGTTTCCTGGCAAAGAGAATAGAGATTTTCCAAGCAAACTTTAGCGGCATTGAAGGCGTTTGCATCGACTAACCAATTATGCCGATGATGACCGCGACGTCGGCCATGGCGGTGGAGTGAGAGTTTCTTCTTCTTCCAAGGATCCTCACTCTCTACTCAAAAGATGTCCCCTCCAGCTCCAGGAGCTTTCCAATGACCATAAACTTTAATTGACCACCAGAAGAGCGGTCTTGGAATGAAATCTTAGTGCTTGGAGAGCAAGCAAATGTGCTGCTCCTCCTCTTCCTCTTCCTTTTGTCAATGACATGAAACTCTGGCTAAGAAGCAAAGGAAGAAAAGAACTTGTTCTAGAGGATTTGAGAGAGAGAGAGAGAAGAAAAGTGTGTGTTCAAGGTGACAACAACACTCACGCAAGCGTCCAAGCTAGCAGTTGCTCAACAAAACAAAGGAGTGTTATTTAACCGCGCGAGCGCGAGCCTCTGGGAATAATTAACCACTGCTTCACTTCCACATTACTTCCATCCAGGGTGGTAACTCTTTAAACGACAAGAGCAACTAAGGTGATGGATCCCAAACGCAACGCAGGAAAAGGCGGGGTCGAGAAGCTGGGCGTTAGACACACTTTTCTCTCTTTTCTTGTGAGTGTGAGTATGTGTGTGTCTCTCACTCGCGAACACAGCACTGCCAAAAGAGATCAAACTAACTCTTCCTTATATCCAGCACTCCGACGCTCGCTACCAATCTTTGCTCGAATCACTGAGGAGTGCGGACGAAAGAAACACTAGAATCGCCCTTTATAGAATGAACCAGCGGAGTTCGGTCCACTTTAGTGAGTGGCTGCATATGGCTGCATTACCAAGATCTGTAGACAATAATTCTCACAAGCTGCACCTCCATGGAACTATCCGAATCAGCCTCAACCATCTTGGTCGTCTTCGCAGCAACAGCCATCATGGCCCAGCAATTCCCAAACATCCTTGGCCACAGCAGCAGTCCAGTCCCAGCAGCAACCTTGGTAAATGGTACCTCAGGCGATTCATCAAGCAGCGGCAAAGTATGACACGGAATTTGTATACCATGTGGCGGCATGCCACGGTCGCGTGACACGTGGCGCATCACGCGACCATATGAACGTGGGGCCATGTGTCCAAATCAACACTCCATGGGGATATCAATGTGGCATGGCTATGGCATGGGATGGCATTTATGGCTACTATATAAGGCCCTTGCCATCCCCATTCCTTTGACTTGGGTTAGTGTCAGTTTGAATTTTTAGCACATGTGCTTTCGACTTTGACTCAGTAATTGAGTCTGTAATCAACTCCACGGAATTGACAATAAGTATTTCTATGGGCTTGTAACTTGAGAGAATGCTGCCTTCCTCTTCACTCAGCCCCAAATAGAACTCTATTTGGGGCTGAGTGAAGAGGAAGGCAGCATTCTCTCAAGTTACAATTCAAATAGTTTGTTGAGTAGTGGAAGCTACGATAGTCATGAACTATAGGTGAGGCATTCTGTTTGTAATGCCAGTTTCTTATTCAGGGATTTGAATTTTTTCTGCATTCGAGAGGATTTTACAGTGCAACTGCTTTTTGCACACAGATATACTTTAAGTTTCTGGAGATGAAGACAATAGCATATCTAGTGAGGGTCCTCGACACTTCAAAGCCTATATTGTATTAATACATGTGGCTCATTGATTTGAAATGGAGGGGCATATATACTAGAAGGTATTGCATCACATCCAAGCACTAATATTTCCATGAATTGTGTTAGTCACATATGTGGAGCATACTCAATTGTCCCTTTAACACAAAACTTCATCCTTTTCCAGGGCTCATATAAACCAAATCCAGAGTTTAGGCAAATAGTTTGCATGCTTTAAATACTCATTCAAGCCCTATGAAGTCTCAAGAGTGGTGAAGTTATGGAGCATTAGAATGTCTACTTTATTTCTTTTTATTCTTCATTGTCCACGTGGCATGCTATAAGTACATAAAAGTATACCACGTGGCATGCCACCTCATCAAATTCCACTCTCGTCCCAAAAGCCCCGCGAGGTGGGGGCAGAGATGCTCATGGAGGCAGCCATAGGAGAGCACAGCGCGCACAAACACAGAGATACAACGAACCCGCAGACAGACACACACACACACAGAAAAGGGGGGCACTTTAAAAATTTGAAAAGGCAGGAATATTCCGAGTGCCAGTAACGAATGCTCTTTAAACTTTAAATGGCAAACTTTATATGGCATGGAGGTCCAATGACCCATTCATGAGGCATATATGCATCCCATTGGACCCATGCATATACATAACCACTAGATCCCTTTGAATATACCCTAACACATGGAAACAGCTTCAAAAGACTACTCATCATTAGGAATATTCGCTTTAGACCAATGGGAGCATGCCATGTGTTGCACGAATGGTTTGCCATTTACACAAGGCACGCCATACAACGAGAATCTCTTTGTGGGTGTTTAGGCCATTGAGAAATTCTCTTTCGCTTTCTCTCTTTTTTCACGTCTATCTGTCTATCAATCTATCTTCTTCTGTTCTTGATAGAATTAAACGTGGCTCCAATCCAATGGTGTATGTATATTTATAACTTAAGAAACAGAGGATGAATATCCCTAGAATATTGATATATTCTCTGTTCTTGATAGAATTAAACGTGGCTCCAATCCAATGGTGCATATATCTTTTGCGGTTTAAAAAGAAAGAGGATGAATATCCCTAGAATATTGATATATTCTTGCCGGCAGCCAGAATAAACTTTAAGGGGAAATCCAATTACATTATCCGGAAAGAAAAATACAATGATTTGTCCCCAGCATGCCCAGCCGCTTGGCCTCCAAAACATGGCGCGCAGCAATCCAGCTCAACGCAGACCACAGAGCAGTGGTGCATCACGGCTCATCTTTCTCTTAAACAGCTCCAATCCTTAACCACAGGTTTACATTACTGCCTGTAGCATATTTTAGGGTTTACAATCTCAGTCTTCGGCAATGGTAACACCAGGTTCGACACTTGTGGGCTTGCCAGGATCGCTCATGACAACCGCCTGTTGCTGCACTTGTATAACTCGAGTTGATCAAGTTGGGCCTCTGTTGCCAGGTTGGCGAATTGAACTTTGTTGCCATTTCCAACAACATCTGGCCGCTCAAGTCGTTCAACGATCCAAAGGCTACACTCAAGACTCTACCTTAGCCTTGCATAAATACTTGCACAATAACATTTCTTGTGGAGGTTTGGCACCACCTTTTTTAAGCGCTGTGTGATTGGAAAGCTGATGCTGGTAACTTCAGACCCTGATGGCATTATCACTTTTGTGTACCTGGCACCTGGCGGGTAATGGCATCTGAGGCCAAGCCTATTGCTATACAACGATTGTGAGTTTGTGGTGGCTGCTGGAGGCAATTTTGCATTTTGTAGGAAGTGAGGGATGCATTTACAATCTGGTTCTTGGAAGCTTATACCGATGGCCAAGTGCCCAGGCCCTCAGTTTATTATATCCCTCATTTCAGACATTTATAACACTTGTTTCAGTTATAAAGTCACGTTCGGATTCACAAAACACACCACAATTCTTCTATGTTTCTATACCATTACAGGATCATTTGCCTTTGCTCAATTCATCTCTAATTTTTTCTTCCATTTTCCTCATAACCTTTTTGTGCCACTAGAACGCTTTGAGCAACGTCATTATGTTTATAAATTATAAACATGTTTATAATAACACAATTAATCTGATTGAGTTTGATGGAATCAGCAAGTTCTGAGGGTCGTCCGTTCGGATACTAACGAAAACCATCGAAAGCACGAATTAAAAAAAAAAAACAGCTTTTTATGCAAAATCAACTGTGGTGTTGTTTGTATAAAGCTACGCATAGCTCCGATCCGAACCGAATTCGCGAACAAGACTAGCTGTCGTTGATGTCGAAGATGTTTGTAGTTGTGGTCTCTCTCTCTCTCTCCCTCTCTCACTCCTTTTTTTTCTTGGTTTTCTCCTTGTTTTCTTGCTGTGTGGCTGTGTGTTCTTCACTTGCCTGCTCCCTTCTTGTCCGCCGGCTTGAGGATCTGGAAAGAACACATGAGCGTATCGTCCACGCTCATCATCGCTCCTGCGTTGTCAAATTCGCCGCAATAGTTGGGGGCCGAGAATATTGTTACAAGCTGCCGCTTCGCAAAGAACTCGTAGCCGTCCTCGACTACCTGCAAGGTCATTTCCATTTCCAGTGGAGATTAGTAAGCACTCTCAGCCGCCAAGAACCAAAAGAACACGAACCTGATGAGCTCGGCACACGAGATCCAAGTCATGCTTTTGGAGAAAGTCCCCTACCACGTCCGCTCCAAACGTGTAAGACACCCCACGGTCGTTGCTACCCCAGCCTGTTACGTCCTTGTCCGGGTCCGCCCAGAGAAGATCACATAAGAGCCCAGTGTCCGGGACGTCTGTTGGCCGGGAGATCTTCCGGATCATGTCCAAGCTCTTCATGTCCGGGGAGAGGCCCCCGTGCATGCACAGTATCTTCTCATCCACCAGCGCTGATACTGGTAGACAGTTGAAGCAATCTGTGAATGTCTTCCACAATCTGATATTGAATCTCCTCTTACACTCATCGTAGAAACCATATATCCGGTTGATGGAGGCGCATTCATGGTTCCCTCTCAACAAGAAGAAGTTCTCCGGATACTTAATCTTATAGGCCAGGAGAAGGCAGATGGTTTCCAGGCTCTGCTTCCCACGGTCCACGTAGTCACCCAAGAAGAGATAGTTTGCGGCCGGGGGGAAGCCACCATACTCGAAAAGCCTGAGCAAATCTGAATACTGGCCGTGAATATCTCCTGGGAAAAAAAAAAAGGGAGAACAACATAATCAGCGAGATCCTTTCCCAAAGCAAACACAACAACACGCGTCAGACGAAAGGACAATCCATCCCAGAAAAAAAAGCCACATACCCTACACCTCTACCTAGAGCATGTGTGTGGATTCCCAGAGCCTCTTATGTCAAAACAAAGAGGGCCCTGTGAACGGCCACCACAACTTCCAAAAATCGAAAAAAAAAAAAAAAAAACACTGAACCATAGCTTCTATGGTGCTGCTTAGAATATGGCTGTGCAAAGCTTCGAACGAGAACAAAGGGAACGAACGAACGAACCAAAGAGCAACGAAGCAACGAAGTCACGCAAGCCCAAGCAAGAATCCAAAATGGAAGGAAGCCAACAAAAAATTTTGGGATCGGGTATAAGAATGCGATTGCTTACCGCAGATCTTGATGGGCGCCTCGAGCTCCAGCAAATTGGGCTGCGACAGGAAGATGTCCTTGGCAGTGAGGCAAAGCTGCCGGATCTCCGCCTCAGACAACTGGACCTGTTTCCCTGGGCGGCCATTGCGAACGTCGAGAAGGCGCGTGATAATATCGTCCAAGACGGCCGGATCCATACCCCGCTAAGGAGATCCGGGCCTCCCGCTGCGAATGCCGATTTCTCTCCACTAACCTAGAGCCGCTCCCGGGACGAACAAACTCCACCGAAAGAATCATGCATCTCTGCGGCCGATGAGGGAGGCGCCTCCTCCTAGGCAAGCGCCGCCGGCGCCATCGCCACCGCCATCGCCACCGCCATCGCCAGCGCGCTCTTCCCTGGATCTACACGGTCGCCATCGCCAAAGCCGCTCCCATTTGCCCTCCACAAAGGCTTTTGCCCTTCCCCTTCTTTCACTCAAACGTAACTGGATGCCCCTGCCAGAATATGCCGTACACGGTACGATATACCATCTCCTGGCCGGAATATGCCCCCATTGTTTTTCTGACCTAGCCCGGGTCGTAGGGTTTTGCGGATCACATCGAGCGATCGATCGATCGAGGCAGGAGCTATGAGCCGAGGGAGTGGCGCTGGATACGATCGCCACATCACGATCTTCTCGCCGGAGGGGCGCCTCTATCAAGTCGGTGAGTAATCTCAGCTCAGCTTACTTAGAGTGCCTTAGAGCGCTGGATGGATCTCAGTGATTTTGCGCTCGTTCTTACTTGGCAGAGTATGCATTCAAGGCTGCCAAGAGCCCGGGCATCACATCGATTGGTGTCCGTGGAGCAGACTCGGTGTGCGTGGTTACACAGAAGAAAGTCCCGGTTTGTAGTCCCGGTTTTCTTCTTCTATAAACTTAGCATCGTTTGCGTTGTTTCAGGATAAACTTCTAGACCAAAGCAGCGTCACGCATTTGTATGCTATCACGCCCTACATTGGTCTCCTTGCGACTGGAATGACAGGTAACCAAAGAAAAAAAAATAAAATGAAACGCAGTGCTTTCTTCGTCTTATCGGAAGAGTTCTATAGCTGACGCGAGATCTCTGGTACAACATGCGAGGAACGAAGCCGCGGAGTTCCGTCACAAGAACGGCTACGAGATTCCTGTCGACTTTCTCTCCAAAAGGTGACTCATAAAGAAAACTTTGCTAGATTTGCTAGATCGAGAGCAACGCTTTCGTTCACTGCAGGCTTGCGGACAAGTCCCAAGTTTACACACAACACGCGTACATGCGCCCACTGGGTGTCGGTAAGCTCGAGCTCGCTTTTTTTTCTTTTCTCTTGTGTCGTTTTTGATTGACGATGAGTGTTTTTGTTCGATGGATCAGCGGCAATGATCATCGCCATTGACGAGGAGAAAGGCCCACAGCTTTTCAAGTGCGACCCGGCTGGTCACTATGTTGGCTACAGAGTAAGATCCGTGTTTGATTTTAAAAGGTATATGAATCGATTGAGTGGGCGATCGCCTCGCAGGCCACTAGCGCGGGTTTGAAAGAGCAGGAGGCTGTCAACATTCTGGAGAAGAAGATGAAGAACAATCCACAACTCTCCTACGACGAAACTGTTCAAGTAAGAGTGACGCTCGCGTCGCTGCGTCGTTTTAACGTTGTTCCTGGTCTTGCTTAGACGGCGATCTCGGCTCTCCAATCCATTCTTTTGGAAGATTTCAAGGCCACGGAGATCGAGGTAGCGTATATCAGAGCGTGATTTGCTCCAAAAGAACTCAATTGTAAATTTTGTCTCCTTCTCGCAGGTTGGCATTGTGCGAGCCACCGATCCAAAGTTCCAAATCATGTCCACGGAGGAAATTGACGAGCACTTGACAGCGATCAGCGAGCGAGACTAGACTCTGATCTTTCGTGTATTCGCTCCTCTCTTCCCATTAAGAAAATGGTATTTTGCTGACCATTAAAGAATCCACTATAGTGGGGCGTTACATCACGATTCCTCCCATTAGGGCGCGGCGTAGTGGAAACGGTGATCGCGCTAGCGCTTCCTGGGATTGATGATCGATCTCCAGGATTGCGCCCCCAAGAATGCAGGTAGAGCGTAATCCAGGGGTAGCAGCGAGTGCGCTGGACGAGATGGAGGGAAATTTCGCTTCCTCGACTCAGGAGCCGCGAACACCTCCTGGATTAGCAGCGGGCGTCGCCGATGTTCGAGGCAGGCATAGGATCCGCGTGGAGCTCAACAAGATCCAGGAGGAGAATCGATTGCTCCAGGTATTTTGCCCGCTAGAATATTTTGGTTCTTGGTCCGTTGTAAATTTCTTGCGCGTTTCCAGGAGGAATCTCAATTGCTCGATTCTGCTCCTCCGGCATCCAAGGCCTGCAAAGAGTCAGTTCTTCGATTTTCTTCTCTGCGAATCCAGGTCCTCATCGCTGTTCTCTTTTTTTTCTCTCAGGATGATCGACTTCATGGCGTCTAGTCCCGACCCATTCATCACCAAGTAAGTCGCTTCGTGCTGCTCGTATAGGAAGTAAGTCCTGGGATTGAATCGTTCTTTTTCCAGGCCGTCTTTGCAGCAGCAAGAGCCCGCTTGGAATCGCTGGTTTGAAACTCCAGTTGACTCCACAGCCTGCTGTTGCTGGAGCTTGACTCATTGACGAAGGAATGTGCTTTTTATCTCGTTGGAAATTCAAGGGGCCTCTATTTTGTCTCATACTTCATTGCTGTGGAGGAGCCCTAACCTTGCAGGAGCAGGAGTAGCAGCAGCAGCAGCAGCAGCCATGAAGGTGGTCGCGCTGGTAAGTGGAGGCAAGGATAGCTGCTATGCGATGATGCGTTGCATTCACTTTGGACACGAGGTACCTCTTCTTTGTTTGTTAGATTCGATTGGAGATTTGAGCTGAATGGTTTCTTAGATTGTTGCACTGGCGAATCTAGTTCCCGAGTGTGACTCCGTCGATGAACTGGACAGTTACATGTATCAAACGGTACTCCTTGTTCTTGGGTTTTTCGTTTTGGTCCACTCTTGTCATTGATTTTGCAGGTTGGTCATCAGATCGTGGAGGCGTATGCGCAATGCATGGGACTGCCATTGTTTCGAAAGCGAATACAGGGAAAGCCCAAGTACGTAAAGCTCTTATTGCATTTTGTGGTTGCATTTTCTAAGTCTGGAGTTTCAGAGCTTTTGACCTCAAATATTCAGAAACAAACGGGGATGAAGTCGAGGATCTGGAAGTACTGCTAAGACATGTGAAGAGCAGAATACCTTCGGTTGATGCGGTCTCGTCCGGTGCCATTGCGTCCGACTACCAGCGTTTGCGAGTGGAAAACGTCTGTTCCCGACTCGGGCTCGTGTCTCTTGCTTATCTCTGGAAGCAGGACCAGACTGAGCTTTTGCAGCAAATGGTTGACAGTGGAATCTCGGCAATCTTGATAAAGGTGAACTTGTCATTCTCAATGCAATGTTGTATTTATACCTTTATTGTGTGGCCAGGTAGCCTCTATGGGTCTGCAACCTCAAATACACCTCGGGATGGAGCTCTCTGCTGTATTTCCGGTCCTTACACAGCTTCATGAGTATGTATAGTTGCACACTTGACATCCATACGCTTCTATGTTCTTCTTCCTGTAGACAGTTCGGTGCCAATGTCTGTGGTGAGGGTGGCGAGTACGAAAGCCTTACTCTCGATTGCCCGCTTTTCAAGGTATGCAGTGTATTTCTCACGCTCAACTGACTGACTGTTTTGTTCGTTTTTTTCACCAATCTAGAATGGCCGGATTGTTTTGGATGAGTCCAGTACTGTCCTTGTGTCCACAAGCTCCATCGTCCAGGTTGGATTCCTTCATCCCAAACGGTTCCACGTAGAACACAAGGGATTGGAAGATAACAGAGACACCGGGAAGGTGTATTGGGTAGCCGATGAAGTTGAACGAAGTCAGTGCTTAAAGAAGCAGCAGTCATGGACGTACGATGAAGCAACTGGAGAGTGCCGTGTCTCAAAGACCGAGGATTACGTGACTATCAGCTGTTGGCTGGCAACAAAAACACATAAAGGTCCGCTTTCAGAATTGCCTACATGTGATTTCATAAATGGTAGTTTCCTTTATAGGTGCTGGAGAAGATCTGTCTCGGCTGCTGTACTTGACACTCGAGCTCCTAGCCAAAGAAGACTTAGGCTGGGACGCTGTGCTCTATATACATCTCTACGTCGAGAGCATGAAGGACTTCGCCCAAATAAACAGCATGTACTCTCAACACATCACGGAAGCGGATTGTCCACGGGGCGTTCCTTCGAGGTCCACAGTAGAAGTTCCTTTGGCCGCCTGTGGATTGGGAGATGTGATGGTAGAGGTGTTTGCTGCGCGGAACACGTCCAAGAAAGTACTGCATGTCCAGAGCATCTCTTGCTGGGCACCTAGCTGCATTGGCCCCTATAGCCAGGTACTCTCTTGTTTCTCCTTTCTCTAGTTCACAGCTTGGTCTTGCATAGGCCACCTTGCACGGAAACATTCTTTTTATGGCAGGTCAGATTGGACTCGATCCTCCTACCATGGCCTTGGTGACGGACGGACCTGCTGCAGAGACGCTTCAGTGTCTACAGAACGCTCGAGCTGTTGCAGAAAGTTTCGGATCGGCATCAACGATCTTCATCACAGTCTACTGCAGCCTCTCCCTGAACAAACAGCAGAGGGAGGAGGTGGAGAGCCAATGTACAACGTTCTTCGGCGACGGTGCTGTGCTGCCGATCATTTTCTACGTCCTCGTCTCTAGTTTACCAAAGGGGTAAGACTTTGCCTCTGCTCTTACTTTTATTTCGCATTTTCTCACTTGTTGCTTGCAGCTCAAGTGTTGAAGTCGAGCCTCTACTTACTTGTTTGTCCAGCAACGAGGCCAGTGACGTCGAGGCTTCTGGGATGACGAAAAAGCTTGTGCATGCACTGCCAGCTCCTGCGGAGGGGATTTGCTCGTCGGACTGCTTCTCCATTCCGGGGCATATTTGCCGGGCACTGGTGTCTGTGAGATCGTCATCGCCACTTTCAAGCAATTTTTCCTGGCTGGTGGAGCTAGTTGCCAGCATTCTAAAAGACGCAGATCTCCAATGGTCGGACATTTCGGTAAGTTTCTCTGGCTTGCTCTTTGTCTGAATTGATGGTGATCACGTGCAGGCGTTTCGCGTTTACTTCGTGGGAAAGAAAACTCGTTTTGACGAAACAGCGGTGAGGAGTTTCTTCGAAGCGCATTTCCCAGCATTGGTAGTGGTTCCCGTTCATGGTCTGGGACACGACACCGAATTTAAGGTGTCGCTCACTCTCGACATTGTTGCGCTTAGAAGCCTGCAATGCACATAAAAGGGTATGAACTGTCTTTTAATTTATGTCACTCTCATTTCTTTCACCGCTCGGCTCTCCTCCCACATTCCAACAACAGCATACAGGTTGGACATTAGCACACAAGCAGCAACAGGATTTCTTTCAACTTTGAGTAGAGATTCAAACGCAACTTGTCCGATTCTCACATTTTTCCATTTGTGACAGGCGGACAAGAGTGCCATCCAGACAACGGAGTTGGACGTGTAAGGCATGCTGCTCGCAGTTTCTAGTGCCTCGTCCAGTCGATTTGCGCGGCCTAGCAAGTCCACCATGCATGCGTAATGCTTCACGCCGGGAACAATACCATGTCTGGAAGACATGGACTCGAAGCACTCCTTACCCCGATCAACAAGGCCAGCGTGACTAGCAGCTGCAAGGATGGATACGAAAGTTACATCGTTTGGCTCGAACAGCTGCCTTTGCATCTCTTCGAAAAGTTCGAGCACTCGATCGAAGTCCCCCTGGCGGCTGTATCCGTCGATCAACGAGTTCCAAGTTATCAATTGCCGGTCGCTGCTGTTCATCGAGTCGAAAACCTGGCGAGCCTCGACCATACTGCCACACTTGCCGTAGAAGTCGATCAAGCAATTCGCCACGGTCGGTATCAATGAAGCAGCAGCAGCACGAGCTTGGGCTTCGATTGTTCTTCCGCTTTCTACAGCCGCCTCCGCCCGACACGCCTTAAGTGCAGCTATGAAACTCGCAGCATCCAACTTGACCCCGTCCAGTTCTTCCATCATCAGCCGATATGATTCGAGGGCCAGTTTCCCGTCGGCAGCGCGTACGTAGCCCGAGACTATGGCGGTCCAAGATACAGCGCTCTGACTCTCCATACTCTCAAAGACTCTCCAGGAATCGCTCATACTCCCGGCCTTGGCATAAGTATCGATCAGAGTATTCGCTACCAGAGCGTGGAGCTCGAAACCAGCACGAACAGCTCGGGCATGAATGGTTTTACTTGCCTGCAACTTAACTTCAAGGCTGCCATCGCCATCTTTTCCACCGTTGAGACACGCACAGGCCTTGAGAGCTGCAACGTAAGTCACACCATCGGCTACTACTCTATCGTCCTCGATCATTCGCTGGTACTGCTCCAGAGCTATCTTGGCTTCGCCACTCTCGGCATGGCCCATGATGAGGCAGTTCCATGACGCTACTTCTCGACGCGGCATTTTCTCAAACACTTCTCGAGCGTCAGTGGTGCTACCACACTTGGCGAACATATCAACAAGGCTAGCACCCACGGAAGAGTCCAACTCGACGTACTCTCTCGCTTGGAGGTAAATCTCCTTTGCTTTCTCTAGACTTTTCGATTTGATCCTCCTGCCTTCTACCATTCGTGCTTCTTCCTTGGCTGCCATGCTCGAGCACGCTTTTGCTGCAGCTACTACCGCTATAGCATCTGCCGCGCATCCTTCCTCTTGCATTCGTTTGTAGAGCTCCAGCCCCGTCTTTCCATCTCCATTTTCAGCATAGCCAAGGATCATCCCCGTCCAAGATACCACACTCTTTTTTGGAATGCTCTCAAACACTGTCCTTGACTCTTCCAGGCTTCCGCATTTGGCGTACATGTCGACCAAGCTGTTGGCCACAAAGATGTGTAGCTGCGCCTGACGAAAACTTTGACAAGCGTGACGGTGGATCTCTCGGCCTTTTGCCAGTGCTCCCAGCTTCACCACTTTGCCTTCCATTGGAACGGCAGCTTCTTTGTCCGCCAAGCTCGAGCAGGCCTTGAGAGCAGCAACATACGTGACATAGTTTGGAGTGAGGCCGCGCTCTAGCATCCTCTGGTACAGCTCCAGCGCGAGGTCGCCTTCGTGGTTATCAGCATGGCCGAGGATGGTGGTTGTCCAGGTAATTAGCGTGGGATTGGGAACAGTGTCGAAGACAAGCCGAGCTTCACGCAAGCTCCCACACTTGCAGTAGACGTCAACGAGGCTGGTGGCAACGAAAACTTCCGAGGCATGGCCGTCGGCTGTGGCTTGCGAGTGGACTTTTTTCACAGATTCCAAGGTTTTCGGCTTAAGGAGCTCTCCATCGACGAGCTGCGGGGTTTCTCCGCTTGCTAAACTCGCACAGGCCTTGAGAGCTGCGAGGTACGTGACTGATGTTGTCTTCAAGTTCTCACCACCTTGTTTTTGTTGTAGCATTTGCGAGAAAAATTCTAGAGCCAGCTCTCCGTCTCCACACTCGGCATAGCCCAAGATGATACAGTTCCACGACACCGAGTCACGTTCCACCATGCTTTCAAAGACTTGACGAGCATCATTCATGCTTCCACACTTGGAGTACATCGAGACAAGCCTGCTAGCCACGAAGCTGTGCCTGTCCAGACCACTGCTGCGAGCGTGGGAGTGAATTATCCTCCCTCTTGCCAGGGACTCGGGTTTTATGATCGCCGTCTTGCCCGTCACGAGAGCGCCTTGTTCTTCCTCGGCCAGCCTCACGCACGCCTTCAGAGCCGCAAGGTACGTGACATGATTCGCCTTTGGAGCTCGATCACCAGCTTCTCCTCCTCGCAGCATTCGAGCGAAGATCTCTAGCGCAACCTCGGCCTCGCCACTGTCGACATAGCCGCCAATGATAAGGTTCCACAGGGCCGTGCTCGTCTCAAGCATTCCCTCAAAGACGCAGCGAGCATCAGCCATGCTTCCACACCTCACGTACATCTCCACCAGGCTGCTAGCCACACCGGAATCGTGGGACTGGGACTGAAGTGAGCGGTGGATTTCCCTGCCGGTGTGGAGATGCTTGAGCCTGCCGCATTCCCGGAGCGCGGCGACGACGAGCGAGGCATTGGGTCGCAGCCCAAGTCGCTCCATCCTGCGGTACATCTCGATCGAGGGCGCTGCTGGGCTTTGAGCCGGCATGGCGAGCCGAAAAGATGATAGAGCCTAGAGGTGAGAGCCCTCTGTCAACCATTTACATCTAGTTGGCGGGAGTGGACTAGAAACAACTACAACAGTCGAGGAGAATGGTGAGTACCTCAGCTTTCGAGCCAATACTTAAACCCACTTCGACGACTCGAGCTCAAACGAGATGGATTCGTTCAGCATCCTTGATCCGGCGCCAGTTTTGGTGTCACTGGCTGGTGTGTTCTTGGCCATCTTGGTATGGAGGTGGATGACCCAGAAGAGGTACGCCAAGCCCCTTCCTCCTGGGAGTTTGGGACTCCCCTTTGTCGGAGAGACGCTGCATTTGCTCCATTCCATGAAGACCAACAAGCCGTGGGAGTTTTTCGAGTCGCGGGAGAAGAAGTATGGCCCGGTTTTCAAGACCCATCTGTTTGGATCGCCCACGGTGGTGGTGAATCCCCCCGATGGATTGAAGCTCATCTTCACCAATCACAACAAGCTCGTCCGTGGCTCCTGGCCCAGCTCCATGAGGAAGCTCGTCGGGGAGCGATCGCTCTTCTTCATGGAGGGCGACGAGGCCAAGCGCTTCCGCCACATCCTGCTCGCGTTCCTGGGCCCCGAGGCGCTGCAGCGGTACGTGGGAAGAACGCACGCTACGATCCAGAAGCACGTCGAGGAGAATTGGATCGCGGGTGGTGAGATCAAAGCGTATCACTCCGTCAAGGAGGCGCTCTTTGCTGTCATCTATGATCTCTTCCTGAGCGTGGCCGACGAGAAGGAGCAGCAGGAGCTCCTGGATCCCTTCCGCGTCGTCCTTCACGCGTTGCTCGAGCTCCCAATCGATTTCCCGGGAACGGCGTTCTCCAAGGCCATGGCTGGCCGCCGGGAGATCATGGCGAAGCTGGACCGGATGATCGAGCAGCGGCGGCTGGATTTGCAGAGCGGGAAGGCGTCCGCGCAGCAAGATCTCCTGTCGGTGCTGCTGGTCACCAAGGGCGAAGATGGGCGGGGCATGACCGACGAGGAGATCAAGCAAAACATCCTGATGCTGGTTCTTGGAGGCCACGACACGAGCTCCAGCTCCCTCGGCATAGCCATCAAATACATCGCGGAGAATCCATCCTGCTACGACGAGCTCCGTAAAGGTTGACTATCATTGACTGACCTCCGTGGACTGACACTCTCTCTGTAGAACATTTGGAAATTGCTGCTTCCAAAAAGGCTGGAGAGCCACTTTCCATTGCTGATGTCCGGCGCATGAAGTATACCTGGAGAGTGGTCCAAGAAGGCATGCGCTTCGTGCCACCCACCAGTGGAGTTATTCGTCGGGCTATTGTGGACTTTGAGATGGATGGCTACACAGTTCCACAAGGATGGCAGGTTCGTTCTTCATTTCTATCTTTCTAGATCCTCCTCTTCTCACACCCCGATCTGTGCTCCAAACCATGTCAAAACAGCTGTTTGGATCCATGTACCAGAGCAACAAGAAAGAGAAGTTCTTCCCTGAGGCCGAGAGCTTCAAGCCGGACAGGTTCCTCGGCACGGGCCCGGTTCCTTACTCGTACATCCCATTCGGTGGAGGGCCTCGGATGTGCCCCGGTTACGAGCTTGCCAAGGTCCAAGACTGCGTGTTTTTGTACCACATTGTCACCAGGTTCAAGTGGAGCTTGTGTGACCCGAACGAGATCGTGCAAATGGCTCCACTGGCAGCACCACTCAAGGGCCTTCCCATCAAGCTAACCTCCAATCCAATCTAGACTGGGTCGGACAGGGATTAAGTGTTGAAACGATTCATGAGAAAATAAAAATTGCGGATTCTAAGTAAACACGGCCATGGCAGCTCATTGACGTCATTCTTTCTTACCACCGCAAAGCAGTAAATACGACTTTTCAAAGCGAAGAGAGACATTTGCGAAATAATCTGGATGGATAGAAAAGTTAGCACGTAGCCACCAACCTTCATTGATTTTTAGGTGCTGTCCCCCAAAGGAAACAAACAGTGAGAGAGACTGTGTCATGAAGTTTTTATTCCCATTCGAGCTGACAGCTTCTTGAGCTTGATTTTTTCCAAGGTGGCGAAGCGCTGCTAAGCCAACACACCTGTGCGTCCTTTTCGTTGCTCTTGACCCGGATAAGGTCGGCATATAAAATCCGCATTGTCACAGTGCAGGCAGGATATTCCGGACTTGACACGAGTGCGGCTGCTGCATGCGACTAGCCGCCGGATATTCGCCATACTTTGCTTATCCTGTGCATCGGAAAATATCGAATGCGAGGTTCTGTTGTCCATCACCAGGGTTTTTTTTTGGGATTCCACTTCACTGCTCCTTCCTGACTTAGTGGAGATCTAACTCAGAGATGGGGTCTCTCATGGCTGGCTGGAACTCTCCTCGCACCAAGAAAAGTAAGTGATTTTTACTGCCGTATCGCCTTGTCCTCAGAAGCCGGGATGTTTTGGACAGGATTTGAGCGAAACTTGTCCCTCACCAAAGAGGAAATTGACTCCTACTGGCGTGTCAAGAAGGCGGATCAGAGCTCTCCCCAAGCTAGAACTCCAAATGTGCCAGCACTGAACCTCGTAAGCGTTTGGCTTTCGTTGTTTCGTGACTCCTAAGCTGTTGTCTAGCAGGCAAAGAAGACGATCCAGAAGAGCAGTACCTTTTCGAGCCAGGATGATGATCATATGGCGAGCGAGTGCGCCAGAATTCTTCAGCTTTCTCCGCACAAGGAAGTCCTCAAGAGCAAGACTTTCAACGGGCGCGAGGCGGAGGCCGAAGTTCATTCGGAGCTTCTAGTCGGCTCCGCTCCTGCCGCATGGTAACGCAACGTTGCCTCTCGAAAGGTTTCTTCTTGACTGGATGGATGTTTTGGTATCCTCTTCTTGCAGGTGGACAAAAACAGATCTGGCATTTCTTAATGAGCGACCGGTGCTGGAATCTGTGGTCGGCAGGGCCTCCCAGTTCAAGTATGAGTCGCAGTTTAAAGTCACGGAGGCACTCAAGACTGACGATCAATCTCATAGATCCGCTTCCAGCTCTACGTTTGTGTTCTAAAAGATTACGTTTCTTATAGAGCTGAGCTGTGTACATATTATATATACAGAAGTCCTCGTGTCAAGATTGAGGTTTTCTTGTTTTTAGAAAACTATCGCTCCAGGCTCATGCTCCTCGAGCCAGTCTCAGCGCCTCCACTCTGCAATATCTCTGCGATTATCTCCGGCTATTTATATGTAATAAATAATGAAAATATGACTCAAATGCAATTTCTAGAGACAATCCAAATCAACCAAGAGCTTCTGCAGCCTGTCGATATCGGAACCTGAGCTTTCTTTACTTTGCTCATACTTAACACGTTCAACCCTTGGGTTTAGCTTTCGGCGTTTCTTTCTTTTCTCTTCCTCCTCATCTTCATCTTCATCCACATCATTGCTACTACTCACCCCTTCATAGTAGCAAATTTTAGCATTGATCACCTTCTTCAACCCGTCTCTAGCAACATCGTCCCATCTCTTGGATATCTTAATCAAGCTAGCAATGTCGTCCCATGTCTTCTTACAATACAAGCTGCCATACTCCAAAAGTTCTTTCTCGAAAGGTTCTTTCTCCAAAAGTTTAAAATCACCATTTCTCACACGCTTTACTATACTCTCCACCATTTCCTCATTGCCCAGCCAAATTGCAACTTCAGCCAGTTCCTTGTTGTGACTATCATATACCAGTGCTCGTGACAGAAGTTCCGAGAAGAGCTGCGTCATCTTTTCATCCTTCTTCAAGCCAAACAGCCCTGCTGCTTTTTTCACTTCCACCACAGTATCTCTTAGCCCCTGGTCATTCACTTTCTTCACAGTGTTATGAAACTTCTCGTCCAGACCCAAGAGCAACACAAGCGCATCCGCACTCTCGATTTCCCTTAGCCCGCCATAGATTTGTTCGAAGTCAATATCCTTGATGAATCTCTTCTTTGCCAAGGCCATTGCAGCATCGTGACACCCTCGACACTCGAGCTCCACAACAAATGCCGCGACCCTTCTCAGAAAACTTCTCCTTCCTTCCTGCTGGAGTGCAGCCAGCTTTTCCATCTTTTTTGTTTCGCTGGAAATAGACTCATATCCTCCATTGGGCTTCTCTGCTTCTCGCTTCCACAAAACCTCTTGCTCTGTCAATGTCTTCTCCCAGAACTCTTCGATGCGAGGAAAGCTCGTCTCTCCCCACTTTTTGACTACCTGGACTAAGCAACTATTTGGAAGCGGGGGTGCGACACCCAAAATCTTCCATGCATCATCTTCACGTCCACACTTGACGAAGAAGCCCAGCAAACGTGCCAAGAACAAGCTGCTCTCGCAGACTCTCTCCTCCGCCAAGAGCTTCTGTGCAAAAAATACACCCGCCTCCTGCAAGCCATTCGCGTTCAGATGCTCGGCAAAGCTTACAATCCCGTGCTTCTTATCTTCCTCCTGCAAGAGCCCCTCAATCACCCCGCTGTAGCATTCATCCCATCCATACTTTTGTACCGTAGCAACCATATCCTGCGCTGCTGTTTCCATGAGCTCCAACCCCCACTTCTTCATGATCGAAAAGGCAGCATCGCGAAAGTCGTGCTTGATGCAAAACTCTAGCAGAATTTCATCGAAACTCGTATCCTGGGAGTTTGATAGAGCATCCACGTATCGCTCTAAATCCCCACTCGTCCGGCCAGGCTCACGCTTGTGCTGCTCCTCAAGCCAGTTCACTACACATCTGACTGGTTGTGTTGCGCACAGCGCCTCCATTCTGCAATCCTTGGGCCACACTACTAAGGCAGCAGTGTGATAAAATGAGGTTGTATAGCTGCCATTGTCGCCATAGTGTGTCACATTCTTATCTGGTGAGTTGCCAAAAGGATCATTCTCGTTGCTTTCGTCCCTCACAACCTGATCCTTTATAGACAGGCTACTACTTGTGAAGTGCTCGAGTTTTTTATCGTCTATCGCTGTCCAGTTCGTCACACTGTACAAGTCAGTCTCGCATACGTTATAAATCACGTTCGAGGTGCACGTCTGCTTGACGAGCATGCAGAGATAAACGTCGAGAAAGCTTTTGCAGCTCAGCACAAGCGCCGCCACAACCCTGTCGTGTCCCTTGAGCCCCGCAAAGCTCAAGCTGTTTTTCGAGTACTTGTGACCCAGCGGAATTGCGAGGATCGGTGACGAGGTGCCTTTCACATTCTCGGTCCATTCTTTCATTTGGCCTTGGACGCTCCCGAGAGCTGACAAGTAGTGTGGAACCTTGCAAGCATCCACATCCATGAACTTCCGCACCAGGCTAAACACCAGGCAGAGCCTTGTCCCGCTCGTCACCTCGGCCAGCTTGTGCTCGCAGTCGCAGAAGAAAGCCGTCTGGAAGTACCCCGTCCTCGAATCAGCACCAGAGAAATCAAAAGTGACACTTTTCTTCTTGCCGTGACGAATCTCCAGCTTACCGCCCTCGTGGCCGGACTGCGTTGGAAGCTGCAAGATCATCGTCGCAAACATGCCATCTTCCTTCTCAGTATCCCTGTGGAACTTGACGTGTCCACCCTGCTCATACAACAGCAGCGTATACAGTCTCACGTCCAACCCAAGCGCAGCCGCATCAATCCCCAGCTCCTCGATCACGGGACTGGCCATGGCGAGCACTACCTTCGAGAAAAAGTCTGGGATCTGTGGGCAACACACCTTGGATGCCTCCACTTGCCATGCGCCGCGCACGTCTGTGTCGAGCAAGGTTTCCTCGCCCTTTCCATAGGATGCTTGCTGCGCCACGGCCTTGAGCTTGAGAAAGCCATCGCCGGAGAGAGGGAGGGCGAGATCTCCAGCGCCCTCCACTCGCAAGGAGGTGGGCATGGCGAATCTGCTTCCATCAACCTTGCCTCCCGTGGCACACTTTCGGCGAGGAAGAGCAGACCACAGTACCTTTAGTAGTGACTGGTAGTCCATAGCAAAACCTAAAAAAACTGCCTCTATCTTAAACGCTTTTACTTGATGGGTTCGAATCCCATTCTCAGCATATTTGGGTTTTAGGGTTCTTGAGGAAGGAAATGGCGCGTCTAGTGTGTCGCATGTAAGGGCTCGTCTTTGCGATCGGTTTTGCTTACATTCTCGTTTTCTTCTCGCAGCTGCCAGAAGCAGTACGCGAATTACACATGCCCCCGCTGCAATCTTCGCTATTGCTCGCTCCAGTGTTACAAGGTGAGGATATCGTGGTGTTTCTGGTGTGACTGTTGATTCTTTCGGGCAGGGCCACAGTGTGCAATGCACGGAAGCCTTCTCTCGCGACAACGTTCTCGCGGAGATGAAGAATGTGGAGGTGTCCAAGGAGACGAAGCAAAAAATTCTGCAAGCATTGCAAAGGCAAAGCGAGGAAGGAAAGGAATCCATTAACGATGGTCTGGTAGCAAATTTTTCCCTGGATGGATAGAGTTTCTAACTTGGCATGGTGGCACAGAAGAGGAGGAGACTTCCATCTCGGACGAGACTTTGCAGAAATTAATTGCTGGTAAGTTCTTCGCGTGTTCTTCGATTCAGTCACTCACTCTTTCTTTTCTTCTTCCTAGGAGCCGAGGTCACAGTGGCTGATTTATCCTTGGCCGAACTAAAAGCGTTTAAACGAGCTGTGGCAAGCGGAGAGCTGTGCCACCTTATCGAGCCATGGGAGCCCTGGTGGCTAAAACCGGGTGCCAAATCCTTGACTCTCGGCTCTCAAGGTAACAGCCTCGTGCAACCGCTCGACTCGACGAGCAACGACGAACAAGAGAGTACTAGCGAAGCTCCTCTTCCTCCATCGCAAGCTCTACCGCCGCTAAGTCACCTCTCTAAACTTGATCCTTCGCCGCTACTCCCGGTGCACCTCATCGATCTCCTTTACAGCTACTGCTTCGTGATGCGGCTTTACAATGGCGAGTGGAAGGACAGTCCGCTGGACGCGGCCATGGATTTGCTAGCGACGTCCAAAGTTCTATCGCAGTCGGCTCAACCCGAGACGGTCACCGAGGTGATATGCTACTGCTCCGAGGCCGTGTGCTCGCCGGCTTTCAGGCACGCGGGTGGCAGCCAGCTCAGTCTGTTGCTCTGCGATGATACAGCGGCACTTCTCCGGATTGGAAGGCCCGCGGTGGTACGTGCCTTGGCAGATCTCCAACGAATGCTGGAAGCCTCCATCGACGAGTCCAAGAAGCTCAAGATGGTCGACACCAAGAAGGAGAGCAAGCTTCTCCAGGCGGCTTCCAGGAAAGCTTTCTTCCTTATGTGCTGGGCGAACCAACTTGGCGATGGCGTCGCTTGTTTAGCAGCTCTGGTGGAGACCGAGAAGGAGAGACGTGCCGAATCCACTGAGTCGACGGTGGCGACGGCGAGGACAACGACGAGGACGACGAGGACGACGACCAAAGCATTTTTGTCTGCCGCTGGCGATTGAGTGCTACTCGAAGCTCGGTCACTGTGTCAAGGTCTTCTTTTGTTGATCTGCCGTTCTCCGTGTGCGTAGCCGAAGTTTCATCAGGTGCATCGCAAAGTAAAGCAACCAAAAGCTCGCTCCCTCGCTCAATCAATCTTTTCGTTTCAAACAAGATCTAAGCTTTTTTCCACTACTTTTGCGTGTTTCTATTTTGTCGCTGGATCCAATTACCAAATGATAGATCATATCGAGACGAAAAAGTTTCTTTTTTCTCTTCTGCCTTTTCCGTGGTGGGATCCCCGTCCATTAAACTGCGAAAACGACGAGGTTTGAATTGAATCCAATAACATCAGAGGCATACATCAATCATCCCCTCATCTCGAAAGGATGGTGTTGACTTGCAAACCAATTTTTTTTTTACATCTTATAACTTCCATCCATATCGATCCGATCGAGCTCTTAAATGGAGGATCTTGCTAGCAGCGCCACTACCAACGCCACTACCAGCGCCGCCGCCGCGCCGCCAGGGCGGAGGGAAGGGAAGGAACAGTGGGCAAAACCGGCTTAAAACGCAGCTCATCACTTGATGCCCACTCTCTGCTTTTCCATAATTCGGACTGATCCCCTTCAACGCGGTCTTCTCGCTCAAATTCTTTCACCTCGAGGTGCGCCAGATGGGAGCAGGCGGAGATGGACGGCAGCTAGGGATCTAGAGCATCTAGGAGGCAAGATCATGAGGTATTGGAGATTCTTGGCAACTTCTTGTGGCCGGATCGCTTCTTCCAGTGCCTGGAGCTGAGGAGCAGCATAATATCGGATGTGGAGTACGTAGCGTTGAGATTGGAGCTGGAATCGCTCCATCCTATGTCGCAATCCATGCCGCGGTGTTCCCAAGCTTACAGTTGCAATCTAAGTGTGTTGGGACGTGCAACGTCCCGAGGATGTAATTTGCAGCTTGCTGCCGCACATGCGATCAAACACTCCTCCTTAACGGGATGTGGCTCACCCGTTAACTTGATCCAACTGTTGGCAGCTGTCGGATCAAGTCAGGTTCTTTTGGCAACTAATGTGCTCGCCCTACCCGGGAACTGCTTCTTCCTCGGATGAGAGACAGAGCGCGAGATAAGAATACAGATAGGTGTGCTTTGATCAGGAACTGAGGCACAGCTTCGCCACCAATATAATGGATGCAAATTGGTTTCCTAAAGATTTATGGATTCGTTGTCGTACGGCTCGATGGGAAGGAAATGGCGCGTCATCGGTTTTGCTTACATTCTCGTTTTCTTCTCGCAGCTGCCAGAAGCATTATGCGAATTACACGTGCCCCCGCTGCAATCTTCACTATTGCTCGCTCCAGTGTTACAAGGTGAGGGAATTCGTGGTGTTTCTGGTGTGACAGGGCCACAGTGTGCAGTGCACAGAAGCCTTCTCTCGCGACAACGTTCTCGCGGAGATGAAGAATGTGGAGGTGTCCAAGGAGACGAAGCAAAAAATTCTGCAAGCATTGCAAAGGCAAAGCGAGGAAGGAAAGGAATCCATTAACGATGGTCTGGCACCAGAGTTTTCCCTGGATGGATAGAGTTTCTAACTTGGCATGGTGGCACAGAAGAGGAGGAGACTTTCATCTCGGACGAGACCTTGCACAAATTAATTGCTGGTAAGTTCTTCGCGTGTTCTTCGATTCATTCACTCACTCTTTCTTTTCATTTTTCTTCTTCCTAGGAGCCGAGGTCACAGTGGCTGATTTATCCTTGGACGAACTAAAAGCGTTTCAACGAGCTGTGGCAAGCGGATAGCTGTGCCACCTTATCGAGCCATGGGAGCCCTGGTGGCTAAAACCGGGTGCCAAATCCTTGACTCTCGGCTCTCAAGGTAACAGTCTCCTGCAACCGCTCGACTCGACGAGCAAAGACGAACAAGTGAAGCTCCTCCTCCTCCATCGCAAGCTCTACCGCCGCTACGTCACCTCTCTAAACTTGATCCTTCGCCGCTACGCCCGGTGCACCTCATCGATCTCCTTTACAGCTACTGCTTCGTGATGCGGCTTTACAATGGCGAGTGGAAGGACAGTCCGCTGGACGCGGCCATGGATTTGCTAGCGACGTCCAAAGTTCTAGACGGTCACCGAGGTGATATGCTACTGCTCAGAGGCCGTGTGCTTGCCGGCTTTCAGGCACGCGGGTGGCAGCCAGCTCAGTCTGTTGCTCTGCGATGATACAGCGGCACTTCTCCGGATTGGAAGGCCCGCGGTGGTACGTGCCTTGGCCGATCTCCAACGAATGCTGGAAGCCTCCATCGACGAGTCCAAGAAGCTCAAGATGGTCGACACCAAGAAGGAGAGCAAGCTTCTCCAGGCGACTTCCAGGAAAGCTTTCGTCATTATGTGCTGGGCAAACCAACTTGGCGATGGCATCGCTTGTTTTGCAGCTCTGGTGGAGACCGAGAAGGAGAGACGTGCCGAATCCACTGAGTCGACGGTGGCGACGGCGACGACAACGACGAGGACGACGACCAAAGCAGTCTTGTCTGCCGCTGGCGATTGAATGCTACTCGAAGCTCGGTCACTGTGTCAAGGTCTTCTTTTGTTGATCTGCCGTTCTCCGTGTGCGTAGCCGAAGTTTCATCAGGTGCACCGCAAGGAAGCAACCAAAAGCTCGCTCCCTCGTTCGCGATTCATGTATCCTTGCGGAAAGTGGTAGAATCTTTTCGTTTCAAACAAGATCTAAGCTTTTCCCCACTACCTTTGCATGCTTCTATTTTGTCGCTGGGCTGCGCTGGATCCAATTACCAAATGATAGATCAATGAGAATTCTCGAGAGGTACTAGATTATCTTTTCCTGGTTCCTTTCTTACGAGACAAATAACTTTCTTTTTTCTCTCCTTGTATATTCTCCACAAATCCCGAGATGGTGCGCAGGTCTTGTTTGTCAAACACTTGGAGTGCACGAGCATCCTCCTCCCGCCCGCCATCTTTTGCAAGAATCTGTGCAAAAGAGATGACGCGCACGGAATCGCTGGAATATCCGCTCCGTCCAACGCATGCATGAGTTCATGCACGCACGTAATCCTCTTGGTGTTGACTTGGAAAACCATTTTTTTTTCTTTGTATCGATCGCTAATACATCTCATAACTTCCATCCATATCGATCCGATCGAGCTCTTAAATGGAGGATCTTCGCCGGCGCTAGCAGCGCCACCACCAGCGCCACCACCAGCGCCACCACCGCCGCCACCACCAGCTCCGCCGCCGCGCCGCCAGCGCGGAGAGAAGGAAGTTTCGTGGAAGGAACAGTGGGCAAAACCGGCTTAAAAACGCAGCTGATCACTCGCGTAGTGTTGTTAAGTCGCATTTCATCGCCTTGCGCTGTCGCAGTCTCACGCGCTATTCTAGCCAATCTTTATTTCTTTTCCTTCGCGAGGCGATTTGATTTGATCCGCTACTCCAAGGTTTTGGCCACCGCTCAGCGTCGATTCAGCCATGCGGCCTCCCCCGCTGAAGATCGCTGGTGGCAGCGATGACTCTTCCTCCAGCTCCAGAGATCCAAGGAATTCCAAGAACAAGGCTGTGTCCTCGCCCAGGCGCTCCAAGCCGCCGCTGCCGGGGGCTCGTCGCGGGCCGGTTATAATTCACACATACTCGCCCAAGGTGATCCAGACGAGCACGCAGGATTTCATGGAGCTCGTCCAGCGCCTGACGGGTTCCTCCGACACGCGCCTTCGCTGCAAGAAGACCATCTCCACGAAATCCACCAAGGTATCCTCCTCCTTCTCTTCCTCCTCCTCCAAGAAGTTTAAATCCAGGCTCGCGCATTCCAACGCCAGTGATGATCACCCAGGTGGTGTGTACAAGCCCACCAGGCCGAATCTGCCAGAAGAGATGGATGACGCTCCCCATAATGATGATCACTCCTCCTCTCAAGGATTGGCTGTGACGGACGATCTTAGTCTAGGATCCTTCAAAAGCCCTCTCCTCGCTAGCCATAGCAGCGACGAGCACATCAATTTGTCAGTAGGCACGGGGGATTCGATGAACGCGAGTCTGGCAGCCACTCCGGCGGGCGGATCACTGGGATGGTCGTCGCCAATCCCCACGCCAAACTTTCTCCTGCAGCACGACCTGTTCAAGGATTTGCCGCTCTTGTCGCCAGTCTTCTCGCCTGCATGGCCACACCAGGTCGGCCGCTACGCTAGCTCCTAGCTCGCTACGTGCTGGGTTCCGTCTCGAGAAATTTGTCTGTATAAATTGAAATCAAGGAAAATTTTCGTAGTCGATTGTTCGGGAAAGAAATGAAACGGAGAAAAAGGAAGCAGGAAAATGTAAACAAAATAGAAGCATGTTTGAAAAGGACTGTACAACTACTGTACATGTTCATCCGGCTCCATCACAAAAAAATAAAAATAAAAATAAAAATAATGGAGTTTTTGTTTCTTCTCGCTGGAGCCCTCTCAGCATCCTAGAGCTAAGCTAGCCTTTATTAACTTGCATGGCTGAAAAAAATTCCTCCTCTTCCTTCTCTTTTTTGTATTGAGTCCATAGGGATGGTGTGATGGTGAGGAGCTTTTGCTTGTGACGATTAGAATTCGTGGGTTTAGCAAAGCTTGGATGTGACGATTAGAATTCGTGGATGGAAGGGTTTAGCAAAGCTTGGATGCTTGAAGTAACTTGTGTGCTGCCTCAAGTTTATCTTCCTCGCCCGCTCAAACACGGGAGGGAGAGTGGACGCTCGTGCTAGATGCTGGTCTCTTAGTCAAAAACTCGTGATGAAAGGTGGTTACGTCAATATCGATTCCACAGCCGTCCACATAGAAGAACCTGCGCCTTTGACGCTCCCGCACTCGCTCCATAACCTGGGAACTAATACGGACAAGGGAGCCCATGTGTGTTGCCATACAATCCACTTATTTGTTATCTATGCCGTGAAAGGATCCTATGACTTGCTTCATCTGTTCCCTTCCATGGTTGCCTGCTGGCGCTCTTCTACATGTGGCTGCACGTCCCGACCGGCAGCACAGCATCTCAGCCTTTGCCGCTACGAGGATCCTGGCACTGGCCAGTTGCCGACATTGCTTGCTTCTCCAACATCCAGCGTTGATCGACATCATGTCACAGCTCCATCGTGTAAGCAAGAATCTCCAGTAGCAGCCGCGGCTGGACTCTCGGCGACCTTCCTTGCATGAATTTTCACTCTTTGGTTAGAGATATTCGATACTACCGTCCTGAAGGTTCACTGATCGCTTTTATTTATGCCATTCGCTCTCTCAGCCGTCAACTATTGCCGCGGTTGAGATCCAAGCCAAGACAATGGTGGAACTGCAGCAGCAAAGTGACGCCTTCGACGTGACCGAGATGGTGTGCCGGCTCTTCTATACATGCCTCCTACTACTATCTTCTGTCCTGTGTCAAGTATTAACAAGCATTGCTATGCTCCCAGCAAGGAGGTGGCTGATCGTAACCAGGGGCAGACGTTGCCGCCAGCCATGCCCATGCTTCACCTGGCACTCTCCTTCGTGCTCAACGTTACCTCCAGCTCGCAGGTGGTGCCACTTTCCTCGAGCGACATTGATATGTCCAAAGGATGATCTGAGTTTCTACACTGCGGCCATCCTAGCCGGCTGTAAAACACATTGATTTGCTCGACCATGGCTCTAACGACTGTGTAAAGCATTTGTCACCCCACAGGCTGGAGCAGCACTCCGCGGCAGTTCGAGACAAATCTGACAACCTGCATCCGAAGCAGATGACTATTTCATGAAACATGAAATAGTAGTTGCTGATCTTGACCGGACACTCGCTGCTGGAAGAGGCAAGGTCGGGCTCGTAGACAATGACACCGACCGCGTTGCGACCAAGTGCGAGGTGTGGATGATAAGCCTGCCAAAGGCAAAGCGAAGGCTGAGGTTGGAAAAGAGCTTCGTGAACTTGTTGGCCGCGGTGAGCTTGCAGGTGGAGGAGGAGCAGGAAGAGTGCAGCTGGATGCTGGACGACATCTGCTGCCGTGCAGCTTGGAGGCTACCAGATGCTCAAGCCGCTGCTGCCGGTCCTGAAAAACACGGGTGTCAATCTCCTACATTGTGGAGGTGTGTGCCTGATCTTGTTAAACCGACATGGTTCTACGGCAGGAGCTGCGCTACAGGAAGAATTTGGGGAGCTCCCATCTTTCCAAACCACGCCGACGGCGGATTCTCAATGCTGATTTCCCTCGGGGCTTCAAGCTGCCAGGTACGGATATCTAGAGCTCCACACCAAGCATGATAAATGTTTTGCAGATGCCTCGCGGGAGATTGAGCAGCACTTGTCGGAGCCGACCATAACACTGTGCCAAAACGTGACGGAGCCAGTGCTCGGCATGGCAGCGTGCCCGTGTCAGTTATAGCGCCGCGGACTTGGACGACAAGGCGTTATTGAGCTTGGTGTGCTGCTCCTACACCCACGGAACAAATACCACCTTGAGCGAGAGGGGCGGCGAGTGACAAGGCGATTGCTGTGGTCATTGGGAAATGTGAGCTGGGGCCTCTACTTCTCAAGATGGGAGAAGGATCTGATACATTTGCTTACGATTGCAATGCACTTACTGGTGCTATGAGCAGGAGTTGCAGGGGGGAGGCGAGCAGGAGATGCTTAACAAGCAGCTCGCCTGTTTAGGCCTGGGATAAGCCTCTTGCACTGCCTTGCTGGTGCTTAACTATGTTGTAGCTCTTGGAGCCTCGGCTCCCTGCCCTGGAAAGTTTTTCAAAAATTGCACTCAAACACAAAATCACTTTGCTATTGCTTACCTTTGAGAGGGAGCGAATCAAAGGCCGAAGGAGTGTTTGGATACTTGACCCTGTGCACGACGCTCCCGCTCTGCTTGATCATGGACGCCGACTTGTCTTCTTGAGGAGAGCGGGCTCTCAGTAGTGAGAATACGTGATTATTTAGACCCCTTGCTCTTCTTGCATTATCCAGAAAGTCCTCCAGCTCCTGCACAAAGCCATGCCATGATCGTAAACCTTTCACAAAAATAATCATACGAAGTAAAGATACCTGTCCATATGAAGGACCATACACTAGAGCTGGCTTCCTTGATCTGTCGTGATGGATGGCGGACTCGGCTTCTTCTACACTTAACAGATGATAAATGAAGTCCAATAGCTCAAAGCGTTGCTGCTGCCCAAGGAAGTATACAATAGCGCAGCCACCCCAAGCCACCGAGTCACCAAAACACTCAAAGTTGGGGCCGGCCTCGGCAAGTGACTCGCCACAAAACACCTGTGCATGCACTTCAGTTTACAGTGATCCTAACAGAACAGGAAAAGAAAAAAACACACAAAAGCATCAAGCTTACGAATTGAATGCCACTGTATATGCGATGGTACTCCTTGGATGTTGTGATTTCGATGAGCCCCGTCTTCGATGGGGAGCTCCATTTCTCCCGAAAGCTATCGAGTACAACGCTCAGATACGCCAGTGTGTACTCAAGGACGCTACCAGTTTGGATGTTTTTCATGTACAGCGAGCCTGTGATGAATATTAAGTTAGCGTTAGCAAGCTTGGACGACAACAAACCTGTAACTTCAGCTTGCTTCCCCATTGCAACGAACGTAGATGGCGACAAGCACAGTGGATGTGCTGCACACGCACTGGCGGCCTCTTTAAAAAGAGCCAGAAAGGGGCTATCTGTGGCGTCAGCAGCGTATCTCTGAAGGCCATTCGGTCCCGGAGCAATGCCCAGCCAAGGTGCTACTTGTACCATCTGACTCGTCTCGGTTTCTTTCTGCCAGAAAACAAAAAGCTTTGTCAAGAAAAAAGGAAGAAATGAAATGCAGCACCATACCATTGCCATATCCAGCAACGACATAAGGAAGAGCAACGTTCCAATTTCCTTCAGACATTCTATAAAGTTAACTTTCCCTTCGTAGCTTGTTACCCACTGAAGTTGCTCCTTCAGGATTTTCATTGCCCCTGCACAAAGAAACAAATATTATAACAACTCCAGCAAACTCAGTAGCTCACCCGCAACACCAGCTTCTGGAGTCGGGAGGTTTATAGCCTTGGGCATGGCTCCACGAAGATCACCAACACTGGAATCTAGAGACGACGTGATCTGTTCAAAGGCACACGCAATAAAACACTCGGATCAAATGAAAACCACACACTGACCTTTTGAGAAAGGTGATCCAACAAAGCTCGGATAAGCCAAGGTAGCGAGCGAGAACCCAGCAGCTTGACTATGCACAGCATGTGAGGCAATCCAAAGAACTTGCTGAAAAGATCGGTGTACATGGCATGTGCCATGTTCAAGTCCTAAGAAACAGAATGTCAACTCAACATCAAAACAATCAGCAACCTTACCGGAGTGCCACAAAGGAAACTGTAATCCGCGTGGGGAACTGGAGCACGTCGAAAGACTCGCTGGCAGGCCTTAGGTGACCTGATGAGCCTTAAGCTTGAGTTGCATAAAATGAAGTTCGGAACAACATCATTTTGAATCTCCGAGAATATCTAAGAAGGAAAATCATTTAGAAATCGAGTAGCATGAGCTCTACCTGCGATGCTAGTCTAGAAGAAAAGGACACCATTGAAATATTCTCCATCATTTCCTCCAGGATCAGATTGAATGGATCTAGAGTGAGCTGATCTGCAAGAAGGCAATGCGTAGCTCGGAGAATTTCAATTAAATGGTCGAGCTCCTGTGAAGTTGGTTAGGAACAACGTCACAAGTCGAAGTGTTAAACGTACCACAATGGTGCAGAGGTCATGGGATTCAAACCGCTCAAGTAAAAAGTCAAGATTTTCGCGGAAAATCTTGTTTAGTCGCTGCTCAATGAGAAAAGTAAGGTCTATGTCCCGTCCCAATATCTGTGTTCAACGTGAGCATGCCAACATATAGTTGAAAATGGACATTACAATACCTGAACTCGCCGCATCTGAAACAATGGCTCGTAACGTTTTGGAAATACCCGGAATTTGTCCTGAAGTTCGGAACTGGCGACGAACGTTGCATCAAGTTGCTTGCTGAACAGACGTGGTAAATTACGCAACAAATCTAACGCTGCCGGCACACACACCTTGAAGCCCGACTTTTGTAGTAGGAAAATATGTGCTCACTCAATTTAAAAACCAGCTGATCAAAGCACAAATCAACCTGTAACAGACGACGACTTGGCAGTAAATCCAGCGTGCTTGTGTAATCTACTTACCTCGGCCTCGACCTCATCGTATAGAAACCGTTGTTTGAGCCTACGGAGCGCATGCTCTGCAGAGTCATTATAAATATCAAATGGCACCAAGACGCTCTCGAGTAAAGCAGCATCTTGAGATTCTAGTATATAATCCACCAGCATCCACGGAAAAGAACACTCGATAGGAAACTGTAACATGCATTCAAAGAACCAGTAACGTCAGTAGAATACTTGACAGCGAGTACCTGTATTACACGAGAAGTCTCCAGATAAAACTCACGGAACCAGATAAATCCGAGATCGGTGACATGAAAAATCGTAGCTGAATTATCATGTTTTAGGAAGCATGCAGAGAATGAAATGCATAAATTCACCTTTGTAATCGAGGATGTAGGGGTAAAACGCCAGCTTGTTGAAGAACAAGTCGAGTTGTTTCATGTCGGCTGATGCGATCTCAGTTTCGTTACTTCCGAAAAATACTGCAGCTTTCTTGGGACTCCCAGAGATAAGTTCGTGGATCAGAAATTGCAGGCAATGAAGCTGAAAGGAGAAAAGTCAAATAGATTTAAAGAGAATGCCGAAAGGCTACAAACCTGGGCAGCCGTAGGAGCTGTAGCCCGAACCGTGATTGGAAATCTATCAGTTTCATCTTTCGTCTTCCTGAAAGATCCTTTCTCTTGATCACCATTACTATTTGTCCAGTCCGCTGCGATGGTCCTCATCTCAGTAACGATTCTAAGATCAAAACAACAATGCGCACCAGTTATTTTGATGTAATAATGTCCTTACCGAGATAGTTCTTTCTTTTTCTTCATGGAAGTTCGCAGCATCAAGGAAAGCTTGTTTTGCACAAAGTCTTGCAATTGCGAATGTATGACTTCGCACACTGTCTCGGCAACTTGAGTATCAACGTGCTCCAGCATGGAGCCAACACCCTTGATATAGCTTATCAGCTCCACCATAGCTTTCCTTTCTTCGGGGGAATAGTTGCAGCGTACAACCTTAAAACCAAACGCTCAAAACGTAGCATCTTAATCGACATGCCAGCCATACCTTCTCATAGTCTGTGACAACAGCTGAGACATCCTCGTCGTATGGAGTGGCTTCTTTTGAAGGTCTGGAGAACTTCCAAGCACACTGCTCCCACACGCGGCCTGTCCATTCACTAAGACACTGAAAGCCTTCAAGAATTGCCATGTAGACATCCTCCTTGATCTTGGTACTGAGAGCCTCGTCTACGTTTCTGGCACACTTTAGAAGTTGGAGCTGCAAAGAATAAAAAATGGTCGGAATATTACTCGACACATACAATGAGCTTCTTACCTTGTTTATCGCAGCAGCAAAATGCAAGCAGAACTCGTCATGAGCGAAGCGAATGGCAGGCATGTGATGTATGATCAGGTACTCTTTCTGATACGTTCTCCTCGTCAAGGCGACAAAAAGAAAATAAAAACATGGCCACCAGAGAAAGGATATTCTAAAGCTTCACGGGGAGCAAGTTCGTGGGGTGCAGGCAACGACGTCAGTCTGCTTTGAGCCGCAACTTTCCGAAAGTAAGGCGACAGTTCTTTCAGCATGCTTGCAGGCGAAAGGTGAAGATCTGGAAATGCGGGAATTACCGGATCACTCTAACAACAGAAACAAATCATTTATCAGAAGGAAACTGGAAATGAAATGTACCCGAAACACCCGGATGAGCCTGTTTATTTTGATCTTCTTGAATGTTGAGTCGCCTTCTTTCTCAGAGGAAATGGCGAGAACCACCAGAACGGGTAGCACCCTGAGCAATACATGCCTCTCGGAGTAAAGGACAACATGGTCGGACTCCAATGCATCCAGGCAGAAGTTGATCAAAACTTGAAGGAGGTCTTCCAAGCTGTTCAAGCTCATGTAAGAAAAACGGAAAGGCGAACAAAGCATACTTGTTCACTCGGAAAAGTTCTGCCTGTATATTAAGCAAGATGGCCCATCTTGTACTCAGGAAAATCTGCACAATTATAAACCTCAAGGTATGGAGAAAAAGTAGAGATACCTGCAGGTCATCCAGTTCTTCTCTCATGGAATCCGTATCCGGCCACTGGGTGCTTATTTGAGTGAACGTCCTGTGAAATCAAATAGTCCAGCGGCAGGGAAAAAGAAAGAACGCAATTAATAGTGATCTCACCTCTTGTACCACGAAAAATCATTTGGGATGCTTGCTTTTGCATTCTTCAAATGGTCGAGTTGCAAAAGAACATCGAGAAGCTTTAGAATACACCTGTATGCTTGGAAGTTGTGATGCAAAACGAAAAACAATGAAGTATCACATACCACATATGTGTCACGGTTGGACCATTAATTCTTCTCTCCGGCCGACAGAACTTTTGCATATTGCCTGCGAGCTGTGAAAATAATGAGCACTTACAGAAGCACTCGAAAAATCATATCATACTTTTGACGCGGCTGTTGTTTGCCAGCGCTGGATGTCACGTAAGCGACCGATCTCAATGTCGAGCACTTGGTACGTTTCCAGGTACAAATCTGCCTGGCTCTGTTTCATGGAGTCGGGGAGCTACCGATCCATTATAAGAAGAGAGCCAAGTGAGTCGAGCAAGTCGAGAGAGTCTTGGAACAAACTTTGCAATAGCTACCTGTGGAAGAGCCTTGACACAGCTGCGATACGTATAGAGGATAGAAACCATCTCGTTGCCTTGCTCCACCAGCACATTCTGTAAATCTCGATATAAGTAAGAAGTCGTCCAGAGAAAACCAACAAACCAGCTGATTGATCGACTTGGAGTCTTCCGTGAGTTGTAGCTGGTAAGCAGCAACATCCTCGTAATCTGCCAGGTTTTTTCATCGAGTGAGCGAGCGAGAGATCCATACTCCCTAGCTAGTACTAAGTAGAATGCGATCGTGTATTACCGAGAGGACTTTGAGACGCATTCTTGCCAGTGAGAAGCGTGACAGCAAGCCCTTGAATGTCCGGCTGGTTGCCCTGGAGCAGCGGCAAAGCTCTGTTTTCATCCATGGAATCACAAGGCGCTTGCGCTTACCTCCAAAGAAAATGTGGATAGCGCTGCCACCGCTTCCTCCATTCCGCGCCCTCCTGGAGCTCTCTCTCCCAGCCCTAGGAGCTAACAAGACTCACACGAAACTCTCTCTTCTGTATAGATCGGGCAAGGAATATACAGCGAATAAGTTATTGGGTGTTAAGTAGTGTACAGGCGAAAGGAGATCACAGGCCAAACTTTGGTATGATCTGGACGATAACATCGCACTCGCTGACGTCCTCGTGGTTGTCTACGTTATTGTCTCGTGGGAGCTGCATGGAGCAGTAGTGAACCGCGTCGTCCACAGTCAAGGAGATCCACCGCTGTCCCAAGATATCGACAAAGCCACCCCTGTGCAGCCTCTCAATCACTTCGGCTCCAGGATTCGCTAGAACTAGCTGCGCATTAGATGGAAATCCATGTCAAAAGAAAGACAAAAAGAAAGGTGATTCAACGAATCCCTCTACCTGAATGTCTGACGCCTTGAGCGCCCTGTGGATCTCCACAAAGGCGTGGATTCCCGACGTGTCGATGCTCATGACAGCTGAAACACGGCGTCCAATAGTGTTACATGCGCAAGAACAGAAAGAAGCTTACGAGAGAGATCGATTACGAGAAATCTGAGAGGCGAGGCCTTTGCGAGATTCGTCTCCTGCTCTATCCATCTTATGATCCTGAGAGCCACCATGAAAGAAACAAGCTTTGTCACTGTTCTCCCGTTTCAAAGGCTTGATCGAAAACACCGTACCTACGCGAAAGTGAATTTACCTTTCTCTGACGTAATTGGCATTGGAGAAGTAAATCGCGGCTTCGATGCGGACGACCAAGATCCCCGGTACTCGAATGGCCTGTGGATACTGCTCGATACTCCGATAGATGCTCGTCCCCGGAATCTTTCCCAGGATCGCAGCATGAGGCCTGGTGACGTGCAGCAGTACCTTGAGCACAGAGATGCCAACCTGCGAGCCATGGTCTCGATCGCGTTAGTTTCGGATAACGAGCATTCCTTTCTCAAACATGAGTTCTTCGGAACTCAAGCTTACCGCCACCGAAAGTCCCAGAGGGATGGAATGGAAGATAACACCGAAGAATGCTCCCATGCACGCCAGGAAGTCGATCTTGTCCACCTTCCATATCTCGTAAGCTGCGACCGGATCGATCAAGCCCACGAGCGCGCAGAAGATGATGACCGAGAGTATAACGTTGGGAGTGTAGTGGAAGAGCGGCGTGAGTGCCACAAGGGTCACCATGACTAGAGCCGACATGACAATGCTAGAAACCGGTGTCTTGCAGCCGGCGTTGTGGTTCACTGCGGTCCGGGACATCGCCGCTGCATCAACAATGAAAGTTATGCTTCGATCATGCGTAAAGATGCTCTAGTCTTACCAGATGATCCCATGCACGACAAGCAGGAGCCAATCAAGTTGATCATGCCGCTGGCGATCATCTCCTTGTTCCCATCAATGTGGTAGTTTTTAAGCGACGCAAACGTTCGGCCCACCAGGATGACTTGCTGCCAAGGCAAGCATGTTTCTCTGAATGAATTACTCAACACCAAGCCTCCGAGTTACCAAAGCGATTGACAAGAATTACCATGAGTCCCACGAGGCCAAGCACCATCCCAATCTTGACAGATTTGACGAGGAATGGGCCGTGGAAGGACAAGTAGCGTAGAGATGGCGGATTCAATCCCTTCCTCAAGTTCCCGACCTGTATATATAGAGTTTGCCCGAGGAGTTATACTACTACTACTGCTCGGGAAGGAAGAACTTACGATGCCAACGTTGTGGTGGTCGGCCCGCGTGAGGAAGACGATGAGCGTGGAGAGGGCGACGGATGTAACGGGGGCCACTGCCGACACCCAAAACAGACGCTTTTTTCGCTTGCTCTGCAAACAACGCCAGCTGACTTATATATGTGTCTTATATGTGATCGCCATCAAGATCATCGCACGCAAAGCCAAACTTACAATCACTCTGGCCGTCGTCAGCAGCGAGATGAAGAAGACGCCAAACACGATGGTCCTCCAGTTCCACTGCCCATCAAACGTTAAGACGAACAAGTTGAAGCTTCTCTAGGTAGGAGATCTCACAAGGAAAACCGACCTGGGAGGGGTGCTGGAAGATGGAGTGCACGACCGAGACGATATCAGACTTCCTGGTGAAGTGCGTGAGCCCGAGAATGCCTTTGAACTGCTGGAGCGCCACCACCAGCGACGCCCCCGACATGAAGCCCACGGTGGTGGCGTGGGAGAGGAAATCGATGACAAAGCCCAGCCTGACATGGTGCGAATGTGATCACCTATCGCAAGGAAGAAGAGCCCTACTTGTACTTTACCTGAAGAAGCCGAGCATCGCCTGGAACAAGCCGGCAAAGAAGACGGCCATGAAGGCGAGGCGGAGATGGTCCTCGACGCTCTCGTTGTGAGCGCCCAGCTCCGATCGCACCAGGCTTCCCAGCAGCAGCGCGAACACCGCCTCGGGACCCATGGCCACATCCTTGGAGCTCCCGAAGAGTGCGTAGATCACGGGCGGGACGACGCAAGTGTCTACAAGGACAAAAGCGATTATCAACTTTGGAGCATGACGAAGAGCTTGTGTGTGCTTTCTTACATAGCCCCAGCACTGCAGGCAGACCCGCGAGCCTTGCGTACGCGATTCCCTGTTTCCAGATCATCGGAGTGAAAGATTCAGAGTAGCTAGATAGAACTTAGAAGCTTTACTTGTGGGATGGAGAGGCTGGCGATGGTGATCCCGGCGATGAGATCGCTCTTGAAGTAGGCTTGCTTGTACTTGGGCAGCCACTCGAGGATGGGGAAGACGTACTGGGCAGCCATGGCGAGCTTGGTGACGGGTGGCTGGTTCTTGAAGTGGCGGAAGGGATCGTCCGGGAAGAGCGTCTCCCTGGACGCCGAAGACAATTTCCGGAACGCGCTCTTGCGCGGCGCTCGCTGCACCTCCTGCATGCTGTGCACATTGATGGAGCCCGGCTGCACGATGTATCGCTCCGACGAACCCGACACGATCCGGGACAAGGACTGTTCCACGCCTCCGCGGCTCTCCCCTGATCTGTTCTGGTAGCTCTCCAGCTGCCCAGCTTGTTGCTGCTCGTCAATCTTGTGCTCATCCATGGTCGCCAATTGGTGGTAAAAACACTATTGATCAAAGAACACAAACCTCTCGAGGTCTCTTGCTATAACTAGTTAGAAGAGAACCAATTGAGCTTAGAGCTCTAGCTTGGAGCTGAGAGGAATGATCTTTCAAAAGGCAAAATCATAGCGAGTCGAGACGAGGATCTTTTCCTTTATAGGCAGGGGATTCCAACGGGATTCCTATATCACCCAGAAATGCTGCCCGCATTCCCAGAATCGAGAAAGGGAGCGCCTAACTTAGCCTCCATTCTTTTTTCCAAGCTCACCCCCATTATACATATGATAGATTCACAAGGACCACCGAGACCCGCGTGGACCGCCACCTCGGCTCAAAGTGTGTACTTAAGTACACGCTCCACATATTTCTCTTCCAATATTCTCACGCATATTCGATCGATCATCTTTCTTTTCCTTGTTTTTCAGGTGGTTCTTTGGGCATTTGGGTTATGCGCTTGGGCGACACAACAGCTCCTGTTTGCCATGTTCCAGTGCTTTACGCGATGAGCTCGGCGATCAGCCGTAAAAATTCCAATCTTATCTATGCATACATGTAAAGCGCTGGGTCCGATCGCTGGCCAGCGCTAGAGAAAAGGAGAGCGGGAGGTGTCGATCGCAGATGCAATTTTTTTGAAGATTCGAGATGTCTCTAGGCTCATGCACCAGTGTCCGTGGTCACGAACATATTCGATTCCGCTGGTCGGTGAAGGCAATGTTTTTGAGATCATCCTTTTCACAACCAGTTTGATTCAACACGATCACCACCTTGCGCTTTCAATTTAATTTCGGACAACTCTACGGTGCCACGCCTCGGAACTTCTCCCCAGTCACGCAAACGAAACGATTAAGGCTCCTGTGTGAGGGAGATTCTCTCGTGCTTTAAATGGGCTCTGCCTCCATGGCTTCTGGATATAGATTAAAAAACTCATGCATGGAGGTGGTGCACTGATCATGTAATATGTAATAGAAGAGCAAGAAAGCATGACATAGTTGGATTCATGGGCAGACGTGCTTCTTCAATTGGAGTAATAAAAATCGTGTGTTTTGCCACTCACCCCCAGAGAGATCTGCCATGATATTTATTCCTCACCTGTGGATTTCTTCTTGAGTGGCATTGGTTGGAGCCCAAGTCGACCAGCAATGGAAACGACAATCACATGAGCAAATTATGCACCCACCCTCCCTCCATTTTTTGATATATTGTATGCTCCTGAAAGAAGCTTTCCGGACGACCTCTTTCTCGAGATCGAGCTTGGCCTCGATTCGGATGTGTTGGTCAGATCATTATTTCTTCCTGGTGACGTCGGCTTGCACTCGCTTCCATCAATCAATCGCTCCAGAAGAGGGAAAGAGAAGCTTGACATTTGATGTCAAAAGCAAGTTGATATGTGGAAAAGGTTGGTCATTGGTGGGGAACAATGCCTGCAGGGGAGAACAATTGGCTGAGCATGCCACAACAGGACAGTGTACTTCAGTAAAAAAGAAGAAAGAAGAGAAAAAAAGCTCGATCGCCCGGCTGCATTTTCAAAAGGAGATTGGAATCTTTTCGCAAAGAAGAACACGAAGATTGAGATTCAAAGCAGGCTAGGCCAGGGACGCACACACACCCACACTGCGGGAAGAACAATCCAGAGTGGGATTCTTCTTTATGTTTATCTAGTGTCTTCTAAACTTAGAAGTTTCACTACCAAAACAAGGGTTCCATTTTCCATTCCCCCATTCCACTCGGTGCTCAACTTGGGCGCCCTCCAAGGTACGAGCTACTTTGCTTGCTTTGTTGACTGTTCGTCAGTCCCCAAAACTTTGGTGTCGATCTCTCCTCTATTTCTCAATCAGTCCTTTTTCTTTTTTCCTCCCATCATCTTTGTATGGTCACTTCTGGCATCTCCTTCATCTTTTGCAAATTGACTGAGCAGTACTCCACTGCGTCGTCCACTGTCAGGAACACCCATTGCTCGCCCAGCTTCTCCACGAAACCCGACTTGTGTAGAGTTTCTATGAGGTTTGCCCCTGGGTTCGCTAGAGCCAGCTGCATTGTTTTTTAACTTTAGCTTTTGAGAGAAGAAAAAGAGAGAAAGATTCACCTGCATTTCCATCAAGTTTAGATTTCTGAGAATCTCTCCCAGGACGTGAAGCCCAGACGTGTCGATGGTCATGACCGCTGATCATGGGTGAGTGTTACATCAGAGAGACAGAGAGAAAGGTTAAGAATGTGTGATGAGCGTACGTGTGAGGTCGAGTATGAGGTATTTTAATGCGCTTTCACCCGGAAGCTTGTCTCTCCCTTGCTCTTCCTCTATATATCTCGTCAGCCTGGGGATAGATTACACACGCCTTTTAGACTTTGTGTAACAGGAGGACTAACTAACCTTTCTCGTATGTAGTTGGAGTTTGAGAAGTAAATGGACGCGTCTATGCGAACTATGAGAACTCCCGGGATCCTTACAGCTTTGGGGTATTGCTCGATGCTCCTATAGATGCTGGTGCCAGCAATCTTGCCTAACGTTGCTGTGTGTGGCCGGCTGACATGCAGCAAAATCTTTCCTATGGAGATGGCAACCTGGAAGTTAAAAGTTCCACAAAATCATGGTACTTCTTTGCATGCTTTTGGTGGACTCACCGCTATGAGTAATCCCAGCTGAATGGACTGGAAGCAGACGCCGAGAAACGCTCCCAGGCAGGCCAGAAAGTCGATCTTGTCAACCTTCCAGATGTGGTACGCTTCCACGGGATCGATGAGTGTGATGAGAGCGGAGAAGATTATTACAGAGAGGATGACGTTGGGCGTGTAGTGGAAGAGCGGTGTCAAGGCGAGAAGTGTTACCATGACGATGAGCGCCATGAAAATGCACGACAGCGACGTCTTACATCCCGCGCTGTTGTTCACTGCCGTTCGCGACATTGCTCCTGGAAGTTATATGATCGATCAGCATCAATCAGCGAAGTGTAAGTTCTCTTTTTTTCCTTGCATGACTAACCAGTCGTGATGTAGCAGGACATGCAAGACCCCGTCATGTTCACCATTCCAAAAGCGATCATCTCCTTGTTGCCGTCGATATGATAGTTCTTGATCGATGCAAATGTTCGTCCCACTGCAATAGCTTCCTGTGGACACAAACTCTTCAGTCAACCATGATCCGTGATAGCCACTTTGGTACGTACCATGAGACCGATGATTGCTACAATGACCCCGTTTTTCATTGCCTTTGATACCAGAGGCCCGGTCAGGTGTAGCTCCTTGAAGGATGGAGGATTGATCCCTTTCCTGAGCTGTCCTACCTACGAACAAGCAAGTAACTTACGGTGCAAGAGCGAGCGAAAGAAAAGATTACAATGCTGAGGTGCTCGTTGGCGTGCGTTGCAAACACACACACCGTTGCCAGGAACACCGATGTTACAGGTGCGATAGCTGAAAGCCAGAAGAGTTTCTTGTTCCTTTTGCTCTGCACAGACAAGCACCACGTCGTTAGCTTTCTTTTCCTTTTCTCTTCCTGGCTGTCAACTTACGATTTGCCTCATTCCCAGAAGGAAGGTGAGGAAGCAGATCCCAATCACAACGGTTCGCCAGTTCCACTGCCAACACAATACCAACACGAAACAAGCCGGCTGTCGTCAGTACTTGCTCTAGTATATCCTTTTTCGAGGCTCATCCTTCCGACGTATTGCGACAGGCGAGCTGACACCTTACATGTGCTGGGTCACGGAAGATGGAATGTAAAACGGAGACAACGTCCGATTTCTTGGTGAAGTTTTGGATGCCGAGGATGCCTCTCATCTGCTGAAGGCACACAGCAACCGCCACCCCGGCTACGAACCCGACAGTCGCTGCGTGCGATAGGAAGTCAATGACAAAGCCAAGCCTGCCACCAAGCAAAACAAAATTTTACAGCAGTGTTCCTCGAGCACAGACAAAGACACGAGAAACCGAAGGCTGACCTGAGAAATCCCAGCGAGAATTGGAAGAGGCCTGCAAAAAAGGTGGAAGTAAAAGCGAGGCTCAAGTGTGCTCGCGGGTCCGTTACTTCGGGTCCGAGGTCCTCTCGGATGAGAGTTCCCAGCACAATGGAGATGACCGCAGCTGGTCCTACGGCCAAGTCCCGGGAGCTGCCAAAGATGGCATACACCATCGGCGGGAGAAAGCACGAATCTTCAAAGCAAAGTTTCCAGCGTTAGTTTACTCGGGCCAGTGCAAAGAGAAAGGACGTCACTTACATAGTCCTACAACTGGTGGCAAGTTTGCGAGCTTGGCATAAGCGATTCCCTGCGGTTGACAGACAGTGACAAGCTCTTTAGCAGCTGGAAGAATGGCTACGTGATGGAAAGTTACCTGGGGGATTGACAGGCTTGCTGTGGTGATGCCAGCGATGAAGTCATTCTTGAGGAAGCCGAGCTTGTACTTTGGAAGCCAGTCGAGAATGGGGAAAAAGTATTGCATCAGCATGATGGCCTGGCGGTGCGACGGCTTGTTGCGAAAGTGTCGAAACGGATCGTCGGGGAAGAGCGTCTCCTTGGAAGTGGTGGAGAACGTTTGGAGCAACGACTTTGCGGGTGGACGTTGCACTGCCTGGGAGATCACCTGGTCTTTGATGCTGATGACTTCCACATTGTCCAGGTCCGTGTCGTTGACGTGATCGTGGCTTTCCTTTTGCACCATACTGCCACACTGCTTTGCTTTTGCTTTTGCTTGCTTGCTTGCTCGCTCGATCGGGATGGGATTTCTCTTTGCTTTCTTTGTCTTGACACTATCACGGATTGTCTCTTTTCTTCCTTGATTCCAACCACAGCAATGCTTGCAGGTCACTTCTCTGCACGAGAGAGAACGAGATGTCAAGAGAAGGAAAGAAAAGAGTTAGAGCATTTCATATCACGAACCAAAAGGCAAGACGTGAAGTGATGGGAAGAACATGTGCTATGATGAGTGAGTGAGAATGATCAGATCGGGCTAGTACTGACACTATCTCTCAGAAGCACTGTGAATGATCGGCGAAAACGAGCGACGCAAATCTCAGAGTTTCATGCTTGGAAACAAGATCCAAGTTGTTCTTCCTCCTATCACATTGAAGGCTAGAACTCATTCACTTGAGAGGACGGATCACGATTCGCGAAACTAGAGGATCATGAAAAGCTTGGAGATAAAGAGGGAATGAAAGGAAGGACTTTCAAAGTTAAGTTGAAGGAAAAGAGAGGAGTGCTCACGAGAGAACAAAGGGGCGCTCGTCTTGTATATATACGGACCGCATCAAAGATTATTCAAAACGAAGAGCTAACCGGGGAAAGAAAAGGAGAGAAATCACGGGTTTCAACTCTTGGACATTTCATATATCTTATACCATAGCTTTATGGGAATGGGATCTTTGATTTTGGCTTGGCCAGAAGATGGCGACCGCCACTTAGGACCGGGAAGGACATGACTTGGAAGTTTTTGGCATGGAAGCATTCTTTAAAGATCGCCCGCGGAGGAAATTTCCAAGGAGCTGTATACTTGGACTAACTCGGTAGTGATGGCGCTGGAGATATGAGCGCGAGGATGGAGAAGATTCTTAACAAGCTCCAATCAGTGGAGGAAGAAGGCCAGAAGAAACCCAAGGAGAAAAAGCGATTGTAAAGGAAGAGATGGAAGAAAAAGAAGAAGAGCAAATGGGACACTCATGGCTACTGCAGCACTGTTGCTCTGTTGTGTGACTGGCAGCTATGGGGACAACCAGCCAAGCGCTGTAAGCTTTTTTTCCGTCGGGCTCCTCTTTGGTGGCTCTTGTGGCTCGCCCCCTCAAACACCATAAAGAGGACACGAATAATGCACGAAAGGAGGATTCATGCCTTCTTCCACATCATGGAAAAGATGGCAGATGGAAAATGTCAGCATCCATTCGTCAAATCCTAGCATCGATTCACTGAGACAAACGAGGAGGCAACAACGTCGCTGAGTGGAGGAGTGGTGTGGTACCATCTTTCTCTCATTCCTTGTTTTAATTGGATTTCCTTTCCATCCGACCGACACGCAACAGGTAAGCTTGAGCTACGGGCCGCCCGCGATTTGGCGAGCCCAGAATCACGAGCAATTTGGAATGGAATGGAAGCTCGAGTTTTTCAATTGGAATCCCCCGTGGCATTGGGACCAGTCGGCTCCATGGATACGAGATGAGCACTCTTAAACAAATCCATGGCTCTGGGATGTTGCGTGAAGCTGCCAAGGACTCGCTTGGATCTTTGTTTTTGGGCTGCTCTCAACCAGCCACCTCTCAAAGCTCTTGCCGCGAAAGGTTCGCGGGGTCGGTCGCAACTTGCACGTCAGTCCACTCGCCGAGAACGCTAGTGGACTTGCTTGCATGTTTATAAGATTGAAAATGGGAGCCACGCAGCCTTGAATATCAAAGCTGGATTCCCAGTCACGTGAAAAATCCAGCCCTTCTTTTTGCTCCCGAGAATAAAACTTTTCTCCGGGGAGATTGAAACACCATCACATCAATCATAGCAATACTAGCGTAGCGCTGCTCAAACCAAAACGCTCCTGTGTTAGAGATCTATGCCATTGTACTGCTACAAAGAGAGAAAAGCGAGAGAGATACGACACCTTCAAAACTTGGTTGCGTTTGCGTTTCGTCAGCTCTCAGCCTTTCTTGGCATACGAGATGACCATGGCGTGATTGGCAGTGATCTTGAAGCTCTGAAGCGCTTCCAACGCCACGGTTGCCTGTCCTTCGTCCGAGTACTCCACAAAGGCAATGCCGGGCCTGCCGTCCACCATCCTCACATCCTTCAAGCCGGGGTACCGAGTGAAGAGCATCTCCAGCATCGGCCCGCTGGTCTCGTCGGGGAGATTCTGGATGAAAAGGATGCTGTTTGGCTCCTGAGTCCCAGGCTTCACAGGAGGCTGCATTGCATTCCACAACCAACTGGTGAGTACTCCTGGCTGACAGACACTAAAAGTACCCAGGCGCTTACCGGAGCTGCACCATACACATGACCGTGTGCTGGAGTGGCACCATTTGCCTGGGGCTGCTCCTGGTCCTTTCTCTTCTTGTCCACTGACACGAAAAAACGACATAGAAAAGAGATGAGACATCACGACGACACAGCAAAAGCAAAAGGAGAAAAGGCAACCAGAAGAACATTACCTCCTTTATCTTCCGTCTTTCTCCTCTTCTCCTTTGGAGCATACGAGTCGTCGGTAAGGCTGATGATAGCATCGGACTTGGACTTGGCATACTGTATTACCTACACAAACGTTTTCACCACAGCATGAGCTCCTCAAACTCGTCTATCCGGAGAAAGAAAGAAAATAAAAATAAAAAAGCAATGCAATCACAAGAAGAAGATGCATCTTACAAGTGCCGATGCTCCTTTCACCATTGTCACGGCTCCTAGAAAAACAAAGACAAAGGAAATGGATTAACAGAGAGCTCACATTCATGCAATGCATTCTTCTTTTTTTTTTTTTGTAAATCGTACCATGGGCCTGTCGAAGAGCTGGAACTCCTTCATGTGCCGCAGAGCGCTGGTGGCAGCCGGGATTTCGTTGAAGACAACCCACGCTTGGCCGCGCAACTTGGGCGTCTTGCACACCACCACATCGAGTATCCGGCCATAGGCAGAGAATAGCGCGTGCAATGCCCTCTTCATCTCTACAAACGCAACCACACACATCCATCACTGGCTGCTCGCGACAGGAAATCGAGTGTGACTCACCCTGTTTCTTCACCTTGCTGTTGAGATTCTTGATGTAGATCGTCTCGTTGGGCAGAATGTCCGCCATGGTCCCCGCGCCTTGCAAAACCTAGGAGCTAGGGCAAAGAATGACCATAAACCCTAATGAGTCAATCCTCTTGATATTACAAAGAACAAAAACTTATTTCGCGAGAGCGCGCGCGCGCGCGAGTCTCAGGCTTTCTGCTTGAGCGTGATCTTGTCACCCAAGCTGAGAGCAATGCCTTGGGTCTTGCTCCTGATCCGGATGAAGCCACTCAGCTTACCGTCGGGCATCTTCTCCACGCTCACATTCACCAGCGCGTCCTCTCCAAACACGCTCTTGGCGTAGAGATTGGCTGCCAAAAACCCACAATCTCCATCCAGTTGCGATCTACACGTAGCAAACAAGCTGTTAGAATCTCCATCGATCCAGAGAGCTAGCCTAGACAACTTACGGTGGAGTCAAGCATTTCATGTTTGTGGAGGTGACGATGTGATCCAGGAACTGCTTCACGTCCTCTATGCTCGAGCTGATAGAAACCTGCACAGGAAGAACACGAGTGTGTGCTACCATCGATCGAAAAAAACAAGGAGAAAAACTCTCGCGTACCTTGTTCTCCCATTCAAACTCGGCCCACATGTTCCTAAAGGCAACGTCGGGGCACGAGGCCGGCGAGATGTAGTCCATGATGTCAATGTGGATGTCGTTGAGGACGACAACGTTGCGGTCCAGAGCGCTGGTCGACTCGTACACGATGTTCCCGAATATCACTCCCGTCTCCGTGGATGAAACCTTGATGTTTGCTCTGATTTGCTTGCTTGCATCGGGAGCCAGCGTGTAGTTTTGTGGCCGCTCCACCAGCTTCAGGTCGCCCATGGTTGCCAGCTCCAGGCACAGGTTCTGGAGCGTCTCCTTGGTCCGGTTGATCACCGTCACGTCCAGCACAATGTCATACTGGTGTACCGTCACGTATGCTTCCGCATACACGGGATCACTGAAGCCTGTGAGCTGAAGCACTCGGTTCAGCTTCTTGGTGTCGTCGCTGTCTTTGGTGAACTCTCCAGTAGCTCGCTTCAGATCTGTCTGAACCTCGTCTTCCAGCTCTAGTTGGCTCATGCCCTGGCAAACGAAAACGATAGAGCGTTGTCAGTTAAGACGTGCAAGAGGAAAGAGGGGAGAGAGCTAACCTTTCGGCTCTTCAGGTGGTAGAAATCAATGAGGTCGTCTGGCTGAGCACGAGCAACCTGTTCCTTGGCTCTCGTCTCCTCCGAGTCCCGTCGGAGCTTCTCAGTGATCATCTTCACAAAGCTTGCCCTGCATTTCTCGAGCCAGATGCAACGGGCTTCCTCGTCTGGAGACGTCAGAACTCGGATGCACTGAGTGATCCTGTCCACCGAGTCGTTGTCAATGGGATGAGCCACTACCGCCGACTGACCGAGCCTGAGGATGGACACCATGACTAGAAGAATGTCTGCAGTTGCCTTGTTGACTGCCACCTTCGATGTCTGCAACTCTTCCAGCCGAAGAACAAGCTTTGTGAGCGTGCCACAGATAACAGAGCCGAGGAAGAAATCTCCAGTGAGAAGCAGCGTCCGAAGATTTGTAGAGGTTCCAGCAACCAAGGATACAGGTACTGCGAGAGCGATTTCCACTGCAGCTGTCTGAGACGCGTAAGTGCCATCCGCCAGGACGACCGGACGCTTGGAGCCGACCGATGTCGTCTGCTTGGATGTTGGAGCAGGAGCCTTTGAAGCAGAAGACTGGTCGGCTGCTTCGCCATCCTCGGCCACCGTAAAGAATGGAAGGTCACCCAGGCACTGCTTGATGGCTGAGATGGCACTCTCGATCTCAGGCAGCGACTGGCAATACTCGCCAATGATCCACAGAGCGCAGGAGCAGACCCGAGAGGCGGGAATCTGGTAGAAGAGGTCGAGAAGCCTGGTGATTATAGACTCCCGCAGCTTCGGGTTCGTCTCGATGATCTCCCTCACGAAACAAACAACGTCCAGAGCTGATGCCAAGTTGGTGTCCCCCAGAAAATCCATGAGAAGGTGCACCACTGTGCTCGCAACCTCTGGGAACTTGACCGCGCACGAGTGTATGGCCTGGATCAACATCTGCCTGTACTCCGCATTCTTTTCCAGCTCTTTGTTCTGCGTCTTCACCACCTCCTTCTTGAGCGTCATCACCACCTCCTCGATGTTCCTCGGGGTGATGAGGTCCAGCGCGATGTCCAAAGTCTTCCTCCGGATATCCAGGTTGGGACTCTGAAGTGCCCGCAATACATCCATGATAAGCTCCACCACGATCTCCCTGTGCGTCGCCTTGAGCTCCTGGAGCCGGTCCAGGACGATGAGCTTGACGTTGTTGTCGCTCTGCGAGAGAAGGAGCTGGCAGTAGCAATTGGCAGCTGCTCTGATCGCCGTGGGTGCGCTCGACAGCGAGACGAGAGTTCCGGAGCACTCGTACATGACGGCGGTCGAGTGTGACTGGAGCAGCAGCAGGATCACCTTCATGAACTTCCCCTTGCCATCCGGGTTGGCCCGGCACACCTTTCGTATCAGCTCCAGCGCCACCATCTGGAGGAGATCGCCCCAGCCAGGAACACTCTCGGCGTGAGTCAAGAGAAAGCTCACGGCTCGGTCCTGGGCACAGTTGCAGAGCATGAGGAAGGCGTTTCTCTTGGCCGAGAGGTCCTGCTCCTTGCCCAGTATCTTCTCGATGAGCTCGGGAGCGTCGGGTAGCAAGTGGTCGCCTTGGGCGAGCTTGTAGATGGCCATGACGGCGAGAATAGCGTTCCTCCGGACGAAGGGGTGCCTGTGCTCCAAGTTGGTGACGATGGCATGGACGAGAGGCTCGATGAGCTCCGCCTCGTTCAAGCGGGAGAGGAACCTGAGCGTGACGCCGCGGATGTACTCGTTGGGATGCTGGAGATTGTTGCGCAGGTTCTGGCAGATGAGGATCATCTCCGGCAAGATCTTGCCTTGCGCATCCGTCTTGTCGATGATCTCCAGGTAGAGCAGCAGCAGCTTCTGGATGGTGTGATCCTCGGACGGCAGCACGTAGCGGACAATGGTGATGAAGAGCTGCGGGATGGTCTCGCCATTGAGCATGAGCATGACGGCCTTCTTCATCGCCTCCACCTTGCGCGGCGTGTCATTGCTCTCCAGAGACTCCCGGATCTCATTCGCGAGCGCGGGGGAGCTCTTGTCGAAATGGACCAAGAGGCTGCACGATTTCTCCATCCTGGATCTGGGATCAAACCCTCAAACCCTCGACCAGATCTCGACGCCTACACCATGGACGAGCTAAGATCTGGCACCGCCCTGCCCGAGATCTAGGAGGATTACCTGGAGTAGCACGCGGTGGCGCTCGAGCCTGCCTTTTCCTCCCCCGAGAGTATAAGCCCTTGCTACCCGGTAAAGAGCCCTACCATTTATGATAAATAAGGTATTTGCTTAATTAACCCTAAAGTGGAATAGACCATTGAGCTGCAGCCGCTGGTGTTTTCTGTGGGATGTGCTTGTGGTGTCACCTGGTTTTGTTTTTGTTTCAGCGATGGTACTTCAAGCTGGGGTGCGCCAGGTGTTTTGTTTCACGTTTGGCTTCTTCAATAATGTGCATTCTCGTTTTCCTTTGTTTTCCAAATGCATAGCGGTGCAGGAGCTGCTCAACTATAATGGCGAGGTTGCCAAGACCTGAGCATAGAAGTACATCCGAAGGAACTCGAGTTAAATTCGAATGACATTAGAGATGGCAACTTTGACCATTCCTTCAAAGCATCACAGAAGTCACACACATCGTCTGGAGCAAAATCCGGGGAATAGGCCTGAGGAGGGTGGCTGTGAGGAAGCATACGAGGCGATGCTTCTTCAAGGCATTGGTTCCGGGATTTCCTCCATCCCACGAGAGATTTCATACTTTGCTATGGTGGCCTTTCCCGGGGCTGGAAAGGCAACACTAGGACGAAGGGCTCGGGAATTCCTTTTGACGTGTTGGAATGCTTGGCCGGATGGGAGGAATCAAGCCGTGCTGGGGCTGGACGATGCGGACTACGAGCTCTTCAAGTCTATGGCTGCCAGTTCTTTGTATGTTCCACACGGTTGCACACGATAAGGGGACGTATTGTAGATGGTGGAACCGGCGCAGATATATCCCATCGTTCACAGAGAGGCGGGGAGGGTTGCGGGGTTACAGATGGAGATTTGGACAGGAAGTGTCCAAGGCTGAAGCTGCATCTCAGGCTGGCGAATGTGCTGGGTTTCTCCGGTTGGCACTTTGTGTGCACAGTGATACATGGCTGCTGCCGTGTGTCTTCTTTGACGAGCTGAATGTCGTCACGCAGATACTCGGCGGGCAAAGTGCTGGGCGGGATGGAAAGATTTTTTCTGACTACGATGATAAGGTGCAGTGGGGTTCAGTAGAAGCTGCTGGGTTCAGTGGCTGTCCCCGTTAGGTGCAGTTCATTTCTGGTGAAGAAGCTGGCCAACATTCTGGAAAAGGAGTTGAAAATCTCATTGCCAAAAGATCCCAGGGAGGGCCAGGAACAGGGTGGTGCTCTTGCTGTGCTGTTGCGTGCTTACCCAAAAGAATGCTTCATTTGGAACGTTAGACTTGCACCTTGCTGCCAAGAGGATCTTTGGTGCGAAATCGTTTGCAAATGCATGTGTTCCAACTGAGAACGCGTAAGGACACCTTGGCCACGCGGCTGGTGACACATTAGAGCATGCAAGAGATTACGAGCTTGAGGAAACAGATGGGTCAGCTGTACTAGGGCCCGGCTCTTCATTTGGTGGTGACAGTTTTCATATTCTGCAAGATGGTTCAACCCGAGCAGGTAATAATTCTTCACTCGGTTTTGAAACATCTCACGTGTTTATTTTGCAGTGGGTTGAGGAGGAGGTGACCTTTGTACTCCAAAGAAAGCAAACTAACCTTAGAACTGGCGAGTATATTAGAGACTAGCTTTCAGAAGGACATAGGCTCGCTTTTCCCCTTGCCAAAAATCCCCAACGACGATCAAGGAGAGGTGAGAACAAGGACTGAACCAGGAGCTCCGACACCTAACCCTGGAAGGATCAAGATCAGGATCAGGATGTAGATATGGAAGCGGACGAGTATGTATACATTACTAGAGAGTTGCGAACCTAGATTGAGCTTCTTTAGCATCCGTACTTTGCCAGGAGTGTGTTTTGCTTTGAGCAAGAGTCTATGAAGCATGGAGATGCGATCTCTGTATTAAGGCTCTTTAGTAAAGCGGGAGTGTCCCACTTTGCATGACTTGTAAAGGTTTATTATGTCGCTGGTAATGGAGAAACCATAAAGACTGATGTTAGGAGCTTGCGCTCCACCCGGATATGTTTGATGAATGGAACTTTAAAGTTGAGAACTACAATGCCAAGCTCTTTTGGGCCATGCGGAGCGCCCCTTCGAACGACTTGTTGCCGCCGATGAAGCCACTGGCGTGGACAAAAACGCCATTGTCAATTCCCGCGACCTTGGAGAGCTCCTCGTCCCTCAGCCCCCTCCATGCCGCTGGCAGTGCCTTGCGGCTCTCGAATCTCCCCGGAGCAAGAGCTACCGCTTGCACTCTCCACTGCCCGGCTCGCTCGTCCTCGTACAACACGTACTTGATGCTCGGCTCGATCTGGAGCTCCTCCTCGAGCTCGAACAAATGCTGTTTCCACTGGCACACAATGCCACAAATTTCATGTCGTGTATGGACTAGACTGGAACGCCAAAGAAACAAAAGCTTACCGGACAAAACGTGTCCAGGACCATGACTTCGCCGCTGGGATGGATCTCCTTTCTCCTGTTGATGCAGTCGAGCACAATGGATCTGGCCGGCAACCATGACTTGGCATAGTAACGAAGAGCCTGTGGAGAGAAAGGAAGTGTGCGCGAGTCAAACGCGAGGTATCGATCATCACACTCACTTGCTGGAACTCGCTGCCAGTCAGCTCCATGGCTCGAGCAAACGCAGCGTTCTCCATTTCCACGCTTTGCTCCTCCGTCCAGTCGGGATTGAGCTTCCCCACGCGGGCAGACAAGTTAGTGTTCTCCACGTACTTCGGGGGCTGATCCACGTCGTACTGGTTGATTCCATTGTCAATGGCATCGATTCCCTGCAAGTGAAAAAACAAAAGGAGTCGAGCTTGTAGCTTGTGAGCTAGCCGGAGCTTCACCTCCATGAAGTTCTTGTACAGTGCAACGTAAATGGCCTCCACGTCGGGATGATCCGGTTGGAGCGCAAGCTCCTTGGCCACGATCTCCTTTCCAAAGTGCTGCTTCCAAGCATTATGAGCTAAGCTGGAACAAGGAGAGAAATCTTACCTTGTACACAAGGCCCGCGCTGCTGAGCTTTGTGTTGAATCCATTGCCTAGGACATGATCGAATCCTCGCTGGTGATGGTCGAAACGATCTTTCTCGGGATCGTACACACCACCAACATCCAGTACCGCGTCAAGCTTGTCCAGAACCTGGCCAGAGGGAAACCATTGGTTTTTCTAAGAGATTGACCACTTCACTCACCTCTTGGTTCCGGGTCCGGACGATGTCCGCATTGGCGAACTTGTCCGTGAGGCGGATGAGGAAGCATCCCAGTGCCTCGTCACAGTGGAAAGTCCCATTGTGCGTGCCTACCTTTGCCACTCGTTCGCTGCCGCCACCCAAACTGGAGCTCACGCGAACCATAGCCGAGCTGATCCCTCGCGACACAAGAAAAGAGGAGGCTGTGATAGGAAGGAAAGAGGGACGCAATGCGGCCAGCATAACCCTAACAAGGTTAGCAAATTGATTTTCTTCTTTTGAATGAAGAAAACAGTGAAGGATAAAATGCTTATGCCGCAGGTAAATGATTGGAAATGGAGTTTGTCACCAAGCATGAGAAGTGATTGTGAGGAAGACATGGGGCTGACAAGAAGACTAGTTCTGTGGGCCAACATAATTGGCTTCAGGATTTTCAAGTTGCATCTAGAAGGCATTATACTCACTTAGTGCATTTGTAATTATATATTATATGCAGTAAATGCCTAGGGATTTTTTTTTCATTTTATTACTATTGGATTTGTGTTTGAACTTTGAGAGATAAGGATGATGTGGTAGGGATACTTTTCTAACATGATTAAGTATTTAATGTTGTAAATCACTAACAACTTAAAAATAGAAGAAAATGAAACATGACTTTGATGCAGAAATATTAGATACAGTATCCACATCCAGCCATTTTTTTTTTAACAAGCAAGAAATGTTTGCTTTCTTGCAAGCAATGAAACACGTTTTTAAATGTACTTAGCTGATAAAGCCATACTCAAGTAAACACTCAATCATTTGACACTTGGAACTTTGCATAATTGAGTAAACCTAACTATCAAAAGATCAGCTCTACCACAATTATGTTGCTCAACTCTAGACAAAGTGGTAAATCATATAATTAGTAATACCTCCTTAAACTTCTCAAGATTTTCTAACATTACTAATCCTTCACGCAAAGATTTTCAACTCTGAGATGTATATCAAACACAACTCACTCTTTTTATTGTGTTAGTTCACACCTCAACAATAAATAATATACTTTGAAAATGTACACTTTGATTGAAAGGTTGTGATCATAGTAATAAATTGCAACTCCAACCTCTCCAACTTTAACATTTTCCCACAATTTTTACTTGATTGCATTTATATAGTGTAAAAAAATATTGCTTTAAGTGCTTTGAGTTTTTTTGAAAGCTACTTATTTATTTTATACAACACAAAAGTATAAGCCTTGCAGAAATCAAATAGATCACTCAATAAATGTTTAACTTTGTATACAAGAGTATAGTCTTAATTTTATCCAAACAACATTTAACGGTTATTATTAATATAATTAGATTGAGAAAAGTTGTAACATTTATTTATACAAAATCAAGTGAGTTATAAAAGAAAGCAAATGAAATCAAACTACTTTAAAACTTTCTATATTGAAAATATTTTACAAATTTTTTCACCCATCAAATAATGTTAATAAACACATGATTTTGCCTTACATATATAATAAACTTTTGAAACAAAAGTAGCTTTTAACAACCATTTTGAGAGCAATTCTAATATATAAAATCTAACCATTTTTCCTAAACTTTTTTAACATTCACTTTCAAATAAAAAAAAAACCTTTCATGAGTTTATGATGTAGCCTTTAGATTGTTTATTTGTTCACTCTAAAGTTATATAAAAATGTAAAAATATATCATATTTAAAATTTGAATTATCATTTTTGTAATTGCTCTAAACAAAAATCCAATATGTCATTAAAAAGAAAGATTACATTTTAATATTAAAAACTCTCCAATCCATGTTTATAATCCTATGTATGTTGTTATTAATATAATTCTTTGGTAATTGAAATCCATGTTTATAATCTTAGTATAATTCTTTGGCAATTGAAATCTATTGGAACCATTAGCTATTAGAGCAAGATCAATATTATAAATATTTTAACTTTTACAAAATGATTGCGAAGATAAAAAGAGAAAAAGAATAAAACTGAAAAAATATATCTATTACTTATTTTTCCTTTGTGACTGTTCCCAATAGAATGTAATTTTAAACTCACTCAAACAATATAAAAATTAAATTCAATTGAGTATAATTGATTCTAAAAATAGAAAGCATTATGGATAAAGTTTTTTAATCAAGTTCATTGTCTTAAACACATAAATAATCAATCTATTAACTAGCTTTTATTATTTTCACATCTTCTTTTTTATGATTTTCATAATTTTACTTCAATTAACTCCTCTATGAATTATATTATTAAACTACTTTTCTTTCAATCTCTTCAAAATTTCTAAGATTTTAATTTTACTATTTCAATTGTATAATTGTTTTTCCAAGGTGAAAACACTTAAATTTGCCCCATTATGAGATAAAAATTTATCTCTTAAAAACACACCTTTTATTTGATTAAACACTTGTTTAATAATGGCTTTTCCTTTTCATTCACAACAAAAATATTTAAAATTTAAAAGTATACTCCATTCATTAACTATAATAGTAGTAAAATGGTGAGAGTATAAAAGATTTAGTTATTTATGATTGCTGCCATAAATGAATGTTTAAATTATTAATTTAAATACAAAAATTTCTTGATTACAAAAAAAAAATTAAAAGTACAAAAGATCACAACTATTCAATTAAAGAGCTAATGTTGTTAATATTCCAAAAGCTAAATCATTGTGATGAAAGTATCGCATAATTTGAGCCCATGGTAAAATGTTAGTAATGTATATTTCCCATGTAATATCTTGCATCACGGTGCGTAACTTAAAATCAAGTTTTTTAAAAAAGTTGTTGAAATAATACTAACTTATATAAATAAGTTTTTTTAGGATTATAACCATTTTTAAGTAAAAGTAATTGTAGAATTTAGTTTTTTTTCCTAAAAATAATTAATTTCATGATTATAACTTTTAAATTTTAAATAAAGTTTTAGTCTTAATATTGCATATCATATATTTACCCATTACTATGCCAAATTTTTAAAATGTTGAATTGTTAATGACAAATTTAAACTAATAATTTTTTAGTTGAAAGGAGTATTCAAAAGAATATATAAAATATTTTAATGGTTGGAAATGATATATAGAAAAATGAATATTTTGAGATACAGTAGTGTGTGGATAAAATTACAGAGCGCCAAAGAATTTAACATAAATTTTAACGTAACTAAGTATAATATAAAATTTATGTGTAATTGAGTTGTTGCCCAAGCTTTTGGATAATGAATAAAATGATAAATTTATTTTCTTATATAGTTGTTTGGTAATTGTTTTGGGATGTGTTGGCCTAGACATTAATTTATTTTTAAATTTTTTTTATATAAAAATATTTAGTAAATACCTTATTATATTTATGAAATTTTAGACTAAATTAAGTTTTTTTAAAAACACATTTTTTTTACTTATAACACTTAGTTTTGACAGATTAAAAAATGTTTTTTTCATAGTAACATTAACACTAGAGCGTTTGAGGCTATTGAAAGGTAGTTTGATGTTTTTCGGCTTTTGATACCAAATGAAAACAAGATAGGCAAGAACCAAAAAAGTTTCACAACTAAAAAATCTTTCTTTTGTTTAGTTTTACGTCGAAGAAATTTTAAACAAAGCGATTGAATACATACACTTCCTACAAAGGAAAATTTAGATAAACAAATTAATTGCAAATCTAATGAAATATAATATTCTATATAAATAAAAAAATTATTACATTGTACAATAATTTTTGGCTTACTTAAAAATATTTAGAAAATAAATAATAATTATATTGTGATATTATTGTGCAATCTTAATCCTATGTGAAATTGTAATAATTCAATTGAATTCAATATATGATAACATTATAGCATTGCAAAAAAGAACAAAACTATCAAGAAATTCACAAAGGGAAAAACACAACTTGAATTATTTTGGATTTTGTTTTATGGTTTTAACATCATCTAAATTATATTCAGAGAGATATATATAGTAGGCTAAATATAATAATATAAGCTCATGAATAAAGATTACAAATAAGCTAAAAGCGACCCTTGTGCTCAGCTCTCGTCTGGTAGATTTTTGACTTTGTGATTTTTGGCCCAGTTTGATTGAAATCCACTTTTGTTCTGTTTCTGTTCTTCTGCATCTTGATTTTTTCAGATCTGTTCTTTTCCAGTTTCCCTATGGAGCAACGGTCCCATCTCGATCGAGGATGCTGTTCTCCAGCTCCAAGCCGACAACCAACAACTTTGAACAGCTCTCCTTCATCCAGTAATCAGCGTCTTTGGCATCCTCGACACCCGTGGGCCATAAGCTTGGCCCCGCCGGCCGAGCCCAAGATCAGCTTCCCCAAAAAGTTCACGATCGGATCTACGGGACATGGACCTGATCTTCAGACTCCAGCCTCGGTGCTACCCCTCTGCAAATTCGCAGATTGGCGTCATCGGCACACTTCTGGAAGTGCTGCCCTGTCTTGGTTTTCTCCTCTTCTGGAGAAGGAATCCACATGCAGGGAGGTGCATGAACTGCATGACCTTGCACTATTTAAGGAGCAGATCTCGGTGTGCTTTGGCAATACGCACCGGATTCACTCGGTAACCATCAAGATTTAATGACTCTCGCAGGGGCCTCAATCTATGCTACAGATTTTTGCCTCCTCACCATAGACACACTTTGGGAAGAATGGATCAGTTCTACCATGGTCTGCGTGAGGATTTCAAGGATCTGTTAATGACGATGGTCAACAAGGCAGTGCACGCCAATAATCGATTATTCAAACGACGATGTGTGGAGCGTATCACCCTTGGTTTATGCAACTACTGCGGTCACCGTCCCCATGCATCCACAGGCCTGTATTTGTGGAGTGTAGATAGCTGCGGCGCATGAAGCTGCGGTCAAGAAGGAGCAAGCAGCAGCGGCAGGCATCCATTTTACTCGCCTACCACTTCCGCGAGCCGCCAACAACAAGAAGCGCCGCCACAAATGCCTGCTGCCGCCGCCCACTCGGGCGCCGTGGCCGCAGCAGCGCATCTGGGCTGGCTAGGGCGGCGCCATCGCCATGAAGTAAGGAATCTCAAGCCAAAGCCTTTTGTATGCTTGAAAATTGTGGCCAGCCCAGCCACCTTTCTTCTCCGTCTTTGGAGGGGGAGAGGGAGCCAATGTTCCAATGGCTGCCATATTGAAAATCGGGCCTCAATAATCCTTTTTGTAATCTGTCAACCAAATCAAGTTCATGTTATTCAGAGAATCTAGAATAAATCAATTGAGCCTGAAACTTGC